AAACAAATATCTTAAATTTAAAATTTAGATTAAAACATAAATTGTGCAAAAAATAAAAATATAATAATTTTTAAAATAATTAAAAATTAACATAATAAATACAAGTTAAAAACATAATTTACCTGTTAATAACATACATAAAACATTTTTTTACAGCTTCAAAAGTTAAGAGTTAATTAACCTTTTATAGGATTGGTAATTAATTATTAAAGTCATGATAAAATTTACTGTTTTCTTGATTTCCACTGGCACAAGCTTGAAATAAAGCTGCCTCGTAAGTTGGAAGAGCGAAAGACAGGTCTGGGAAAGAGAGATTGATTGGCCGAGTTTGCTGATCCAAAGTGACTCTTGCTCGCTCCTTGTCCTTGTACCTGACTTTGTGGAAGAGAGAAAGAACATGCAAACGTACATGATTTTTTCACAATGAGATCTGTGCGCTCGGCTCGGCTAAAAGAAGAAGGCAGATCAAAGCAGAGAAGCTGTAGCACGGACGTAAAATAAGAGAATATAAGCCTAGAGGCACGATTCGGATTTGTGATTTAATTATCGTCTGCGGATCGTCGATCTTGAAGCTCACCGGAGAGAGGACAAGTTATTTTATTTATATAAGCACACAGGGATAAAAACTTTATTGACTTTGTAACTTTAATGATATCGTAAAAGCGCTCGTGGATCATTTCACAGCGAGAGAGACATTTGATTTTGTTCAATCTGGTTTTAATCCATGCGCGGAGTAAAAGTTAAAAGTCTCATATAAATTACAGCAGACACCGAGAGATGAATTTTTTATGATTTGTTAGTGGTCCATGAGAGCTCAGTTCTTTAACGGCCGTGGTGAAAAGATGTTAATAAAAAGCCACCGCGCCTCTAGTTAAACTTTCATTGTGTTTTATTATAGCAGCAGAGAGGTTGTTAATCTATTTTTTAATTTAATTGGAAACGGTTCTTTTATGTGTTCAACCCTTTTTCTTGCGCGATAAGAGCGAGGCTTGAATGTACATGTATTGATTTCGCTCTTGCAACGGTCGAATTCGTGCAGATAAGATAAATGAAGTGCACATTTGCTTTAAATACCGAATCCAAATAACACTTTTATCGAGACTTCTGATGACTCAGGCGAGAGATTCCGAGAAGGGCGGCGGTTGCCTTAAAAACACATTTCGCCCAACTGCTGCTTTGCTTACCCAACATAGCGTGCACTTGAGCACACCAAGAGGTTCACGATGAAGTTTGAAAAAAAAAAGTAAGGCGACGCGACGAGATATCAAAATTCACGGTGCGCGCTCGAATGTGCTGAGCAAAGCGGAAGATTGATAGCGACGAAAACGCACGAGCTTCACGAGAGAGCGAAAGACTTTCGTGAAAAGTAAGTGCTCATTTCCCCGAGAGAGAAATTTTTATTTATTTTTTTTTACACGGGCCGCGGCAAACGAGTCGTAAATGCATGTAAGTGCGGTTGAGTGAAAGGCGCGGAAAATCGATTAATTCGACTCGGAAATGGATTATGGACCGACGATTGGCTTTTTATTTTTCATAGTGATGGGCGATAAACGTTGCGGCGAGGAGAACAAGTCGCTTTTTATTATTAGCACGTGCATTGTCGGGTGATAAATTGGGCTTAAACGATTCTGGGAACTGTGCGCGAGAATAAAGCAGTGCTTTATGATCGAGAGTGCCTTCGTAAAGGTTATTTTCAATGAGATGTGTATTTATTGCGTACGTTCGCTATGTGATTTCGCTCCCTGGGGGATTCACTTTTCACGACTTCAAAAGTGAGTGTCCATGCTGGTATGACCTTTAGCTTCAAATTCTACGTTGGATTTATTCAAATGTGGAATCTCTAAGCAGGGGGGATGAGCACAGCACAAAAGATAGAAAATTGTCTATTGTCAAAATTTGATCATTAATTTTCCAAGTTGCCTTTAAAAATGAATTGAATTCTGGATTTATTTTTGTAATTTATTGTTCAGTAAATTTTTATTTTTCTCGGAATTTGTAATGAGCAAGTTTGGAAAAGGTATAAAAAATTATTTGCTATTAAATTGAACAAAGTTAATAATTTGAAAAGCAATATTTTTTTGTATTTAACTGTTTTGAAATTTTTTAAAATGATAACATAATGTTGTTGTAGGAAGAAAATTGCATGCCTCGCGCCAAATTATAATTTATTCAAACAATTTATGCTAAATTTTAAATATAATTTGTCAATTTTCTGTTTAATTAATCTCTAGGAATTTAAATTCCGAAAATATTTCTCCCCCGTTTCTCAATAATTTCTAATTAATTATTAAATTTTAAAAATAAGATGTGGTGAATTTTATTAACGATTCACTTATTTTTTACTACTTCACGAAATTACTGCAATTTTAAAACTGTTGTCTATAGGTTAAATCAGAGTTGAATCTCTTCAAAGAAAAGAATCACTTGAATTTCCTCTTCTTTACAATTTTTCAAGAGCAAGGTTTTACAATTTTAACAAAGAGAGCAAAATTCTCCTTCTTTTCAGGTTAGTTACCATGAATTAAATTTTTCCCCACTCGATTGACTTTTTGTAATTGAATTCCTGAGCTGACTAACAAAAAGCAAAATGAACCGACAGGTAGGCTGGGTAAACACAATTGCGGGCGAGAATTCGCGCACAGCAAGAGACTCCGCTGCACCGTGTGATTTACTTTTCTTAGGTTTTCAAAAGTTCCACGCAGAGTTTGAAAACTTTTGGTACGCACACACTACAAATAACACGCTAATTCGTGCGTAATCACAGCACACGGCCGTGTGAATTGTAGTGGCGCATTGTGATTTGCACGGCAAAAGTTTTGAGATGAGAGGGTCGAGTTTAACAAAGGTCGTGTGAACCGATATGCCGAGAGGCGTGGTACGTCCCAGGCAGCAAAAATAATCAAATGATTCGACTGCGAGCCGTTTGGCCGTTATGTGCTCTCGAGCAGTATAGTGAGCTAATGATGAGCAATAGAGCTAAGGGGGGGCCGTATTTTGCTTTGTGTCGCAGCGAGGGGAGCTGGATGACGGCAGCTCGCGATTTTTTCCCGTGTTTTCACCTTTTTTCTTCTGGTCTTTCAAGACTTTTTGTGGAACTTTTTGCACTTGGGATGAATGGTGTTTAATGTACTGGAAATTTTCGCTTTTTTAGTAGTTTAAAGATTCTAAAAGGAACGTTTCATGAAGCTTGCGGTCGGACAGTTAGAGAGTCAGAAAAAAATAAAATTTACTTGCTGCAGGTCATTTACAAAGATATTTTCAGTAAAAATGTTTATATTTGTGGTATTTCTTTGACAATGAAAAGTCTGAACAAAGTTTTTAAATGTAAAGAGCTTGTCAAAAGTGGACACAAAAGTTAAACTTGCTATTGAATTGTGTAAAAAAATTTCAATTTTTTTTACACATAACAGAAAACTCCAAAATTTCATTTTACAGCTAATGGGGATTTACAATCTCAAAAATTTTATGAAGTAAACTGCAAAAAATATATTATTTGCAAAACAAAATTAGGGATGAGCAGTGATAAATAAGAAACTTCCAGAAAAGTATAGAACGATGCTGAGAAACCGTTGATATTTTATTGCAGGACAATCTGGGTATTTTTATGCAATCAAAGTTGATGGTTAATATGCATCATAAAAATTTATATTAGTAAAAAGTTAAATATCTATTTTTATAAAATTAAAAAAACAATTCATTTTCATATTTGCTAAATTTTTAAAGACTCTTCGTAACGTTCCTTTGCAATACAAAGGCATGTTTCTGTTTCTTCTAATTAAGCAAACACAAAACTTGATTTAGACGTACACTTCCTGCTGTCGTCGCTAAGTTTCCTTTTTCGTATTTATGTGCAACTCCATTCGCGTGCAGTGATTGTACTTTTTTCTGTATTGCCGTCATATCGCACACATCATGCCAGACCAGAGTCGCAACGCGGCACCTGGACTTATATTTACTGCGGAACTATATGGGTCGGGGTCACGTGAGAGCAACCGTTATTCCCGCGAGCAGAGGGGTGCCTCCATATAGCATCCCTCTCGGTCGCGCGCATTAATCACACAAACCCGCCGGCTCGTTTAAAAGGTCGACCATTAAAGTCTCCGCGACTCGAATTGCAAAGAGGCAAAACCAGAATTTTTCTCTGTGAATAAGAAAGAAATGCAGAGACTCTGCCTGAGAGCAAAGAAATATTGAAAGGGAAGGAAGGGGTGCAAAAAATAATCTCTTTCATTCCCGTAGAGCAAAAAATAAAGTTTATATCTGAGCCGCGTGCAAAGTTGAGGAGGAAATGAAATGTCCTTGAGAAATTCAGCAAATGTTTGCTTATTTATCGGGTTGCCCCTATAATCAGTCATGGCTTTATTACAAAAACGATTTTCAATTTGAAATGACAAATGCTTCCTGCAAAATTTTTCCAACTGCCAAAAAATAAAATAAATAAATTTATAGTTCTAATAAAGTAAAATAAAATTTTTTATTGGATATATTTGTTTCCACTTTCTCACAGATAATTATTAAATTATTTAAATTAAAGTTAAATTGATGAGGCTGAACTAATTTTCATGGCGCGAGTAATTCAGGTTTCTGTGCATTTTCAATCCGCAAACGCACGACACGACCGGCCGCAGCAGCAGAAAAGGCAGCTGAGGAAATTTTATGGCTGCGGTGGTGCGAATCACCGAACGACCGAGAGTGTAAAATGCATCTTCTCTGCATGCATATCGACGAGAGAGAGGAATTGTGGGCAGACGATGAGAGCCAAATTAAGATCATTACGCCGATATTACGGCTGCAGCGCCGAAGTGATTAAATTTTATTGCATCCGTCTGCATCACAATACTCTCGCTGGTCGCGCGCATCGGCAAAAAAATCAGCCAGCCGGCGTGTTTTATTATTATTTTATACCCACCGTAGGCCGCGAAAAGAAAGACGCGAGAGCGGCGACGGCGCGCAGGCGGCCGAGCGGCGAAACAGGCGCTTTGAGCCAGCGAAACCCCACTCGCGGCTCAGTCATTGATGAGCGCTCGAGCTGAGCGAAACGAAACCAGTGATCCCACTTATTTACGTGCCCATAGTGCTGGATTATCTCGCTGAAAACCTTCAAGCGCAAGCCCGTGGATTATTTCGGATACTTTTTAGTGTTTGGCATAAAATGTAAAAAGGTGAGAAATATTTACCATTTTTGTAAGTTTTCTAATTTATTTTATTTTTTTAAATATTTTATTAAAGATTTCATTTTAGAACAGAAAAAATACAATTAAAAAAATTTCATGAAATGATTGTAAAATTTCAAAAATTTATCTAAATAATGTGTGTTGTGAATTAATTTGTATATTTTTTTTTTCTAAATTCTCTCATTGCAATCCCTCTATAGCGTCAAGTCTGTGGTATTCTGGATGGTCGGTCTCGAAAGTGATGATAGAAATTTCGCTGACAGTCATTTGACAACTATTGTATTGAACAGACCAACTGGCATACATTCGCTGCTGAAATCAGACGAAACACTTGTTCGGCTTCCCCTCGCACGAATATCATTATTATGATCAAAAAGTATTTGACGAAAACCGCAAACGCCGCCGAACGATTTTCTCTCAGGCGCACATACCAGTTCCCCCGGCGTCGTAATGTATTCAAACCTTCGCTTGCAAAATTTTAGAGCGGCTTTTTGAGCAAAGCGTAATTTTCGGTGGGCTAATCATCATAAAATATAATTTACGCTAATCAGACAAAATTGGAGGTTTTTGACGTCGGCGCTCGCGCAATAATATAATAAGTGCGCGCCGGGTTTTTATATACGCGACGTACCACATTATCTGGGTGAAGAAAAAACAGGGGCAAGGCCGCCCAAAGTCATTACACTCGGTACAGAAATATCCGCTCAAAGCTTGTCGTATGGGTGCTCAAAAGACGTTCCACGACCAGTTATTTTTACCTCTAAATCCTCTCAAAAGTACAATTAAAATAAAGGCGTTTTATATACTTTATTAATCTGAGTTAATGAAATTTTTGATATTTTTTAAAATTATTTAAATTAATTTCTATCAAATTTTTTATTTATGGTTATTATGTTCAATTTTCATTATTTTTATTTCAATTTTGTTTAGTACTAGTTTTAGCGTATGCATTAAACAATATATTTAATGAATATGAGCAATGAAAATTTAGAAAAACGTTTAACAGACAAGCAGAGAAATCTTTCATTTTTAATATTGATTAATAATGATTGAAAATGAATTTCAGATATCCTCCAAAAATGCTGCACGAAACGCCTTCAGTGCAACTTTCCCGTCTGCTGGACGGCGACGACGAGGAGAGTCCGGACGATTTTGCCACCCCGCCTGCGCAGGCTTTTCGCCGCGGCCAGAGTAGGGTGTACCACGCGTCCGAATGGGTTGAGCACCAAGAGTGCATCTGGGCTCAAGCCACCCCCAAAAGTGAGAAACAATCCCCCGAAACAGTGACCCCGGAGGGCGGTGAGGAGTGGCAGCTGATTGTGTCGGGGCACGCGGGGCCGCCGAGCCACAAGAGCCAGGACTCGGGTTTTTCCGACTCCGAGTCGGAGGCCTCGCCGCACCAGCTGGAGTTCAAACCGGTGCCCAAGCCGGCCGGCTCGCCCGCCCCGGGCACGCCGCTGCAGTGCTCGACCCCCAAGGCGGCCAGGACGACGCTGCGGGCAAGGATTGTGAGCCGCAAAAGTGGTGCTAATGACAAGAAGAAGGATTGTAAAGTGAACTACGGACGGACTTTGGTGAACCCTTCTTTGGATTTGCTGCTCACGACGAGGTGAGTTTATTTCACAATTTATTTAAAACGTTATTTTTAAGGATACAGAAGCCAGGAAAATCCAACCGAGAAGCCCAAAATAAAATTATAAATAGCAATATTTTTATGCAAATTTTTGTTGAAAGTTCGAATTTTAGTGAAAGATGGGCTTGTAATAGATAAATTTGCGGTGTCTTCAGACACAAAATTCTGAAAAGGAAAACCTTTTTCCCAGTTCAAGAAGTTTTATTTTCTTGATTTATTTATTATTTATTGGCTACATAAACAAACTCTTCAAATTTTTTAATTTCAATTTCACGCATTGTTTCTTTTGCGAGTTTGTTTAGATCAATGTCAAAAATAAAATTATTTTTTTCTATTTTTAAATCAACCACTTTACCTCTCCACCGACAAAAGAACGCAACCTGCATTATTGAAGTGTCGTACAGGTTGCCTAGTCAAGTTGATTCTCGCTTTTACCAATTCGCTGACACTATCGGAATTCGGCACTTTCCAAAATAATCATTCAACAAAATGCTAAATGTTAGAGACAATTATTTTCTGGTTCCATAAAAATAATAATCACCGGATGCCGCAAATAATTTTACCGCCTCTGCGGTTTCATTTTTTTTCCGTAAAATAATTATTTAGAGACCCAAGCAGTTGGTGAATCATCCATATTTCTAGCTGATAGACCTTTTTGTGAATACCAGGAAATTTTTTAAGGAAAATTACTTGATGTTTTTGTCGCTGCTGATAGGTAATTTTTCAAGTCGTGGCAAAATTTGCGAGTTTGGAGAGCAGCATCAAGAAAGAGAACCTGATTTGGACGCGCAAACAAACGAGTAGTACGTACGTGGTGTGCCAACACTCGGTTGGCATCACCTGTCGTAAATCAGAGGGGCACATTACTTAAATTTATGCAAATGTATGCCCAGGCGCGCGGTGAATAGGACAAAGAGAACGAGGCTGAAGAATTAATAGAGCCGGTGATTTTAACGCCCGTGGTTCCTTGTTAGATGGGCCTTTGTTGTAGATAAGCAGGCGAGAGTGAGTGCGAGAGAGAGGTGCAGTGGATACACACCAGAATAAATATAAATCCTCACCCACATCTCTGCACACGTTGCTCCGCAGAATTTTAAAAAGCCTCGTTTTCGGTCTTTTGTTTCGCAAGCAAGCAGCCTTGAAAATTACGGCAATTTGGCTGGCAGAAAATTAATTCCCAGACTTATCTTCTTCAGAGATGGCTCGTGCTTTGATATCTCAATGACAGTGTTTATTTTTCTAATATATGGAAAAGAGAGAAAAATTTACATATTTTATATGCAGACCAAAATTTTAATTTTATCAAAATTGTTTTAGTTACTTTTTGGCAATTGTTTTACTAATAACTTAAATCAACCGGATAAACAAAAGAGATATTCCCACAAGATAAAAAATTTCAAGGGCTCAACTTCTTCTTCGTCTGCACTGACGAGTGAGCTAGCAAACGTCTCTCTTGCTGGTCGACCCTTGAAACCAAGATTCTTCTTCCTCTTCCCTGCAGACAGACAATGCCGATCTATTTTGATTCGCAACTCTCAGCATCACTCTCATTTTTATCCTCGACTCGCGAGTCGCGACAGACAAAGTGTAGCGCAACAAGGGGCCAATTAAAAAAGCAATTAGGCAGGGAGCCGTAAAAATTAATTGGCGGCGCGAATCTGTTGACAAGTAAAATACTTTTTAATTCAGCACTCTCCGTTTCAATGTTGCTGCTTTGTATGCACGCGTCCCTGAAGACAATCGCAATCATATTTCTTGCGCGAGAGACATTTAATGGACGAAACAAGGGGTCTTGACAGCCGAGCACAGCAAAATAAATATATGTTTAATTTCAAACCTGCTCGCGGTCTGCTCGCCGAGGAAGAAGAACGTGCTAAAAAGTTGCAGCTCTTTTTGCCGGCTCGCGAATTCCCGAGGCGTTATCTCGATCCCTCTTGTTTATATAAAATGTCCGGCCGGCCGAAAAGGTCCATTGTTTGCACGCTCTTATTGTGTTATGAAAGAAAAGAGCGCGGCATGTAATATTTTCAAGTCCAGCAGCAGCAGTCACTTTCGTGCGTACACTTGCTGGAAGGTCAAGCCCAATATTATTCAATCAAAATGTTGCTCCCTTTCAAGTCACGCTTTTCACGCAACAAATTAACTCGGGATTTATATATTGTTCGCTTTGTCTCGCACGGCCTTTGTCACTTTTATTGGCCATTATTTCAGACGAGAGGGGCACTCTTTCGAATTAATTATGAGGAAGCCATTGCACGTGCATTGGAATTTTAATTGGAATTTAAACTCTTTTACGATCTTTGAGTTAAATTTGTGTATCCACAAATTTTTAGTTGAAAAAATAATAATAAAGAACCCGGACTTGGATGGAATTTTTCAACAAAATTTTCCTCCTGCAATAAAGAAAGCGTGTGTCGAATCAGAGATAATTTCGGCCCCGGTCGCGTTGTTATTTGATTTTGAGCACGTACACCACTTCAGATTCAGGGTTCATTAGCCATTTATTTCATGTGTGTGGTGCCGAAGTTGATCGCCACTTTGAGAAAAATACGACGTTGTTCTCCGCGTTTTATGCCCGAGCGCGATCTCAACTCAATAATTTGCTGTAACTAATCACTTCATCAAAATCGATTTTCAGGCCATGGCCCTCTGTGTTCGCGCGCGTTACACAAACACGGGGCGACTGCCGACTGACTCATCCTCTTTATTGCGCTCATATTCCAATGGAAAAGTTGCAATTACTCTTGATTTATCGCACGAGCCGATCGCAATAACAACTGTACTTGACCACGAATTTCCAGCGATTTATGAGAAAGCTCGCAGTTTATTTATGTCTTCATTAATTGGATTTTCTTGGCTAGGAGATTTGTTTTGCTCAGAGACGCAGACAAAATATTAAAATTTCATTTTTTATCGTAAAACCCCAAAAGGCATGAAAAGTGAAACTACCAGATACAAATCTGGAGTATAATTGCGTGAAACAGAATCTGGCTTTGATTTTATCTTGATATAGAGAGCGAACACACATCTTTACAAATGTCCATAATTAATTGATGGCTTGTGGCAGGGTTGTGGGCAGCGAGGTGTGTCGCGATCCAGTGGAGAGATGGCTGCAAGAAACGCGATCGCGTGTCGACGCCGAGTGCATGACCACCCTGCAGGGCAAGGCCATCGCCTCAAGACTGGGAAGTGCGTGCTCCAGAGTGGTCGGCGCAAGGGATGCTGTGCGTGCCCTCCAGCAAAGGGCGCACGTCATCTCGGCAGAGTTCGCCAAATTGTGCCAGTAAGTAAAAATATATTTTAAAATAATTAAATAATAGTAATAAAAATTGTCCTTACAAGTATTTTCCAACTTTATTTTTTTATTATAAAATAAATTTTTAATATATTTATAAAGTGTTATTAAAAAATTTTAGTTGCTCTATTTTTGTCCAAGGTGCATACAAAAATTTCTTTTACAATTAAAAATCTTTAAAATGCAACACTATATATAAATTGTACGTCAGATCCCACATTACAACATTGAAGTTTTAAGATGAATAAAACTCGTGAGCTTGGTCTTTATCATCAGGCGATGCATACAAAATTATTTTGCAAATAAAATATATAACGTCAAAAATAATATACTATCAGTAAGTCGCATGTTGGATGTCTTTGAATTAAAATAAATATTTTTATCCAATATTATATTTTCCAAAATTATCAATGATTATTTAGGATTAAAAGAATGTAAAATATATGATAGCAAGAAAATAAAATATTTTTTAATACCATAATGAATGCTATTCTCAAAACTGTAAACAATTTTAAATATTTAGGATGAATGAATCTTTATTACAGGATGTATAAGCGCTGCTGTAAATGCTTAATATTAGGCAAGGGGACGAAATAAATCTATCTGGAATTTTAAAATCCTTATTTATTCTATTGTAATTTATATCATACGCAGTCATAAAAAAGTATTTTTAATAATATTTAATTTTGAATAACACCAAAACCAGTTTCTTCTCCTCTTTGAATCTTCGGAATCGCGTTCGACACGGCCCCGGCGAGTTTCATAATAAATAAGCAGCTCGTGCTCGCTAAATCGTCACGCAAATCGCGCGCAACTCGTAATTTTTCACTTCCTTGGCCCTCAGCAACCTCGTAGTGGCTTTTTATCCAGCGATTGGACGCTCAGGAGCATTCTTTAAGCAGATTTGTTTTCCACACATCTGCCAGAAAAATATTTTAATGAGGGTTATAGCTTTTTTTCTCCATCCGATGGGATTTTTTATTTAAAAAAGCAGATGTGATTCGCGTGATGCGAATGCAATTTTTTACTCTCTTCAAAGACTTTTCAAACAGATTCCGCCAACTGATATCAAAATCCTATTATAAGGAAAAATAGCAGACAATGATTTATTCTTTATTGTGTGTGTGATTTCAGACACATGGAGTTGGACAGACTTGAATCTTGTCCGCCCCTGGCTGAAAGTCTCATCGGTCATGTCCATGAATTCGTTCAGGGCTACCAGTCGCACCACGCGCAGTGTCCAGACGAGGAGCAGCGCCGCGAGGACCAGGAGCGGCTGGCGCGTGAAGAGGCCTCCCTAGTGGCCGCCTGCGACCGCCTCCTGCTCACCTGCAACAGCCCGGACGGCACCCTGTCCAGGGAGCAACTCGCCCTGGATGTCGCCTCCCTCGGACACTCGTTCACGCGGCTGGTCGACCGGGTTCTGAGTCACGAAATCAAAGGGTTGGTTTGGGTCCTCGAGCAGGCGAGTCCGGCTGAGATTGACCTCAGGTCGGCCCTGGCGAGCATCGCGGCGCTTGGCCTTGAGGGAAGCCACCTGTGCAAACTAATCATCAAGTGCGGCGCCGTCCGCGCCCTCTTGGCTGTTTGCCTGGACGCGTCCAAGCCGAACCTTCGAATCGCCGCCCTCAGGACGCTGGCCATCATTTGTGGGGAGGTTGACGCTGTTAGACACTTAGATCAGGTAAGCAGAAAAAAATAAATTTTTAATGTAATAAAACTCTCCTCAGAATTAAAAGAAAATAATTTGAGCTTATGAGAAGTTAAAATATTATAGAATTTTCCAAACTTGGTGATATTTTAAAACGGCTAAAAGAGTTTATTTCAAAGAAAATTAAAAAAAAATGTATTTTTATATTTATTGTTTGGCAGCTACTTGAAAAAAAAGGAATTTAAGTAATTTCATATTTAATATTTTATGAATTGAAAGAAAATTTTATATCCGTTTATAAAGTAAAACAAAACTTAGTGTGCTTTTTCTAACTAAAATTTATTTTCAGGGTGGTGGAATTGAAATCCTGGCTGATATCCTGACAGAAAACCAAAGAAGTGAGGAGGAGAGAGCGGAAGCCGCCTCTGTTTTAACTCAAGCGTCCACCCTTGGAGTGGATGGCAGCTTAACCATCGAGTCCCTTCCTGACCACTTGGACTCATTAGTTTCTTCTCTTTCTCGTAAGTGTTCTCAAATTCTTATTCAACTTCTGTTATTAAAAAAATATAATTTTTTTTAGAACTTGCAAGTGAGACCAAAAAAGGCGAGTCCCTGCTGCTAGCTCTGGCCGCCCTGACCAACCTGTCGTTCCTGGAGCCGCGCCAGTGTGTGATGCTGCTTGTTCAAAAGGGCGTCACCAACAAACTGCTGAATGCCGTCCGCAGTGGCGTATCCACATCCCTCTTTGTACAAGAACAGGCGGCCACTCTTTTGGCCAATATGGCGGCCGTCGCTGAGGCCAGGGCCGAGTTGGCCGAGAGTGGTCGTGCCGTTGTTGCCCTTTTGTGCTTCCTTCAAATCAGATCTTCCCCTCTGCAGCGCGCGCCGGAAATTTCCGCAGCCGAAAGGGTCCAGCAAAAGTCTGCAATTGCCTTGTCAAGGTAAATAAAATTATATAATACAGCAAAATTTTTCCTACTTTTATTAAAATTTACAGTGTAATTTTCAATTTTTGTACTAATTTAATTCATAATTTTTGTACCATAGGTTGTGCAGTTCACAAACGGTGGCTCAACAAATTGTGGACCTGCAAGGGGCAGAAAGGTTGGTGCGTCTCTGCAAGGACGAAAAGGAGAGGAACCACAGCGACGGGGTTCTTGTAGCTTGCCTCGTAAGTTTATTGCTAAATTCTGAGATTGTAAAATTCCTTTAATTATTTCCTTCATTGCAGTCTGCGCTCAGGAAAATTGCTTCACATTGTGGCTCTGAAGTGATTGAAAAACTCGGTGCTCAGGAACTAGTGGCACCAAGACTTCTGGACTCTTTTCTTCTTTACTCGTCAAGACAAGAAAGTTACGTGTGAACTTGCCTTTATTATTATTGTCTTATTTTTATTACTCGCAGTCAAACAAAAGTTTACACAAACTTCCTGTTATTATTAATTTCTTAAATTTAAATTAAACTTTAATTATTATGTGTTCATCTGTATGTGAACTGTGTTTTTAAGATGTCAAATAAAATGTTGTTAAATTCGAGAATGCAAAAAATAATCAATAAAAACATAAAATTAAAAATTACAATGCTGAATGAGTTTCTATTTCATTTATAAATTAATTAAAGCAAAAGGAAAAAATTATATATTATACGCACGCGAATGCATTTTACAAAATATATGGAGAATTAATTTTTTTTTATTCCTGTTCTTGTAAAAAAAATCAGCCAGACGCAAAACGATCTAACAGTATTGTTATGCAACCCTAATACACTGGTGCCTCGCGGTACAGTATGACACTAGATTGCAGGCGCCTGCGAGACACGTCGATGGTCTGCCAGACGGCAGCACCGAGGAGATTTTTGAGGGGGCGTAACACCGTCGTGTGTTGTTGACGTTGAGTCGTCGAGCAATGAAATTGGAAAGACTTTCACGTCGGATTCTACGCACTGACACGCAATGAGCACGTTTTTAAGTAATTAACGTGAATTATGAAAATAATCCGCTGAAGATGGGTGATCACGTCGATTTTTCCAAATTGATGCAAGCTGCCAGCGAGAATAGGCAGAGCAGCGCAAACAAAAATGTACGATCACGGCAAGCATGCCGACCTATTTTCTCTTTGATTTATTGTACTTTTGATTTCAGAGTCGATATCTTGTTACGAAGTTCAAACCGCCGAAGAAAGTCTCACGTCAGGATGCTGCGCTATCAGATAATATTAAAAATTTCATGGCGAAAAAAGCTGAAGAGGAACGACAGAAGAAAGAGGAAGCGGAGAGACAAAAAAGGGTGTGCAAAATGTTCAATTAATTTTACTTTGCTTAATTTAAAATTTTACGAGACAATTTCAAACTCTTTTCGCATAATCTTATTGTTAAGGCTTTTTGTCATTTCAGAATTTGATTGAAAAGCGATCTGAGGATTCGAAAGCGTTCAAACGTATTCAGTTGATGAAAAAATCCACAAAGTCCGCCAGCAAGTCCGTCATGGCAGATGCTATGGACGCCCAAGACCCTATGGATTGTAAGAATATTTTTTTGATTCGCAAGTAATGGTGAGAATTAAAGTTATGGACCACAATTTTTACAGCAATGAGACAGCCAGATGAAGACGACTATGGATTTTCTTCAACAACAGAATCTGCCATGTATGAAAAAATGATGCGAGGTTACGTCTCTCAGAGTCAAGACAAAAAAACTACGCCTTCCAAAAAGCCAACAAGTAATCTGATCGCTACTAAAGTAAATTTTAAATTTGATCTATGCAATTGAAAATTATTAACTTTCAATAATTTTAGGCTAGAGTAAGAGAAGCTTTTGAAAGAGAACAGATGGAAGCAGAAATGCCACACCGAAGAAAAAGGAAACAGAAATCGGAAGAGAGCACAACAACAAAGCACTCTGAATATTACGACGATTACGAGGAAGCACCTGCAGCACCAGTGAAGCCCAAAAAGCCTCCTCCTCCGTCTTTAATGAACTTCAACGAAATGCTTCGAGCTGCACAGCTAAACAGAGACCGACCGATGCTGGACGATGACCCGGTCCGACTAAACCCAGTGAAGAAACCACCAGAACCAAGTGAACCAGAGAGACTTATGACTAAAAAGGAGAGGCGCGAGTATTTGAAAGAGAAGGAGTACCTGGATAGAAAGGCTGAAAGGGCAAAAACGGGCGGCAAGAGTGTCCCTCAGGTGGCACCTTTAACTTCCGGAACAACTCTCGGTCGTATTCCCAAAATCCCAAAAAAAGAGCCAACTTCTGATGATCAGGCAGCCCGTGCAAGCCCCAGACCCAGTGAAAAGCCAAGCACAAGCCATGATATGAAAAAATGCAACGGGAAACCAAACTCTACGCTGAACAAAGTACCACCAAAACCTTTGGAAAAGGGTTCAATCCTTGAAAAGAGACTAACATTGCCTGAGAAAAGACCAGTTGTGCCTGAAAAATCAAAACCACTTTTGCCTTCCAGTTCAAAAGTGCCTCCTCCGAAAACTGGAAAACCATCTGGGCCCTCAAAATCAGAGCCGAGACGAGAAATTGAGAGGGAGAAGCCTTTATTGCCCAACAAAACCCTGCCAAAGCCACAACCTGCAAATGGAAAAGTACCTCCAAGACCTGCAACAGCCCCAGCGCCAAAATCTGGACAAATTCGGCCAGCAGTGCAAGAGAGAGGACGACTCCCAGTTGCAAAACCAACAAGTTCGGTCCCTGCAAGAACTTCTGGAGGCCCAGTTAGATCTGAAGGAAGACCCCTATCTGCGCAGGCCAAACCAGGACCATCTAGGATTGATCCAGGTCGGCCAGCTGGAGGACCGCAGAGGCCACCAGGCGCTCCAGCAAGGCCTCCCGTAGTTCAAGGCCAACCTGACGGAAGACCTGCTGCTGCCTCCGGACGGCTAGTGAATGGGTCAATGAGGCCTGGTCAGCGACCAGGAGGACCACCGATGAGGAGACCCGTGGGTGGTGATTACCCCAGGGGACCTCCAATGAAGAGGAGTAAAATGGCCATTCCCAGCGATTCTGAGTCGGAAGTTGATTCCGAAATGGACGACTTCATAGACGACACGCCGCAGGAAAATGATCTTGATCTTTCATCTGTTCTCAAAAATGTTTTTGGATACGACAAGAGAAAGTAAGAAATAGAATGTCATGCATTCAACTAATTTTACAAAAATGGTTTTCAGATACATGGCAAGGGACTTCGATGATGACGATGAGTGTATGGAGTCTAGTTATGACCAAATAAATAAAGAAGAGTTCATCAGTAAAAAAGCAGGTATGTTTGAGGGTTGGGTTTATTTATTTCAATCAATGAGTTTTAAATTTTCTTTTAGGTATTTTGGAGGATTTGGCTGACATTGAGAGAAAGAAGCGCTTAAAGGAGGCTGCTAAAAAGCGGAAAGGTCAGAGATAATTTTTTCAATAGTGTATTGGGTGATGCGTTGTGGCTTGTGAAACTTGAAATTATTATAATGATTTGTTACTTTTTAAATAAAATTTCTTGGATATAGTATCCACAAGGCAGATTGACTTGCTTTTTATTCAGTTTTGAACAGTTTTAACTGCAAATACATAATGTAATTTATTTATTATAATATTTATGTTGTTTATCATCATTTAGTTAAATTACGGGTTATAATGTACTTCAATTTAATTATTTGCAATCACTGCAGCGATGCATTGCTATTTACTTTAAACAGTACACATAATCGCTGAAAAATTCAGGTCATGTTTATTTAAGCGTAATTAACCCTTCATGCGCGCGAAGAGGCTGTTTTCATAAATATCAGTGTTTTCCAAAAGGAATGTCAAAAATTGTTTGTCATTAAAAATTAAAAAAGTACTATTTTCGGACACTTCAAAGGAACACAGCCAGCCCTTAAAACTAGGTATCCTAGTGTATCGATTATGTTTGGCCGGAGCCTCCTGACAAGTTAATCAAGGATTTCTCCAGCTCTAAATTCACCTCATCGCTGTCGGGGGCCTCCGAAATTACCCAAGAGTCGTCAGTGCTTTCAAGTTTCTCCCGGCAAATGGGACAAGTTTTGTGGTTTACATTCCTAAGCAGAAAAATATAGAGGATGAATTAAAGCCAGCAACTCTTTAAACCTTTAAATACTTACCACTGTTCAATGCATGGAAGGCAGTAGCTGTGCGCGCATGGCAATATAACCTCGGGCTTTCGTTCGAGACAAATGCAGCATTCGCCAATGTTGTTCCCCATACATGAATCTTCCATGTCATTTAATAATACTGATGTGCTCAAAATATCATGGGCATGGTGTCCTGAAGCGCTACTCTCTACTGCGACCAAGTGGCCTTTCAGGGTGTGCGCCACCTGTAGCAAAATAATTATAGTTAACAACATACATTATTTTGATTTTAATTGTGTCCAAAACCTTCAAGAGCTGAGGGAGGTTTAAAATTTTGTGACTTTCAATCTTATTCGTGGTCACATTAACCCTGACGCAAGCGATCCTGACGGTGCTCTTCCATAGAATCGAAGTGTCGCTTCCTTTCTTCACAGCAAAAACGAGCTTCCTGCCTTTACTGTCCACGCATCTACAACACCTGTATGCATAATTCATGTTTATGAGGGTTAATTTTTGTGATTAATTAATACTGACAATGTGTTCAGCTGGCGTATGCAGTCGAGGAAGTCGTCGTAACTCAGACTGGCGACGTCGGTGATGGTTCTGGCATGTTGGATGAGGGTTCCCATAGACTCTGGCAAAGCCTCCGATGCCGTCTGCCCCATGGTTCTGCAGTTCCGTTTACTGTCCGCAAATCTTGAGCCGCATTACGAACGTAAATTATTGAATTTTCCCAAGGACAAAAGCAAAACTTCTTAAAAAGCAGGGCCGCTTACAACGTCGAACGTCATCTCGTTTTGCCAGCTGCTGTATGTAAATAAACAAATAATTTGATTGGTTCTCGTGGTGGGGCCTCGGGACCATGACCAATCAGCGCGCTTCTTCCTTCCCGCTTACACCGGTCAACAAAAACACATGATTTTTCAAATTTTTCTCTTCCTGGCTCAGAAATATTTAAAAATAGGTACTAATATTTTTGTATTTGCAAGGCCTTTAGTTTAAAAAACGCTGGCATCAACAGAATTGCTTTTGACCTACAGTATTTCCTTCTATTGGTAGAATGGCACAATAATTTGAAACAATTACAGGCCTTTTTCTATGTAACAAAAAACATTCAACATGCCTGAAATCGACATCAGTGGTGTGCCGGTGGAATTTCCATTCACCCCTTACGAAGTGCAGAGGGTTTATATGGAAAAAGTTATAGAGTGCCTGCAGAAGGTATAATTTTAGTGAAAGAAAATATGTATTAAATTTAACATTAATTAATAATAACATTGAATTACCAGGGCATCAATGGTGTTCTTGAGTCGCCGACAGGCACTGGAAAAACCTTGAGTCTCCTCTGCGCCTCCTTAGGATGGCTTCGAGTGAAGAAGGCTCAGATGCAGGCCAATTCTGCTCAGAGATCAGCAGCTGCTGGAAATCAAAATTCCATGAGTAGCGTCATGCAGAGTCTGGGGCTTGCAGCTGGTTCTGTTGTTCCTCAAGAGCTGATGGGAATAAGTATGAAAAACTTTTTATAAAATATATTTATTTCTTATATATCATTTGATCTAAATAAATTCAGACTACCCAAAAATCATCTACGCCTCTCGAACGCACACCCAGCTATCGCAGGCATTAAATGAGCTTCGAAGGACAAAATATGTGGATGGATTCAAAAGCACTGTGATCGGCTCTCGAGACCAACTTTGCATTCACTCGGAAGTCCTCAAGGAGACGAACAACATGAACAAAATTCACATGTGTCAAAAATTTGTGGCAGCCAGATCTTGCATTTTCTACAACAGAGTTGAGGAGATGAAGAATAGTCCCTCTTTCACGGAGACGTCAGGCATAACTGACATCGAAGACCTCGTCAAGAAGGGCACCACTCACAAGTGCTGTCCTTACTACATGGCAAAAGAGTTGAAAAACAACGCTGACATTGTGTTTATGCCTTACAACTACTTGCTAGATCCCTTGGCCCGAAAAGCAAACAACATCGAGTTGGATGTAAGCATTTAATTATGAAGTGCTATGTACCAAATTTAAAATAATTTTGCAATATTTCATTAGAATTCTGTTATTATTCTGGACGAAGCTCATAACGTGGAGAAAATTTGTGAGGAAGCAGGGTCGTTGCAGTTTAGGAGCACTGACGTTGCACTTTGTATAACAGAGGTAAATTAAGATTAATTTTTGTGATTCAAAAAATTTAAAAAAGGCATTTTTGTAGATAACAAAAGTGATGAAAGACTTGATGAGCCACATGGAGTCAAATGGTTTTGGAGTTGAAACATCTGCAGCCGTCAGAGACTTTAACCAAGACGACTTGATGCTTTTGAAGACAATGTTCCTCGAGCTGGAAGCTGCAATCGATGCGATTGAAGTGTCTGGAGAAGGGACAACTTATCCAGGACAGCAGATCTTTGCTATCTTGGGCAAAGCTGACATTTCAGGGAGCAAGGTTCCCATGCTGCAGTCTGTCATTGACAAGCTTGTCCAGTATCTGGCCACAAGTGCAAATTCTCCGGTCCAGAGAATGGGCGTTGGACTTCAAAAGTTTTCCGAGCTTTTGACAGTTGTTTTCACAAACAGAGGAGACAAAGACGACCCTAATCAGTCCTACTACAAGGTTTGTGCATAGTTTATTCAAAAAAGATAAATAATTTTTTTCGTTTTAATATAGCTCCATGTGACGTTTGAGGAAGCAAAAAACACTAAGAAAACATGGCTGGATGTCAAAAGCGACAAGTTTAAGAAAGGCAGGATATTGAATTACTGGTGCTTCAGTCCTTCATTTGGGTGCGTATTTATCATTTTTATTGCTCTTTACGGAATTAAAATGGTTGATCATTTAAGCATGAAAATGTTGTGGCAACAAGGAGTCCGTAGTATCATCTTGACTTCCGGAACTCTGAGCCCCATCCCACCTCTGGTGCAAGAATTGGGCATCAGTATTGGTGTGACACTGGAAAATGGACACGTCGTAACTGGAGATCAGGTGTTTGTTGGTGTTGTGTCGTCGGGTCCAGATGGAACGCAGTTAAATTCCTCATTCAATACTAGGTAATTCTCAATTTTATTTTTATTACTTCAGATATGTTAATAAGAAAATTAATAAATTAGGAATGATCCAAAATATATTGCTGCTCTTGGAAGGACAATCCAAAATTTCAGCCGAGTTGTTCCTGGTGGACTTCTGGTATTTTTCCCATCCTATCCTTTGCTAAAGAAATGCCAGGATGAATGGCAGGGCATGGGAATTTGGTCAAAAATTGTAGAAAATAAGGCAGGTTTTAATTTAAAGTTGATTGTCTTTAATTTAAAATTTGATTATAGTCTATCTTTGTTGAGTCGCAAATCAGAGAGGCATTTGCCAGCAACATGGCTGAATACTACGACAAAATTCATGGGTCTGATGGCAAAGGTGCCTGTTTCTTAGCAGTGTGCAGAGGAAAGGTAATCACAATGGGATATCCTATTGAAAAATTTAATTCTAAATAATTGCACTCTTAGGTTTCTGAAGGTCTCGACTTTTCTGATAACAACGGTCGAGCTGTGATCATCACTGGATTACCATATCCTCCATTCAAAGACCCCAGAGTCGTGCTGAAGCAGCAGTATTTGGATTCAATCAGATCTAGAGATAAAAACGTGAGCTTTCAATGACTAATTTTAATGTTTAGTAATTTATTTCTCTACACTCGATAGGCTATTTCTGGCCAGATGTGGTACCAACTTGAGGCTTCGAGAGCAGTGAACCAGGCCATTGGAAGAGTTATCAGACACAAAAGTGATTTCGGCGCCATTCTCTTGTGTGATACTCGCTTTGGAAATACCAATTTCAAGCAACAACTGTCAGCATGGCTCCAACCCCACATCCAAGTTTATAGTCAGTTCGGAGGTTGCTACAAATCTGTGATTGATTTTTTCAAAAAGACTGTAACTATGGTAAGGATGGGCTTAGATTTTTTTCAATGTAAAATTAATTTTCAATTTTAAAGTTTCCAACGACAGAAACAAGATATCTGTCTAGGCAGCCAGCTAATCGAGGTGCTGCAAAAGAAGATGAGTTAAGGTCGATGACTGCTGTTGGCTTTGGACAGGCATCCTCAAGAAAGGTTAGCAAACAGATCCAGTCGGGACCCGCACCATCATCTCTCAGCACAAGCCAAATAACGCTTGACATACTCAATTCATCAGTGGAGTCCCCCATTGCTATTTCACCTCTGGTTACAAAGAAGGACAAGAAAAGTTTGGTCAGCAAAGGCCTCTTCAGTGCCATTCAGGAGACCAAGTCTGATGGTGTAATCAATTTCAACGAAAACGTGCAGGTATTTTTCTTATTGTTTTATTTTATTAAAATGAAGATGATTTATTGCTTTTGATTATAAGGTTGACTTTTATCTACCAAAGTTTACAAGGAACGCTTCAAGCTCAAATTTGGGAGCATCGAGCTCTCTGAAAAGAAAACTGATAGACAATCCAACGGTGCAAAACAAGTCATGGGTAAAATCAAAATCACAATCTTCCAGTTCATCTCAGACAAGTATAGCTGATAAAAGAGAGGCTTCAAAGGACTATTTGATGAAGGTATATATTAACTTATTTAGTTGCAAATTGTGTTTATTGATATATCACAAAGGCAATTGCTGCCCATAACGGGATACATCATTCATACATTCAAAATTATACAAATTCAATACAATTGAGAGAAAAGATGAGAGTTTTACAAACAAAGTTTTACATGCGAAATTTAAGTTTCTACTTTTCTTTTAATTAATTAATATGCCTGTCATATTAGATTAAGTATTCTCTCAGTGCGGACGAATACAGGAATTATATAAGAATGGTGAAAAATTATAATTTGGACAGCAACTACTCAGCGCTCATGGACTCGCTGAAACCCATTCTACGAGACAAGAAAATAAAGGTGGAACTTTATGAAGGCAAGCTTAAATTTAAAGCAAAAAACCTTAAAAATATTAAAGGCGTTTTTTTTTTCTTCAGGTTTTACCCGCTTCATCAAGGAAGAGCACAGGCCTAAATACAGGGAATTTTTATCAACATTAAGCTGACAAAATTTTGTCCACTACACTCAAATTTGGTACCATTAAATTGTTTTATAACTTTTATTTTACAGAAAATTTGCACCAAAGCTTTTCTGTTGGTATTTGCGGTATTTGAACCTTTTAGAAAATGCATCCTTAATTCCTAAAAATGTTTAAAATGCAGAGAATGCACAGCAACGGATAAATTTTTTTTATAACCAGCCAAGTTCCAAGAGCCTGAAATTTCTCAGATGTTCTCAGCATTCCAGCATAATTTTAATCGTTTTTCTCTTGAAAACCTCAAATTAAAATCAAAAATTTTAGAAATAATAATACTTAAACATAAACTACTAATATGCAATTTTATTCAAATCGATTTGGAGAAAAAATACAATTCATGAACAATTTCTGGCACAATTATTTAAAATGAAGTTCACAAAAAACAAAATTTTACGAATGCAGCCTCTTATTCTCTTAAGTCTTGATTGCGAGTATGTATGACATATATAATGCAAAAATTAATGGATATTTAGGATAGAAAACCCTTGAGAACTAATTGAATTTCAGATCGCATTTAAATTTTACTTGGCTGCAATTTCCTCAGTGCGGCTGATGGGAATTTCCTTGGGCTTCTCGACCTCTCCAGAAATGGGGGCTTCGATGCACAGCACGCCCTCGTTACTGAGCAGGGACTTGAGGTTGGAGACCTCCACACTTTCTGGAAGGGTGTAGAGACGACTCATCTCCTGGTAGAAGCGGCTGCCGTCCTCAGACTTTTTCTCCATCTTGGCGTCGATGGTGAGGACGCGGTCTTTGAGGCTCACCTTGATGTCCTCGGGTTTGAAGCTGGAGACGTCCAGGTTGATGCGGTACGTGTTGCCAGAGGTCTCGGCCGCCTCCAAGGGCATAGAACGAGGGAGCATTTGCATCAGGGGTGAGTACCTGATAACAAATTAGAATCAATTGTTAGGGATGAGAGCGCCTTTAAAATAAAAACTAAATAATCAGTAAATATTGTATGAAAATTACCTGAAGAATGAGTCAAAATGGTCCATCTGACGGTCCATGTCTCTTATCATGCGATTTACGGTCCTGCTTGGAAGGCCCCAGAAGGTTCTCTGGGCCGGAACAAACTGAGCACGTGCCACGACCGGCAAAGCAGATTTGACCACTCGGAACATTTTTGAAGTTGCTCGGTTGTTTTTCCTGCGAAATTAAAAAATATGAATAATTTAAAATCATATTGGAAAAATTAAACGGAAGCTCATGGAACAATAAGTAAAAAGCAACAAATTTGTGCTGGGAAAAGATGCCAGTAGAAGCGGGCAGGAAAAATGTGGTATAAATTTGATAAATTTTTAAAATAGAACAAAATAATTTACTTTAATTAAACTTAAAGAATTGTTCAAACAGATCTTTTATAATAGAGTGATATGCCACCTGGTTAATGAAAAAACTGTAGAGAAATGACATTATATGTTCTTACCTTTTCTGACAAAAAACTCTTTGAAATTTGAAAGTGTGCAGCAGAGAAGTGGTGCCGGCAGTATTTATACCCACGCTAAGAAAAGTTTCTAGAATATTACAGAACAAAAATGATTCCAGCCGGCAGCGCTCCCTGCAATGTTTATCAAGTGCATCCCCTGCAATAGATGGCGATGCAGTTCTATGCACCGGGGGAAATTCGGCTGCAATGGCGCGATAGAATTTTTTACTGCACGCGGTTATGTGTATAATGTATTGCTGTCATTGCTGATCATCCCTTTTATATAAATTGCAATTTTTAACTTACACTTGGCGCACTAGCGCAGTGAAATTACGTGTTGTGTTGTGTGAAAAATTAGCAAATAAATAATGGAAAAGAACAGTTTTGATTGCAAAATAATTTTGCTCAGTAGAAACTTAAAAATAAATTAACTAGATTTTCTTTCAATAATAATAATTATCTGAAGTTAATATTAAAGGAACAACATTATAGCTAATGGAAAAATACTAAGTCAATTTTTAGATGTGCGTGTGCGATTGAGAAATGACAATGATGACTTTATTTAAGAGTAATTTTAATATAATATTGGTTTTTATTTATATTTATTTGTACAACTATGATATTTAAAATTTAAATATATATTTAGTTTCAAATCGTGTTTATTAATGTATCTTCGGGCAATATATTTATGGTAGCTGCAACACAATAATTTATCATTTTTTACTATTCATATTTGATAAACTCTTTACATGGAAACTATTATTTTTTGAAATCCTCTGTTGCTAAATATTGGTCAACATTATTAATTATTATATTCCAAAGTTGATATACCACGACATACAGTATTAATGATCACAAATATAATTTCATTGAAATCGAATATATCATTATTGTATTATATAATTAAGCACAGGAAAATTATAATCATAATTAGTCATAAATTAAATCTAATTTTCTAACAAAAAAGGTCCCATCAATTTTAATTTCTTGATCGCTCTTCCAGCATATACTCTAGCTTTTTCAATCGCGTTAGAATGAGGTCCATCTTATCAACTTCCGTATTTTTGTGTGCCACTGCCAAGGCATCGCTTACAATGGTATTGAATGTGCGGCAAAACGAAAATCTGCAAGGCCTGCTACCGCCGATGCAACCCGTGCAGCACTCGTTTCTGCAACACGTATTCAAATCTGGCTCCACTCGATTATTCTGGTTGAGGAAAACATGCACCTTGTTTCCACTCTCGGCAAGCAAATTATCGAGCAGTAAAATTTTTGTGCCCATCCAACTTGTGTAGGGTTTTAAAATCATGCAACAGCAATTTTTCCACGAGACGAGAAGGACAGACTCGATGTCATAGAAGAATTTTACTTGTGACACACAGAAAATGAGTTCGGCTTCGTTTCTAATCTCTTGCGTGTCACTGACGGCCAAACCATTTAGTAAATTAACCATCACGATGGAGATCAAAAATAAAAATGACAGGAAAATCAAATGGCTTGCAATTGACACGTGATTGAATTCAAGGTCTCCAGCTTCGTATTCACCGCTGATCATAACTATCGTTTTAAATATTGAGTCGGGCAACGTGTTAAAAAAGTCCTTGCAATCTTCCACTCCCTCTTTGGGGGTGCACTTAGGAAAGATGATGTAAAATGAAAAACCGAAAGCGGCGATGAGACACATGTACCATAAAAGGAATTTCAGGAAATTTAACGCCACTTGAAAGAACATGCGGATGTAGATGGCCAGGCAGGGGTGGCGACTCATGAGGAGGACCATCTCGATGCAAATCAGCAGGCAAAGTGCGGAGGCCACCCATTTGGTGAAGGGCGAGTGCAGCAGGCACACGGTCATCACGATAATTGTCATTTCCAGCCAATTTTCCAATGTTAAGAGGTACTTCTTTGTGAGAAAAACGAGTTGGAATAATTCGCGCAGGGCAAAGAAAACGGTCAGCACCATCAGCAAGTTCCAAACGGAATCAAAGTGTTCGTGGAGAAATCCAACATTTTCGGTTCGGTTTTTAGCGACCACCATGTCTTCATTGTTGATGTTCTTGAAATCAATGCTGAAGACAAACAAAAAGAAAGTGAGCGTGAACGCTAAATAAAAAGCAAAGTTCAGCCAGTAGAACCAGAAAAGCCGGTGCCATTTGATGCGCAGAAAGGCCTTGATGACGGGGTGTTGCAGCGCAATTCTGTGGCTCTTCGAATCCACCATCCATCGCAAAGTCTGCATTTCAGGCTCGGACGGTATGTCCCCGTTTTCATCATTAATTGCACCACCCATATTCAAACTTGAGTACCCTTTGCTGCTCGCCTTTGAAAACTCTTGATTTTTCTTAGGGACTTTCAGGAAATTAAAATCAAATACGAGCGCGTGGCTGCAGTCCATGCAGCTGTCGTCTGTGCATTGTATTTGATCGTCCAGGTGTTGCATGATGAGCTCTGGACGCATATTGAGGAAAACGGGAGAGTTGAACTTATCAGGGGCAAAAATGTTTGCCCCGTACTTCAGCAGGACCTCAACAATGTCATTCAGGCGCCGTTTGGCTGCGTAGTGAAGGGCCGTCATGCCCCTGTAGTCTTCTTCATTGACCCATTTCTTGACGTCTGAAATCTGAGTCGCTGCCAATTTCAAAATCGATTCCACCACATTAACGCTGGTATTCATGTTGTCTGTGTGGACGGCGAAATGGAGAACAGTCAGTTGGGAATTGCCGGGTAATTTTTTGGTGATGTCAAGCTTCTTGCCTGCACTTTCGATTAGATCAAAGTACTGCTCCCCGGCTTTGATTGCCGCAAAAAGGGCCGTGTTCGGGTCGGCGCCCTGGTCAATCAAAGTCGCCGCCATTCTGGGGAGTCGGTTTTTAATTGCGCACTCCAAAAGTGTGTACCGTCCTTTGTACGGTTTGTTCAGCTCCATGGAAGTAACATTTTTTAGAAGCCATTCTTCGAAGGCATTTTCTTTGTTGTCCACACTGACAGAATGTCTCTCAAGCTTTTCTATTAACACATCTAGGGTATCCATTATAGAGTCCGAACACCCCGTGTATGTGCACCCAGTGTAAGATTCCACCCACAGAGGTTTGTATTTTTCAATATAATCCCTGGCACTTTTGCCATCAATTTTCATATCTATGTTTGCTCTATTCTGAAGGAGAAATTCAACAATTGACCAGAGTTCATTTTGCGCAGCCAAATGTACTGCGGTGATGTCTGCTACCCCGTCCTTAGCAAAAAGATTGCAGTTTTTTTCGACCAGCAGTTTTACGCACTTCAGTGCATTTTCCTCAACAATTTCAAAGTTTTGGTTTTCCAAACTGCTTACCGAAGCAGCTCCGCGAATAGCAGAGTGTATTGCGGTCTCACCATTTTTGGTGAGCGCTGTCGGATCGGCGGGATTTATAGAGTGATTGATGAGTTGCGCAAGCAATCTGTGCAGCCCTCTTTTAGCTGCCTGATGGATAGGGTACGATCCGGCGCTCGGGTGGATTCCGTGAGCATTATATCTATAAAGCAGCTTGTCCGCAAACTCGCATCTTTTCTCTTCATCCTGCAAAAAATTGACCTTTCAATTCAAGGATACTTGATATAAAATTGATGTGTATAAATAAAAAATGAAAACAAAAATGACGCAGGCATCAGGCAATAATGATAATTTTGAGGCATGTAAAAAAAATTTCAATACGCGAATTTTAATAATTTTTTTTACTATTCTGTGCCATTTGAGGAACAAGTGACTGATAACGTAAAAACGCCATATCTTTTAATGCACTTTTTTATTGTCTACCATTCTTTTGGTCACGGTGTGCGACCCTTTATTTCCTTAAAAAACGCGCTGCTCCTTGACTAATTATTAGCAAAAGCACGTTTCTTATTCATGAAAGGGTTGTTGGCCGAGATCAAAACTGGAATAGAGTCGTTTTGGTTTTGAACAAAAGCAATTTCTCCAGCGACCCGTTTTTCAATTCATGAACGTCTCATCACTTCTTCCCTGTATTAATTTTAAGACTCAAGAATCGAGACTGATAAAATATTTTAGAGTTCCTTTCAAGCTTTTATTGATTTCCTGTTGCTCTCTTTTTTTTATATGTAATTTAGTTTCTCCGAAAGTAATAATAACAAAAAATAACTCACTTTGATTAGTTTGCTGGTGCAAATTTCGTGCAAAGCCTCGCCTGCCTGAGCGTCACTCAGTGTATCGATGGCGCTTTCGAACGCGAGAATATCATCCGTTCGGAACGCGCTGACCATCTTTTCCTTGTAGCCGATCGGTTGCAGCTCGTTGTCGCACAGCATCTTTGCCTAGAAGGGCCTCCAGCCGGCTCTAAATTTGTAAGAAGTAAACTCGCATTAGAGATTCATCTGGCGACTTGCAGCCGGGTGGGTGTTGTGTTTATCACTCATGTGATGAAGGAAGGGTATGCGAGGATTATTTTGGGTGCGAGGCTAACTAAAAATATGTCACCATGTTCATAGTAAAAAGTATTTAAATTATTCCCAAAAAGATAGCATGATATTTTTTTTATTTTGATGTGTCATTGAGCTAATGAATTAATTTTCTGTAACGTGTATATATGCCTTTTTTTTAAATTTCAGGGAAATGTGTTTCATTCTAATGATTAGGTGGTATAATTAAGTAAAAGGAAAGTTTATATTAAAAGCTGAATTTTCCTTGATTTTTGTATAGTTTTTAGTTGTTGCATGTGGAAAAAATAATCCAATCCAGAATCCACGTTGAGGAAAAGACGAATTTAAATGCAATAACTCATGAAATATGTCTGCAAAATAGAAACTACAAAAAGTAATAATTATTATTGTCATCAGAATTTTAAAGTTACATTTTTCTCATCAGATAATTCAATTGCTTTTTGAATAATTAATTTTTTTTGTTTACACCTATTACTAAATTCTTTTTAAAGGAAATTTTTTATATGTTTAATGAAATAAATTTCAAATTTTAATAATTAATATTTTTTTTGTGATGAGAATTAATTTTTTTAATTGTTTCAGCTATAACTTGTTTAAAAATAGTTAGTTTTCAACGATCGTGGATTTAAATTAACCAATGTTGTCTCAAAAATCGTCAAAAAAATCATATTTTTACATGTGTGCTTATATAAGCGTGTTTTTATCACAATAAGTATAAGGTTAAGAATATTGGTTTAGAACAACTAAAAAACTATATTTTCAGCGAAAAACAATTTGGTGGCTTTAATTATTATTGAAGGAAAAAATAAAAACTTGATCAAAATTGGGAAAAAAATTTCTTGTACATTTCTTCCAAGGTTGGAGATTAAGAGCTTGTTTTGTATTGATAAGCAATTGGGATTTCCTTGTTTAAAAATTTGCTAGAAAACAAGAAAAGCTAATTTACATTTTGGCCATGATCTTGGAGCCACTGTATGGTTCCCTGTGCCAAATCATTTTACATTGATATGTTTATCTCAAGACTCTGACGATTTTGCGCGGTTCCGCCAAATACCGAATACATTAGTGTACCCGTTTGAGCAGCCTGGTTCAAAAAACTCATCAAGGAAAAGCCAAATTTAAATTGTGTCTACCTCTTTAACTTAAAATATTATTGTATGACGAGATAAACCATGAAATGAAGTTGCCTTTGGATATTTTTAGTAATGAAATTGTTTAGCATATTGTCGCGTACAAAAATGTGAGTAAATGAAAGACAGTCCAGGTGACAACTCCGCGCAAATAGAGGGGAGAACCACTGCCAGAGACCAATTTGTGATTTATGAATGTTTTGTATGGATGACACGCTCGCGTTGGCTAGCACGCTATTGGAATAAAATATGAGAAACTCACACTGATCATATACACAATATTCCAACTTAAACCTTCTGCTGTTTTAATTAAGCAGAGCTTCCAATAATTTACCAGATATTAAAATTTAAAATATTTTGATATAACAATTTCTCCACTAATTTAAAAGGATTAAATTTAACCTAAATTCATTCAGTTTATTTCATATATTGTATATGCACACCTTGCACTAATGACTCCCAGCCGGCGGCGCTATAGATTTATTTTCGTTGTTTGAGCAACATATTAAATAACCCTCATGCAACATATATATTTATTCAACAAGTATTGCTTGGCGTGACAATGTGCTTACCGCTCCGCCGTTTCGTTCGGCTGGTCAGTATATTGCTTTTTTATTGATCCGCTAGCCACTGGCCAGCGCTCAGCCCGGGGTTTCTAAGCCAGATTTCGGTCGGATATCCGGTAGAGATTTTTCCCTTTAAATTTTTTAAATATAAACATAAATTATAACAGATTTTTGCATATTCTCAATTCTATCGGTCAAAGGTTGAAGATCGTGGGCTTTAAATGAAACGCGCCGACACCCGAAAGCACTTGACTGTGTAAAGGAATGCAGGTTGGGATTTTTATAAATTACTCCAATTTCATCGTAGATTAATGGACAAATAATAAGCTTAACTATGAGAAAAGTTTTTTAATTGTTGTTGTTTCAAAGAAATAAAACAATAGAAATCTTACTCTTGGAGTACAAAAGCAGCCTTTGGGATGTGCACGGAAACACTGACGCACAACTGCGCACTGCGGATGAAATAATGATACTGAAGCTGTTGTGGCTGATGCGTTGCTTAGCTGTGAAAGGCCGACTCAGCGGCCTGTCTGCCAGTGCTGCGTTGTCAAGTTTAAAACCATTCCACTATCCATTTGGTTGGATACAAGTTTTTTTGACCATGCGAGGGGCGACCGTGATATCGCCACATATTTTACTCTATTATTTGAGGTAACAAAAGGTGCTGCTTTTTGGGACAAAACAAACAAAAAGTATATAGAGGGGAAGGGTATCTTTTGTAATATGCTCTAATATGGGGTCGTGGGGTTCTTTTTATAAAAAAGCGGCGAGAATTTAACTTTCTTTTTAGGGTCAGGCCAAGACAAATTCATGTTAGCCTGTGCCCTTATTAAGTGGCGCAGAATGTGCCACTCGATTTTATTTATTATTTTTTTTTTTTTTATTTATCTTTAATATTTCTCTGTTTATTAACATCAAGCAACAAAGAACCTTAAAATAAATATCCCTTAATGCTTCACAATAATGCGAGCAAAACTAAAATAGTTCATAATATTTAAACATGATTTATTTGTTTGAAAATTTACAATTTTTAGAAACTTGACTTAATAAAAGTTTAAAATATCAGACCAAAATGAGTACGAAGACTTTTGTTTATCATGCACAATGCTACTCGTTGAAAGTAATGTGATGCTGAGGATAACTTGATGTAATATTAGATTGCTATGGTGAAGGGCGCATTTTATTCGCTTATCACTTAAATTTCATCTACTCAGAATTAATTAGGTCCAATTCGACCCTTGTGACTAAATACAAGAAAATTTATGCGCTTTGCTAGACAAGAAATTCATATTTTAATTTCACATTTTTTATTTTTTTCTGTGATAATTATAATTAAATAAAATATAAATTAAATGAACAAGCTCACAATACTGAAAATTTCAAAAAACTTCAAAGATTCAATTTTATACGAAAACAAAAATCATCCTTTTATTTGAAAGTAAAATGTTTGGCTTGCGCAAAATTTGGCGCCGGGCTTGCATAATAAACGCTCGAAACCAACACAGCATCTGCAGCGCCTCATTTTGCGAGACGCTGAGATGAAACTCAAGCGTCTGTGCTCCAGTCACAGCAGACCTCTGGCGGATAATAAAAAGCTACTTTCCGCTTGTTCGCAATGTGAAGCAGCTACCGCGAACAAAAACCACTTCTGTGTGAAGGCATAAGAAGAAAGTGTTCTATTATTGAGGTATCTTATTTTCATTCTAACGAAGGACAAAAATCGCAGGTTGGCATTTGGCCATAATCCATAATTTTATGCAATAAAACATTAAGGGCTATGCAGATATTATATTTAACAACACTATATATTTCAAAAATATTTTAATATTCGGGATTGAAATATATAATATTGCTGATTCTGGTTGAAAAATATAAATTAAACCTTTTTCCTTACTCTATCTAGCTTCTTAATCCACATCATGTAACGTAATAATAAGAAACTAGATGTAATTTAATAGAACGTCTACACATTGAAAAGGTCTAACAAATTTAAATAGACATAAAAATAAAATTTCAAACATATACCATATTAAATAAGAAGGATTAAAGCAACCTCTGCTATTATCACTGTTTTCAAATCAGCTACATAACAGCCTGGAAACGGAATTAAAGATTTTTAATATGTATAATATTATCAACAATTTAATGAAACTGACCATATTCAGCAAAAAAATAAAAGATTGCAACTTTAATTGTCCCCATTATTCAATTTGCTGAAAAAATTACAAAATTGTAAATTTCATGAAATTCTAGCTGGTCTTATTTTTTTACGTATTGAAATTTAATAGACTGACATTTCTTGCAAAATTCATTATTTTGCTTTGACGTATTATGCATACGTTTCCCATCTCTACACATTCCACTTTTCGCTGCCAATGTGGCAAAAATTGAATTCTGCATGATGGGTGGAGGCGTGTGGAAGGAAGTTGCGGTGACTGTGGTGCTCAGACTTTTAATGAAATTTGGCGCGTATAACACAAACACACCTTTTCATGGTTTTATTTAAGTCTAAGTCGTGAAAATCAGCGACGCAAAACTATAAAGTCTTAAAGTCTTTAGCATTAGATTTTTATCTGGTGTCTCAATCGAAATAGGCATTGCAACTGAAAAGGATGTTTTAGAATGCGAGGCTCAATATCAACTAATATTATATTTCAATATAACAAAATTCGCAATCTTATAATTACTTAAATTCTACGTCAGAGTGTATTGTAATTACTGCTGAATAGCTGCTGATTGCATAGAATAAGAATACCAAGGCTGACGAGCGCACTGAAAAAGCGCTCAAACTTTTTAATTTAAGCGAATAAAAAAAAAATGAAAATTATTTACGTTATGAATTGTTTCGCCAATTTCGCCATTGCGAAACAAATTAAAACTTGCTGATTCCCAAATTACAATTAATCAAGAAAAAGGACGGTTTCTTGTTTAGGAAAAATTGTAGAAACTCTGACGATTTAAGCAGTGAATTTAATTTCCAAAAAAAAAAATCCAAAATCTAAAAGAATACTTATAGAAGCGTAGTTACTTTTTAAATATTAAAATAATAACGAGATAATTTGAGAAAGTTTCTTTCAAATAAATATAAAACATTTTTAAGAAACAAATTTTTACGGTTTTAGTGAATCAGTCGTGAATTAAATCTGCTGATTGTAGTAAGAGTGTTCAATATTATAATAAAAAGAATCAAGTTATTGACTGGTAGTATTTTTATTGTACATAAAACTTATTATATGAAGCATATTGTAATTTGTAATGAAATACATAAAAAATATTTTTAAAATAAGATAATTTTTCTGCTAAATTAGTTTGAAACATTTTGCTTCCCAGATTAGATGAAGCATAAAAATCACTTTTCACAATCGAAAATGGATTGAAAGTGATCGCATAGAACAGCATCATTTTTGCAATTTCAATAATCTCTTTAAAAAGTAGCGCTATTGCGATAGTACTCTGATTATGGTCGCAACTGAAAATTACAGATCGTCTCGGATCATCTTTTCGATTTTGTCCAATAATCTTGCCTCTTGTTTCTTTAGTTCCGTTAGAATTTGAGCATACTTATCATCTTCCATGCTTTTCTGCTTTACTATCAAGGCCTCACTAACAATAGATTTGAAAGTGCTACCAAATTGAAATTCAAAAGGAATTTTCGCGCCGATAAAACCCAAAAAACCATCATCTCTGCTAATATATCTTAAATCAGGCTTCACTTTATAATTATCGCTAAGGTAGACAGTTATAACATTGTTTTCGTTTCCTAACAAATTATCGAGCAGTATAATTTTTGTACCCATACTCTGTACGAATGACCGACAGAAACATTTTAAATAGCCGAGGAAGGACTCAATGTCGAAGAAAAATTTCACTTGTGACACGCAGTAAATGAGATCGGCTTTGTTTAAGATCTGTTGTGTGTCACTGACAGCCAACCCATTCAGTAAGTTTACCATCACGATGGAGATCAAAAACAAGAATGAAAGAAAAATCACATGGCTTGCTACTGACGCGTGATTGAATTCCATTTCTCCAGTTTCAAATTCACCGCTGATCATAATCATCGTTTTAAATATCGAGTTGGGCAACGTGTTGAAAAAGTCTTTGCATTTTTCTTTCCCATCTTCTGAAGTACACTTATATGGAAACACGATGTAAAATGAAAAAGCAAAAGCAGCAATGAGAAACGTGTACCATAAGAAAAATTTCGTGAAATTTAAAGCCACTTGAAAGAACATGCGGATGTAAATGGCCATGCAGGGGTGGCGACTTATTAGGAGGACCATCTCGATGCAAATCAACAGGCAAAGTGTGGAGGCCAACCATTTGGTGAACGGCGAGTGCAGCAGACACATGATCATTACGATAATCGTCATTTCCAGCCAATTTTCCAAATTTAAAAAGTAATTTTTTCCCAGAAAAACAATTTGGAATAATTCGCGTAGGGCAAAGAAAACGGTAAGCACCATCAGCGTGTAGTAGCGGTAATCAAAGTTTTCCTGCGGAAATGCAACACTTTCGGTTTGATTTTTAGCAATCACCATCCCTTCATTGTTAAAGTTCTTGAAATCGATGCTGATGATAAATATGAAGAAAAAGAAGGCAAATGCGAAGTAAAAAGCAAAGTTCAGCCAGTAGAACCAGAAAAGTCGGTTCCACTTGATATACAAAAAGGCCTTGATGATGGGGTGTTGCAGCAAAATTCTGTGGCTCTCCGAATCCACCATCCACTGCAATGGTTGCATTTCGTTTTCGGATTTGTCTTTTTCATCAATATCTTTTGTCGTATCCTTTGCAACGTCCATATTCACACATGAGTGCATTTCTTTGCTGGCTGCCTTCAGAGACTTTTGATTTTTCTTAGGGACTTTTAAGAAGTTAAAATCAAATTCGAGAGTGTGCTCCTCATTTGAGAACTCGTTGAAGTTGTAGTGGATTTGCTCGTCTAGGTGTTTCATGATGATCTCTGGACGAATAGAGAGTATAACTGGGACTTTATTTAAGTCCGGGGCAAAAATGTTAGCCTTTTTCTTCAGCAAGACCTCAACGATGCCATTGAGGCCCCTCTTGGCCGCATAGTGAAGGGCTGTCAAACCGAACGTGTCTTTTTGATCAATCCATTTCTTGACGTCCTTGGGGTTAACAATCTTTTTCTCTACCAATTCCAAAATCGATTCGACCACGTTCACGCTGGAATTCGCATTGTCTGTGTGGACGGCATAGTGGAGAATAGTTTTTTCGAATTTAAATTTTTGTGTGATGTCCAAGGATCCGCCAGCAGCACGTAAAATCAAATTGAAGTACTGCTCTCCAGCTCTGATTGCGTTCAAAAGGACCTGCTTGTTCAGGTCGGCACCACGATCAATCAAGGTCTTTGCCATTCTCGGGAGCTGGTGATCCATCGCGTACTCTAAAAGAGTTTTTCCTGAGTATGCATATGTCATGTTGACCTCAAAGGAAGAATCATTTTCCAGAAGCCATTTTTCAAAGGCTTCTTCTTTGTCATTTGTAACGGTATTCTCACACCAAATTGTAGTTAATAATGATTTCAGCACTTGAGATTTTTCGATGGATTCTATGCTTGGGTGCATTCCCTGCGCATTCTTGCTCGCCAACTCCGATCTTGTCCCTTCATCCTACAAAAAGGGTCCAAAAATGAAAAAAATCCAATTAATCTTGAGATTGCAGAAATAAGCATTAGAAGATTTTTTACCTGACTTTAAAAATAATAATAAATAAAAATATCAATACAATCTATTACGTGTAGAAGGGCCTACAGCCACTATAAATTTGTAAAATGTTTTCTCGCATTAGAGATTTATATCTCACGATTTGTAGTCGCATAAATGTTAATCATATCTGCGAAATTGATGGTTAGAGATGATTCATAATTATTATGTATGTTATTAATACTTTTTTATTATAGGTCAAGAAAGTCTGAAATTGAAAAAAAAATTGATAATTTTTTTTTTACAAACATTTTAAGCTTGAATCTTTTTTGGAATATAAATATTGTGATTTGGATGGATTTCAACTTCGATTTTGCACTTGTAATCAGTCTTGTTGCTAAAATGGCAAAGTACGCACATTAGATGAACTATTGAAAAATATGTGGCATGTATCTAAATTCTAAATTCAAAAATTGGAATATGATTAAACTTTTTTAAATAAGTTTTGTCATTAAACTTCATAAAACTTAATTTAATTAGATCTTCTCAGAATGTATCATTAAGTTCAAGGCACTTTTCTGAAGTCTGATAATATGACATAATAAAAGCTCTTTTTGTGCATTTTATCTTCTTCATGTGTGTTAATTAATTTAATTAATTTGAGTTAAATTTAATTTGCCTAATATTATTTATTGTATTAATAAATAATTGTATTTATATAAATTAACTAATAATTTTAAACGTGCGTTATAATAACGATTATTATTATAGTAAATATGAATCTTACATTGGTAAGTCTGTCGGTGCACCCACTCGATTCATCAATGCAGAGGTCTGTCTCGCGAATGTCTGCATCCCTCCAATCCATGTTGAAGAAGTTTAGTATCTTTTGCCCGAAGCTAAATGTTTTCAGTCTGCCTGCAATTTTTCCAGAGCCTCCAGCCATATCTAAATAATTTGGAAGTAAAAAAGTAAAACTTGTATTAGAGTTTCATGTAATAGCTTTTGTTACACCTTCAATTACTCAAATTATCTTGAAACAGACGTGGCCACGAGATGCTTATTACTATTATTATTACTATTTTATATTTCTCATAGTGCTAATAAATGCATTATTATTTTTCATTTTGCTTTCACAACATTTTGAATATAGACATATATTTATAAATTAAATAGGACACTTGTATGATAATGCAAGTACCTCTTCATGATGGTCTTCGTCATTATCAGCGTCATTTTCTTACCCAAAAATGTAATTATTGATATATGATATCTGTGTAGATTTTGTCACTTATCTGTCTAAACAAATTTGCCAAATATAAGAGGGCACTCCAGTTTAGAGGCTTAAATTCGATTGAAAGAAAGAAACTCAAATTGAGATTTTCTTATTTATTTTATTTTTATTAAGCCTATCTACATATATGAGCTGTTTATTTTTGCAAAAATACAAATAAGAAGAAGGCAACAGTCCATAGTTGGGCTGAGCGCGCTCTCCGCTCTGCACTCTGCGCTCGCGCTCTGAGCGTGGGCGCGATCGCACGATTTCCAAAATCGTGAGCGAGAGCGCAGAGCGCGAGCGCATTTGTCGCTGAGCGCAGCGCTCATTTTGCGCTCAAAACAATATTAAAAATTCTCATATTTGATCAAAAATTGTAACCAAAGACAGTGTTTTTAGATCAAAACCTTCAAAATTTGGAAATTTCAGTTCAACTTAATCATTTCCAATTGCGCCGATGGGTTTTTTTTTTTGAAAATTTTTTCTTAAAGTCGCACTTTTTCTAAAAGAAAAATATTTTTAATCGCAAAGCGTGAGCGCAAGACTTTTTAAAAATTTGAGCGCGAGCGCAGAGCGAGAGCGCACCATTTTCAAAATGTTGAGCGCGAGCGCACTGTTGCCAGTGAGCGCGAGTGCAAAATTGCTGAGCGCATCCATCTATGCAACAGTCTATATTAAACAGTCAAAAACTTGTATATTTTCTGAATGTTCTCTTTAACGGCACTATACTTAATATAAATTTAAGTTTTGTTTTATAATAAAATTCAAGAATAGTAAGTTTGTTGAAAGTATAAAGTATTTATGCCGCTATAACTGGCATTGCTTATTTTGAATTTAATAAGTTGAATTGAAATACTACAGATGCTATACAGTCGAAAATTCTGCCTTTAAGTAGTGATATAAATTTATGCAAATTTATTTCAGTAATAAAAGTTCAAGTGAAAATTTCAAGTAATGAAACAATGAAAATCTTACTCCTGGATTTCTGAAAGCTGCCTCGGAGATGTTCACGGATGAAACTCTGCGTCAAAGCTGATGGCGAGTTGAAAAGTATGAATCAATTTTTTTGTACACATTATGTACTTGAAGCTGGACTATACGACGCCGCCGGGTGCTCATGATGTTATCATGATCGCTCTGTTTCTTCTGATACTAACTAAAAGAGGTGCGCCAATAATATGTACGTGTGCATCAGAACGAAAGACATTTTAGAGAATCCAGCGAAGCATGGTAAATTAAAAAAATTGAAAAATGTCATCGTCGAATTTTAAAATCTCATATATCGCAATCAGATCGCAATGCACAGTTTTAGGTGCCAATATTACATTGAAATCGACAGAAAATCATTTCAACCTTTAAACGCGAGTATCAATTTCGAATGTTTTAATATTTATTAACTGATAAATTATATGTTGAAAATGGTTATTAGCAGTTTTTAGTCTCACTAAAGGATGAGAGGGACTTTAAGAAAATTTTATTTTTTTTTTATAAAGGATTGATATTTAGCGATAATTAATAAATAATTTAAAAGCGATTAATATTAACCAAGATTTTATGTTGAGTTATTTAGTTATATTTATATTTACTTTTATAATTAACACTTTGCGGTAATTTTTAAGTCAAATTTTTCGCATCCCAGAAAATTGTCCAGCACCTGGAGAAAGAGTTGTTAATTAAAATATAAATTTCATGCTCGATTTTCGTAATTAATTGCGCAGTCGTGAGGTAAAATTTATTTAAATAAAATCTCATTGTGTTTAGTTAAATCGTTAAATGTATTGTATCACAGGTTCTAATTATTACAAATTAAGTCATTTTCAATTTTTGACAGTTTCAGCAAGCTCTTTTAATAATTTATTCATATCATCTATCTTTCTTTCCAAAGCAGCAATCGCGCTGATCTCTTGCTCGCTGTTGTTCCTTGCCAGAACAATATTCTGGGCCTCCTCCACAATGGCCAACCACTCCATTCTTCGATACTTTTTCAGTGAAGCAGGCACGATTTTTGAAAACCAAGTAATCTCGTTTGAATCCGGTTCCATTTTATTGTCTAAATCCAAAAACCAAACTAGTTTGTTATCCGATAAGGAATATCCCAGCAAACGGATTTTGCGCTCCATGAAACAGTCGCAGTTCAGACAACAGAGTAAAGGGTTGCACCTGAGTCCTCGGAAGGTCCTACCCAGTAGGACTGACTCAATGTTGGCGTACAACTCTACCTTGGCGGCGACCAGACCGATTTCCGCCTCTTCCCTGATGGCGGCGATGTCGCTCACGGCCAAACCGGTCATCAGGTTCAGCAAACAAATGGGCACGAAAAGGACAAAAACCAGAAATAAAATATAGCCAAAAAGATTTGTTTCCAAATTTTCCGCCTCCATTTCACCCGAAAGCATAATGACGGTTTTAAAAATCGAGCCACCCAAAGTGGTGAAAAATTTGCAATTTTCCTCTTTGTTTTCGCAATCGTGGAAAAGGACGAAAAAAGAAAAAGCAAAGGCGAAAATTAGAAAGCTGAAGAGGAAAAAGAAACCGATGAAGTTACGTGAGACGCGGAGGAACATGTTGATGTAGGTGGCGAAGCGTGGGTGCGTGCCGATCAGCAGGGCCAACTCTGTGTAGGCGCAAATGATGGTGGCAGTGGAGATGACCTGGTGCGCGTAGTGGTTGATCTCGGTGAACAGGAGCACCATCGAGAGAGCGATGAGAACCATTTTAAGGCAATTCTCATAACTGTTCAGGTACTTTTTTATCGAAACGGATGCCTCCAAAACCTCGCCAAAAATGAATATCGCTGAAAATCATACAACAAAATTTAATTTTAATAAAAATAGATTTCGAGTTTTGTGAAATTTAATTTTGAAAAATTTAAAATTATTTACCTAAGAGCAATTTTAATAATTTATATTATGCTCCCAAATCGGCTTTTAAAATATTCAGCTAATTTTATCCATTTTAGTTGGTGATATGTTTTTCCATAAAAGCAGTGAAATAAACAGAGAAATAGTAAAATTATGACAAATTTAGCAATCCGCCTAAATTTACATCTAAAGCAAAGCCGGATATTTTTTCAATTAATATGTCTTATTTTAATTAAAAGCGTTTTCTTGGAATATTTATAATTACCAAGCAAAAGAACGCTGATCCATCTGACGTAATTGTGTCTAGAGTTGGCCGCTAATCTGTATGGCGAATCAGGACTACTGGGGATGAACTGCACATAATGATAAATGTGCAACGACAGCGAAACCGTGAACAGAAAGTAGGCCAAGAACTTCAGGTAGAAAAACCACTTAAGTTTCTGCCACTTAAGGTGCAAAAACGAAGTGATCAAAGGGTGTTTCAGCAACACCCTATGCACTTTGGATCTGCTTAGTAACAGCATAGGTTGCATTTCCAAACTCTGCGTCTCTTTTTGCTTTAAAAACTGATAGTCCAATTCCAGGCTGTGGTTTTTCTCCGTGAAGCCTCTTTGGGCAATGAAACCATCCATGTAATTTTGGACATCATTGATGGACACGTTTAAAAATCCAGGCTCGCCGTGCTGGTTGCAGACGAAAATGTTGCACCCGGTTTGCAAAATGAGACGCGCCAAGTCCTGCCGCGTGCTTTTTGCTGCGTAGTGGAGGGCTGTGTTTCCGCGAAAGTCGACACTGTTCACGTCCAGTCCGTACTTTTTGTCTAATAAAAGTTGGATGCAGCGAGTGAAGTCAGGGTTGGAGGACGTTGCGGCCGAGATTACAGCTAAGTGCAAAGGGCCTCTTTGCCACAAGGGATGGTCGCATCTAACAAAAAAAAATCTAAAATTATTAAAACGAATAGAAATAATTAAAATAAAATAACTTAAAAAAATCACCTCTCCTCTAAAAAGAAGATATTGAAGACACTTTAAATGTGCAGAGGTCTTATTGTGGCTCAAAAAATTACTTTCAGAATTTAAATTTTTATGTAATAATCTGCACAAATACATTGAAAGCAATTATGAAAGAAAAAAATACCCACTTTCAATGCCCGTAAGCAATTTTAAAAATAAAAAATAAAATTAAAAAAAAAAATGTATTAATTATACATTTTTTTTCATAAAGCACTTTTTAAAAGCATACCTATTTAAAACGACCTTCTTTGTCTCTAAAAGAGTTTCCAACAGGTTTGCGTGTCCGAGCTTGGCTGCGATAATCACTGGTGGCTCGTAAACAAAATCATTCGGATCAGCTCCAAAGTGCAGCAAATTCTGTACCGCATTCAAGCAGCCGTAACTGCAAGCCGTCTTCAGGCAAATCTGCAAATCCACTTTGCTCATCCTCCCTCCGACCAAATGCTGCAGCAGCTCAATGAAATCTTTTTCGTTTTTATCTCGGAGGTAATTGAGTAAAAGTTGCTGCTCTGTTATGATCTGGCTGACCGATTTCCGTCGCGGCAAATTCGTCCACTCGCGCCCACTGTTTGTCAATATCAGATCGCGCGCCGTCTCGCCTTCGATGTGAATGTCCAGGTTGGGTTGATGTTCGAGCAGCATTTCGACAAAGTTCCACAGGCCGAGTTTGGCCGCCAGGTGAACCAAAGTCATCCCGGAGCCGTCGCAAATATCCACGTTAAAATTAGGCGCGGCGAGGAGGCTGCGAAAACACTTTTCCTCGCGGGCTTTGGTCCACAAGGACTTGGAGGGACTGCCGTTGCGGAGGATAATGTGCATGGCTGTTTCCTCCGCGGGAAAGGCCGTCTTGAAATTGGGGCCGGAGCCATTTTCCAGCAGGGCTTCGACCACTTTGAAGTGGCCGTGGTAGGCGGCAGCGTGGAGAGGGCCTTCACCGCTGTCCGGATGACAAACCAGAGGATCAGCACCCCGCTTCAGAAGGGTTAAGGCGAGTTTGTGGTTGCCCTAATTGATAATAAAAAATAAAAAAACGAAAATAATCATGAATTTTTTAGAGTTATGCCAATTTTTACTTATAATCAAATTAATTAATTTTTTATTAAAGTTATAAATTTTGTCTTAGACGTTGGATCATAAAAATAAGATTTTATTTCCATTCTTGATCTGAATAATTTTTAGAATTAAATAGAAATTAAATGTTTTTATATTCTAGCAGGACCCAGCAGAACCCAGGTGAAAGATTTGCAGTATTCTTTGCACATAATGAGTTTAATATGGGGTTAATTGTACATACAAAAATACTAAATTAAATTTTATTTAATTAAAAACGATGTAAAAGCAAAATTAAATCGTTCTAATGAAATATATTAAATATTTTCAACTTACAGTTTTAAATTCTTAATATCAGTTAATAATCCATAATGCAATTTAATTAATAATATAATTTATTTTTTAATCTGTATCAATTCTTATAAATGTTTCATTTTAATTATTTGAATGTGGCCCTTTTGATATTTTTATGATCGACATTAAAAATTTAATTGAAATTTAGTTAACACTCTTTGAAATAGTTAAGGTTACTTTTTGAGAAAATCTCTTTCATTCTAATGGCAACTCACAGTTCTACTGGCCCAGTAGAGATTGAGGGTGCGCTCGGTCAGCTCTGTGATGCTCTTGGCAGGGCGGTCCATGAGCAACTTGTGCAATGATTTTTCTTCGCGCATGAGGCTCTCCTGGAAAGGTTGGTTGCCTATTGTTGTTTTCCAGAGACGCACAATGCATCTCTGCCCAAAATCCTAGCAGATGAGTGTGATGTGAGCAGAGTAAGTCTCTAAGCGAGTGAGGTGATAACAAAAATATTGTGCTGATAAGTTGGGCAAACAACCGAGGGACACCGCGAACCGCGGCAGCGACAAGGCATCCATTGTAAGAACGAGGAAAATGATAATTAAATAACAAACATAAATAGAGGCTACTCCCTTTGCATATCATTCTGAAATTTCTTATCACATTGAATCAAAAAAAGTAATTAACAAAAGGTAAGCTCAAAATTTTTATTTACTATCATAGCAGCAGATTAAAAAAAGTTATAATTTAAAATAATAATTCTGAAACTAAATCTTCATCATTACAATTAAAGCCAAAATGTTAAGATGTGATACTTTGTTTTAAAAGTTGGTTAGGAATGGAATTGAATTTAAAATTATTTTTGCTTAGCCGATTTTATTTTTAATTACAAAAAGTGATTTATTGCGCAATAAACTCAACTGCCAAGATATCAAGAGTAAATTAATTACTTCCTTTTACTAATGCTGCCACTGGTCTGATATTGTATGGAAAATGAATTAATCAGGCTGTCAAAGTCAAGTTTTAAACGAGAAAAGTAGCGCAAGAAAGTTGAAATCAGGCTCTCGCCGCCCACTGAAATTATTTTATGACAGCAGATGTCCTTTTACGGCAGCATCTTTTGCATCCAAGTAATTCTCCTCACCATTTCATTCTACGCACACGTGAGCAAAACGCATCTGATTAAGACACAGTGTCTTTCAAACGGGCTTATTGCTTTTGAGATCGGCTCTCGGGAGGCTGGGCAGTAAAATATAAAAGTATCGACGCACCATCAGAGGCATGGACCGAGTGTCTTTGATAGAGGAGTGCGTTGTGTGCTGAATGAGAAAAGCGATGCCTTCTTTCAATTTCAGCCCCACTTACTTAGCATCCAGCCAGTGACTCAGCCAGCTCACCCAAACTAATGGAAATTAAAACAATGTCTATAGCGGGCAATGTTTTTGATCGAAACATGAGCCAAAAATTTTTAATAGCACACACCGGCTTGCGAGTGCTTTCAAACAATAAAAAAAAACACGCCTTGAGCACTTCAGCAAAGTACATACTTTTTGCAAGCATTGAAGCTTTGAAGTGTGTGGGTTGTCGACTTGTGTGGTGGTGTTTTTGCAGGAAGGCTGAGATTTGCATTTAATTGTTTGCAGCCTCAAGGTTGGACAAGATTTTATGCAACGTGCAAAAAAATCGTGCCGACAACTCAAATTTTTAAGTAATGTTAATTTTTGCCCCAGGAAGAACACACATTTTGCATTACCAACTCTCACAGGATCATTTATAATTTAAAACAATCTTTATCAGATCCTACCTCATAAACAGAGATTAAAAAATAATAATAATAATGGATGCAGCTTTGATTTAAATATTCTAGGAGAGTTGAAGCACTAAAAAAGATTTAATTTCTAAAAATTAGAAGACCTAAATGTCTAAACGCTTAAAAAAATGCTTAAAATATCCTCTTTGTCTGTTTCATGCTAATGTGCCTTTTTTAGAAAAGCTGCAGTTTGAGTTTTCATTCTTTTTTTTTTCATGATAATTTTATCACGGCGTCTCTTTGTGCATCTTCAGCATCACATTTTTGCTGTACACTCTCCTAAAAAGACAAAGTCGTCTTGGTCGCCAAAATCGGCGGTTGGGTTTTCCATTTCGAGACGTTTCCTCGTGACGATTGCTGGAAGGAGCAGATCGCACCGCCGTTCTCCACTTTCTTGGCCGAGCCACCCACTCTCGGGCAAAGCAAGGGTGTCGGTCGGGTCGAGCGAGTGACGTCACCGTGTGACGTCACACAGGGGTCTGCGGCGCCAGAGTCGTACTATACAGCGACGGTGGCCATCCACAGGTGCTCACTGCTCTCCGAGCTGCCGAGGCAGGCACACGCATCCAACACTAAAATCCAGCGCTCCGAGAATTGAAGGTAAGGGAAAGCAATACTAGCCTTTTTTACTTATTAATTACTTTTGTTTATCATTAGAATAAAAATATTTAAGATCTATTTAAAATGCATTATTTTAAATTTTATATCACTGCGGTGAACATAATATTTGAATTAAGAAAAGTATCTTACAAAAAAAGTATAATTCCCTTTTTTTCAATGGCCATCCTTGATATACATTATAATTTATAATGTGATATTTTATTGGGAAAAATTCAAAATTGCAATAATATTTAATTTTTACTATTGAATTTAACTTAACTATACATAATTAAAATATTCGTCATTGCTGCGTTAGTTATTTTGCACTTTCATAAAAATTTACTCACTTTTAAAATTAAAATATTATTTAGCCTCCAAGTATATAGGCTATAATTATTCAGATATGGTGAGTAGGAGTTTGAAATTCAAACAAGCAAACCTGATCAACACTTGACAATCCTAATTAAAACGAGTCTGCAAGCAAAACACGAACCACTGTTTGTTGTTGAGACCTTTTTGTCCATCTTCTAATGACTTCTCGTACGTGCTTGGTTCACAATGGAATGGATACTTGTTAATTAATTGCTCGCGGCCTCCTCGTTACATTTGCAATCTAAATTTATATACACGCTCTGTTTTTTGTTCTTCCTGACTATTGTTTAGAGATTTTTTCTGCCCCAAGTGGTGACAAAGCAACTTTCGCTGGCCGAATCGAAGTGACCAGGCACTGCCCATACTAATCAGTCTGCAGCCACATGTTGTTCGCGGAAAAACACTTTTACTGCCTCATCGTAAAACTGTCTTGACGGACAAAAAAAACACAAACTTTCTTTCCTTGGTATTTTTTCTATACAATCGATCACATTAACGAAGCTTTTTTTGCATAACCAACGTTGCCTTATAAGTGCCTGTTTTTTTCTTCTTCTTTTTTTTTAACAAAGCGTGACACTAAGCGACGCCTTTAAAGGGTACTCAGCCGTGATAATTCATGAGAATTTATTGCATAGGCTGTCAAATCACACGTCCATCATTTTTGAAACTGGAGCCAATGGATGCGTGAAAAGGCGAGCGTCGGCATAGATAATTAATCGCCTTGGTGTTGCCAAAAAGGGCGATCGAGCAAGGTCGGCGGACGAGAGTGAAAGTTCACCAGAGGACACATTGTTGAGTCAGGGCAGGCGCACGATTGCTGGCCAGCGCGGTATATTTATGCAGACGACTTTTGCCCCGCGTTGTCTGTCAACAATGAGATTTAAAAGTGCGGCTTTTTAAGGCTGCGGCGTACGTAGTGTCATTACTGGCGCCATTAATCTCCCGGCCAAACAAGGACGGACTATTTGTAACCCGGCACGGCTGTTTTTTTAATAACAACTCGCAAGTCGCTAACATGTGTTTGGCTATTTGCAAATAATTCCATTGAGCTTTGAAAATTATGCAGAATTCTTTTATTCAAATAAAGAACAAGTTTGTGAATTTTTTTGTAAATTCAAGGCTTTAAAGAAAACCCTGGCATTTCAGATTAATTTAGTTTGTCTTATTTGCGTGTTAAGCAGAAAGGCGTCTGTCTAGCTGTTAACAGCTTTTTTTGTCCCCTTCAAATCACCATCGGGCCATAAAACCAAGCTGAAACAATAATCAATTTGACCCACTCCAAGCTTCCAAATTTGGTCCCCAGCTGCTCTCTTTGCAACTAGCGTCACAATCTTTAGATCTAGAGCCTTCTATTGTCTATCATATTATAAAAGAAACTAGGCCCAATGCAAATCTTACAGGATTTTGGCAGAAAGTAGATTTTTATTTATCTTGGTTCGATTTTTTTTATGCTCAAGGAATGTTTCTGGAAAGAAAAAAAACAGCGCAATAAATGACATAATGATTGTAACCTTGTCGGAGGCGAGACAGCATTTTAATGAGAGAGGCTGTTCGCTTTGAGGTCTTCAACTCATTTGCGTGCCTCCAAGCAGAGCGAAATCTTCCGAGGATCATTAGCATTGGCGCCTTTCTTGGAATCGCCGGCGAGAAAAGAATTATTTACAACATTTACGCATATTTTTCTGCTCGGCGCTAATTGAAAGAAACGTAAGCAGTACCGCTGACCCTTTCAGCCTTTTTTCGCTTTTTCTTTCGCCGTCTCATCGTTTTGCGCACGCGAACGAATGTAATGAAAGGGCTTTTATGGCCGAAATGAATGCCTTGAAATTAAATAATGTTGCACGACGCCGAAATGAATCTTCAATTTCGTGCCAGATAAAGACTGCCGCCAAAAATAGAGCCTTGTAATTATTGCGACTTTGACATAAGCCCTACCTAGTAGTATAAATGCTGTAAATGCGGTCAAAAGTTCAGTGAAAAAAAGTCGAAAAAATGAACTCTCGCGTATTCCTCAAAAACTTCTTATTTTAATTTTATTTTAAATAAATATTAAAAACAAAACAACAAATTTTTTAATTTAATTTTGTTTTATAAAAACCATACTCTCTCCAGCTTGTTGTGATTTAAAATTTTTATCTTGGCCATTTGTGTAACTTCCAGAGGCGTGGAATGTTTGCGTTTTACAAAGTCATACACTTGCTCATTGTCCGATTGTGCAAGACAGAGCCGCGTTTCAAGTTTTAAAAGACGCCGCATACTCCTTCTTCTGCCCATTGTTTGCACTTGCAAAATACAAACAAGAATCAGCAATAGAACAATATATTTCCCATAAAATTTTTAACTAGAGTGACGCAAATGACGGTCGCTTGCTGTTTTCCGAGAAAATTTCCCAGCGCTTTTCCGAGGATTTTCGACGCCTCGTGTGTGTGCTCAGAACGCACCTTGGAAACTCAATTGTTTTTTCCGAGAGATAAATTTTATTTGCTTTTTATTTACCGCACACGCTTCCCTTCAGCAGTGCTTCTCTCATACGTGCCACGCAGAGGTTCCATTCAAAAGTTTGCACGGAAAATACATAAGTCACACGATGGCCCACATATTTTATATAAATCTACGTAAATGTGAATGCAAATGCATGCACGCCAGCCGTTTTCCCACGAGAGACTTTCCCCCGGCCGAATGGAGGGCTAATTTTAGCCACCACCTCTATTCAAACAGCTCGCCTGAAAAAGCGCTATTGTGCGATGGGGCTATTTCGGCAGCGTTTATGACCAGGTATTGTGCCAACATTTGACTTTTCAGAGCCATTCAAGATACAAATAAGTGCATTGGTGGACTAGGGAAGTCTCTTTAACGTTGCAATTTAATTCTGCACCAGGGGCAGAACCAGAAATGCTATTAAATTTTTAAATTTTAAATTACACTAATAAATATCAACAACTATATATTTAAAAAAAAAAACAGACTATAGCGTCGATAAAGAAATTGCCAATTTATCCAGTAAAAAAAACTTAATATTTATTATAAAATTTTGCAACTTCTGTTTTTTATAGTTTTTTTATGGTCAGAAAATCTGAAATTATCTGTCGGCGAAACTTTGCAGACAAGAATAAATGTGCTGATTTCTATAAAACAGCATGGAAGAAAATCATTTCCACAAATTTATTCAAATCTCGTCTTATTAGCAACTTTGGCCAAGGTTGTTTAGCCCTTGGAAGTTAAAAGTTTGTTAGACACTCATCGATCCTGAAATCTCTTTCGCTGGCCGTTCAAGTTCACCATGAAATTTTGAAGCGGATGTAAAACATAATTTCACACAAATTCGCACACTCACGAAAGTGACGACGAGATTATTTACTGCCACGGCACGAAGCTGATTTGCTGTAAGAAAGTTGCAGAAGGGCTGTGGCCGCCACTGCGATGCGTGAGCAGTTCAATGGCGCACATTATCGTGGTAATATTAACAATAATACGGAGCGGCGGCGTGTGCCTCGCAAAGTCATCGATTCGCAGCACAGGCAGGCACCGCGTGTCGCCATCCAAGGGGCGCGTGTCGTGTCCCCCACGGAATTCCACCAAACGCAAAATATTGAGTTTCTTTGTTGAGCCATTACTAACCTTGATTTGTTTGTTTTTTGTACTTCAAAGACGCAATTAATCAAATCATAAAAAAGCTCAAGAAAGTGAAAAATGTCTCAATGGGGTGCTGCATTGGAATATAATTTTATTTAAAAGAATTTCTCTTAATATTTTGACTTTTAGGCTATTCAATTTTATTTGAAATTTGGTTAATTATATATAATTATTATGAAGCGTTATTAAAATTTTAATAATTTTACATCTTTTTACACCACTGATAAAAAGAATATCAATCCAAATTTTTATGTCCTTTTTTAATGATGATAATTGTGAGCAGTGCTTCTGATATAAAAAGCTTGCGGAAGATTGAAACACATTGAAAATTAAGCTTCAAAACAGTTTATTAATATTTCTGCAAGCAAGTTTTCTTGTGCCATAAATGGTTGGAAGTTTGAACGAATAAAAAAAACGGCATACATTTGCTCAGAGCGGTGAAAGGTCGAGAACAGCAAATATAAATGGATAATAACTCTGAAAAGCCCTTTTGCTTGTGCCGCAGACAATCCCCATTTCAAGCTATTTCCAGCGTCATGCAATAAATTGTGATTCCATGCGCAAATATTCACTCGCTCTGCCTGTCACGCCACCGTCCAAGGGAAAATAGGCACACTTTTGCACACATTTATTTGCACCAGCGTGTTTTTTGTACCGATTCAGAGCATCTCTGAACTGCTTTTTTATTTCCTTTCCGCATGAATCGAAGCAGTTTCAATGCCGCGATCATTGCGCTTTATTATATCGTCGTGTGCGGTCGTGTGAAGCGCGAAGATTCTGTTTTTGTAGATTGTCCTGGTCATTTGCGCTTCCGAGGTGTGATTTCTAATTTTTATGCTGCCTAATTTTGCGTCATAAAAAGTCATTGCTCGTGAAAATACCGTCACGCAAAATACACAGATCATTGTTTCAAAATTTCGGCCATCACGAAGAAAAATTTCTACAAATAATTTAACAATCCAGAGAAAATATTTTACGATATGGCATAATTGTAAATGAGAACTGGGTGAATCGTAAAAACAAATTGTAATGATTATATCGCAATAAAATATATAAGTAAAAAAATCATTTTAAAAATACTAATGATTAATAATTTTTTTTTATTTGAATTCATTCATAATCAGGCCCGCCTTTTTCAATTTGTTTCGGTTATTAATTAACAAGATTAAAATCAGCAAGCTGGAAATTATCATTCCGATCGCTCTCCTTGAGAGGCGTCATAAATAATCCAGTCGGTGACAAATTAGCCGGCTCCGTGTGGGCAGCATAAAGAAAGGTCTCGCGAAACTATTAAGCATCTTTGGCTGGGGGACCTTGCTCCGATATATTTTAGCGATCGCGGCTCCACGCGAGACGATCATAATCGTGTTCGAATGACAGAATTCGATCCGCAGTGTGGTTGAGAATTGAGCAGCGAGATTTTCGTCCCGAGCTGCGACATTACCACTTTTCTTGCAGCGGTGCTTTCTCCGATATCTCCGCCGGGAGATGAGAATTTCTGCATCAAAACTGTAGTTGTCCTCGGGTGATTCATAAGAGGAATTATTGTTGTTAGCTCTCGCATTGACCCCTTTAACGAGAGCTGCTCAAAACATGATATATGGAGATGCCATTGCACGTTCAGCGACTTTACGCACGTTCAAGGAGCCCTTCGAGGAAATACCTTGAGTGTGATATTTGCTTGGGCGTGATAAATAAATTGGGCGCTAATACTTAACAGATGTTGTGTCCGGGGCGCTAATTTGTGAAATGGTGCAAAATTTTAAAACAATAATTTAGCTGTGCATTTCATTTGGATCAATTTAGATTAATACATATAAAAATATTAAAATTAATTTAAATATATAAATAGAATTTAACATTAAAATCAAATTCTTTAGAAAATTAATCGTCTATCTAAACACAAGAAGTTAATTTCATATTGAATCATGATGACAAAATCCTCATGTAGAAGATAAATGATGTATTTCAAATTATAAAGATGCAAATTTACAATGCCATAGTAGACTAATACATATTTATATTTCTATTAACCAATACAACAACAACGTAAATTATTTTTCATTCCAAAAGTTTGATTAATAATAATAAAAATTAAAAATAAAATTAAGTAAAAATAAAATATATTAAACTGAAAAAAGGAATGACTTAAAGATATATTATGTAATTATTTAAAACAGTATATTTTTAAACCTATATTTTTTTTTTAATTTCATTGACTATTATTAGCATTGGAAGTGAGCAGCGGAATGTAATCGCATTTATTGCGCCATGAAGTTTCAAACTCTTGCTTTTCTGCTATAGCAGAGTTCGCGTTTAAAAGTTTATGATTATTCGAAGTGCAATAATTTTAGAAACTTTTCTCTGCGGCTCATAATCTTGAATTTATAACCGTGTCCCTTTGTTTGCCCCTCGTACAACTTCCTTGAAAAACAACTTCAAATAATTATGATAAATCTCAGAAAATAAGCGGTTACGTGGGCGGACAAAACTGCCGCTGAATTCTAATCCTTCCACCGCTGGGAGTTAATAATCCAGGCAAGATCATGAAAATAAAGCCGCTCGGTAAAATCGCTTTGACCTCGCTATTTTCTCAAACACCTCCTCGTCGCCGTAAATCAAGAGATTAAAAATCTCAAACGACCGTAATTGGAGGAGTTGAAGTGAATCATAATAAATTAAGATGTTTATTCGGCAGTTTAAAAGCACCGGGCCGGGCATCACTTAAATTTAGTACGTGCCAAATTTGCATAATATTCTAATAAATTAGTATTCAAGAGTGTACATAAAAATAAAAGAGCTCTCGATTCACGGTTCCGTGCGTTTCAATGGACTATGTAAAAAAGTCGCCACAATCGCATGATACGCGTGTGGCGTGTACAAATCCAATACGGCAGATTGCGGTTTCGATTCACGTAACAAACTCTCAGAATGGTGTGTGATTCGTTACTTCGAAAGTTATGTTCATCTTGTGAAATGTGCAAAAACTACTACAGGAGAATCCAACAACCGGTTTATAATGTTTAATGCTTTTATTTTAAAATGTGTAATTAATAGGAAAAATAGAAAAGACAGAATTTTATTATTCTTTTTTTCAAATAAAAATATTTAATATTTAGTGATTCATTTCAAAACTTTGTTTAACATTATCAAAAAACTAAATTAACATAATTTAGTTCAGTTGATATTTATTTAAAATTACAACAAAAATCCCAAAAAATTTAAAGAAATTACATTTTAAATTTTCCTTCTTCCTGATTATAAGAAAGGATCACTGTGATTGTCTTTTCTACACAGTGCCGTCAATTTATTCAGACAAATTTTGACATTTACGTATCAATCTTTCAAACATGATGAATGACATATCAATCAGGCAGTTCAAAAAGAGGTGAATGAAACCGGCTCGGCTTGCAAGCACACGACAAGCAATTGTCAGGCCATTAAATTTGCAATTATCAGGCCGGTGGCAGGCGCTGCGGCGAATTCAATTTCTGTTGACGCGCACACCTGCACCTGTTCCCACGGCGGATGATGGATATTTTGAAAAATTTAGCGTGCTTACAAATGACTTTGCCGCATTTCTGATTCGATTTTTTTCCTTTTTCTGTCGGCAGATGGGCGGATTCACGCAAAGACCCTGGACGCCGACCAAGCGGCGAGGACCCATCGCGGCCGAGCACACCAGTCCTGGACCTGCCTGCGTGGCCCTCAGAACCACCATTGGTGAGTCGCACACGAAAATCGATGCGGAGCCGAATCACGAAAACGCTGTTTATTTATGGGGCTCACAGCGAAGTTTGCTTCCTTTCTGGGTCTCTAGTCCAAATAACTCTGCAGATAAAAATGGATTTTTATGACGAGTGTTCTGCGTTGATCACGAAATGCTCTTTGCTAAATGGGCTTGGAAAAAGAAGCTTATATATTTTTAAATACGGACATGAATTAACTTATAACGTCTCTTTTTTCAGTGATTTATTTCTTCCGCTAAAAATTTTAGATGAATTATACTATAATTTGACTTATTTTAGCTAAAAAAAAAATATGAAAAGGAAAATTAAATATTAAATTTTTTTCTTACATATAATGTTAAACGTCACACAGGCTTATTGTAGAATTCTTGAAAATAAAGTTTATATGTGAATTAATTCTTTATTAAATGAATTTGAGAAAGTTTGAACAATGACGTGTTTTTAAAAATTCAAATATAATAAAGCCTTCACAATTGAAGATATATTTTTTTTTGTAAAAAGATCAATTTTAAAAATAATAATAAAAAAATTTGACTTTTGAGCAAATTATTCTGCAAATATGTATTTATGTTTGACTTTAAACAATTTGAAGAGCAAATTTGGGCTGAATAAAATAAATTAAAGAATCATTGGGCCAAACATAATATTATGGATTCATATCGCGGGGGCACAATGCAGATGATAATTGGGGTGGTCCGCGACCATTGTTCGCCGCACACAGATGAGTGCTGCCCACTCTCCGCGGTTGGAATACAGCGAGAGGGAACATAATGAAATGGAGAAAATAATATAATAATATGCAGCGCCACAGATAATTATAGGCGGCTTTGATTTTCATTCAGCCCTTTGGAACGATACAAAAATAGTCGGACTCGGTTTCCTCAGGGTGTGTCCGCTCTTGTTTCAGAAATGAATGCAAATTCAATGGAAATGAAAAACAGATTTCATCAACTGCACACGCAAATTTTAGCCCATCGTCCCTGGTTACAAATCTGAAACGATCCCAACAATAATGAAAGGAAGTAATGAAAAGTCACAAATTAATTTCTGCAAAAATTCAAATATTAAGAAAAAAAGAACAAATTTTGTTCGTTTTATGCCAAAAATAAATTAAATTTACATATTATTGTATCAGGCTATTAAATTTCCAATAAATATTCAAGTCAGACAGTTTTCTATAACACGTTTCTTCCCTCAATCTGAATATCGTGAGGCAGTTGATCCCACGCTGATTTGGGTCAACGACATGCACCGTTCATTTGTATTCGTGTGACAGAAATCCAAGTCCAAATATGTCTCGCGCTGCGCGTTTTTTACACGAAACGGAATAAAATTTCATCCATCTACTGCTGCCGCTGGCCGGCGTTTTATTTTTTGCATCCGACGACGCGAGTTGGGATCGGTGAAGGAAAATTTATCGGCCGGTCGCCCTTGTACCACACCTCGTCTGCAGGGCCGCCTCCGCACTTGCGGCCTGCCCACTCGGCCCTTGCCTTATAAGCAGATATACTCTGCAAGCCGTTATTTTATTTAGCCGTGAGTCAGAGGACGGTGGGCGACCCGTCGATCTCGTTCGTCTCTGCTGTAGAAGGGATTTCTCTAATTAATTAATCAAGCCACAGTTGAATGCAAATCACTCGACTATCTGCGTTGAATTGATTTTTAATTTGATACAAAGTAAAAGTAGTTTTCAACTGATTTGAAATTTCTCTTCAGATTTTAATAATTAATTAATAATCAAATTTTTTTGTATTGACCGAGATGAATAAATAATCATAATAAAATAGAGCAAATAAATATGGCTAATTGTAAGACGATTTTCTTTACTTTTGTTAAAAAATCATTACAATATCATTTGATTAAATAAAATATTTGAACAGGAAAAATTTAATTATTTGTAGCATCAAGGATCGTAAATCACACAACACACCCTGGGTGTTACTAAACGCGCAGAGGAAACGGCGAAAAGGCCCATTATTCTGTGCGTTTATTTTAATGTGCTGCGTGCATAATTTAAAAAAAGCAGTTTGTCCCACGTAAAATGTGACGTGTACGTATGGATGGGTAATGAGGCGATGTGCAGTCGCCGCCCTCCACACAGCCGGCGTGGATGTGACCATTTTCGCGTTTTTATTATCCGTGGATATATGCGCGCCCACGCTGGCAAGGATGACGGACGCATACATCGGAATAAGTGATGCGAACTTCCCACATTTATGCACAGAGAATTGAATGAGATGCCCCTGAAAGTTTTATTAATAGAGAACGTTATTGCATCTCTGTGATTTAACGCCCATTGATCCAATCGTGATTTGCAGAAATGAGACTTGCATTATGGAGGTCAATAGAATAAAACTTTTATTAATATTGTTCAAGGTCACCTAGTTGTACCAAATATCATTTATTTTTTTGCAATTCAATTTTTTAAACTTTATAAAATGATTAAAATTTAGACCCAACAGAAGAAAGAAATATTTAAAAATGGTTTTTCCATCTATAATTATGGCAATTTATCTTTTGTTACAGGAAATGTGGCTCACGACTCTAAAAAAGGACGAGCACCCGCCTTCAGTTTCGGTGGAAGGTAACTTAATAGCCATGCCCACCCACAATCACTATAATTCCCAACCGTTTGATTGATTTCGCAGACACAACAACAAAAACAACAGCCCAGGCCCCGGCCCAGGACAATACAACGTGACCGGACTGAGTGCCAAAGGTTAGACGATTCTATCCAATTCCTTCAACCTTGCCAAATAGTAAAAGGCCCCATAAATGTCGGCACCTCTCCTATTTAATTCATTGATCTTGAGCAACAGTTCAATTTGCAAAGCGCCGACACTGATTAATTATCCCTTGAAAGCTGCCTTTTAATAGAATATACAAATATAAAGCCTGAATAAAACGGCCGACTACACACACCTTTGCGGTATTCTCAGCAGGCAAGGACACCCCGCCGGCATCCACCCTGCACGGCCGCCCCAAAGACCCGAAACCAGACAACACCCCCGCCCCCGGAGACTACAGCCCTGAGAAGAGTGACAAGGCGCTGCACGACAAGGCCCCCCAATACACTTTTGGCATGAAGACGCAGACTGAAAAGCCAAGTTCCACGCCAGGTTGGATATTAGTTGTCTTTTTTTCTCATTTTAAACTTTAAAACATATCCGCATGAGTTGAGTAGAATTTAATAAATAATGTATAAATTTGAATGTATGGACTAACAGCACCTGGCACCTACAGTCCAGAAAAAAGTGTGGATGCACTCAAAGACGCACCTAAATTCTCGTTTGGAATCAAAGCTAAGCCAAAAAAGCCAAGTGAAACTCCAGGTAATTAAACTTTTTGACTTTTTTTTTAAATTTTATCAAAAAGTTTAAAAGCGTATTTGAGATTTATTAAATTATTAACAATAATCGACTTTCTGCCTGAAGTTTATTTTGTTTTTTCCCCATTTATGCTTTATTTGAATTATTTTCGCCCAATCCGTGTAGCTCCTGGTACGTACTGCCCTGAAAAGAGTGTTGAGGCTTTCAAAGATGCGCCAAAATACTCTTTCGGTCTCAAGCCCCAACTTGAAAAGCCAAATGCCACCCCCGCGCCTGGCACTTACAGCCCCGAAAAAAATGTTGACGCCTTCGATTCCACTCCTAGCTACTCATTTGGTCACAGACCAGCCCTTGACAAACCAAGCAACACACCAGGTATCCTCAGATTGGAATATTGTCTATAATTTGGCTGGGTTTTTAAAACTGCGGTTTCATTTAGCTCCTGGTTCCTACAGCCCTGAGAAAAATCTGGACGCGCTAAAAGACACGCCAAAGTATTCTTTTGGTCTCAAAACGCAACTCGAGAAGCCAAATAACACACCTGGTATTAATATTATTTTTTATGTTAAAATTTGTTTTAAACCAAAATTTAATCAGCTCCTGGAACTTATTCCCCTGAAAAGTGCAGTGAAATTTCCGATTCCGCGCCAAAGTACACCTTTGGAATGAAACATTTGATGGAAAAGCCGAGCAACAATCCAGGTTTACTATTCATTAATCTTTAATTTTATCCAAATATTTTTTTTTTTCGTCATGTGACCTCCTCCTTATTTATAATATTTTAATTATAACTAGCTCCCGGTTCATACTCCCCCGAAAAACACGTGGATTCGCTTACAGACACGCCAAGATACACATTTGGCCACAAGGCCCATCTGGAAAAACCCAGCAATACCCCTGGTACAGCTCTAATTTATTAATTTTGTCCATTAACTTCTGCAATTCCCATTTAGCACCTGGTACTTATAGCCCTGAAAAAAATGTGGACGCTCTCACCGACACCCCAAGATATACTTTTGGACTGAAACCCAACCTTGAGAAGCCTAGCAATACGCCTGGTAATTGCTTTTTACCGTTTATTTTAATTCTGCATTGTTCATTTTAACTTTTTCTAACAGCCCCTAACACTTACTCTCCTAAAAAGAATGACGCGTTTGATTCAGCACCCAAGTATACCTTTGGACACAGACCTGATCTGAACAAACCTAACAATTACCCTGGTGACAATTAATTTGAAATGTCTAACTTTAATTATATTTGATTTTGGTTTCTTTTCTTTAATTTTGTAAAGCTCCTGGCACTTATTCCCCTGAAAAGAACGACGCGTTTGATTCGGCACCAAAGTACACCTTTGGACATAGACCCGATTTGAACAAGCCTAACAACATGCCCGGTAAAGATTAAAAATTAATATTTTTTCAATTCATTTACAATATCATTTCCAATATTGCATTAATTTATTATTTATATCTTATCTTCAAAAAAATTAGCACCTGGCACTTATTCCCCTGAAAAGAACGACGCGTTTGATTCGGCACCAAAGTACACCTTTGGACATAGACCTGATTTGAACAAGCCTAACAATATGCCCGGTAAAGATTAATTCAATTAATATTTTTTCAATTAATATTCAATATCATTTCCGATGTTACATTATTTATAATTTATTTCTTATCTTAAAAAAATTAGCACCTGGCACTTATTCCCCTGAAAAGAACGACGCGTTTGATTCGGCGCCGAAGTACACCTTTGGACATAGACCCGATTTGAACAAGCCTAATAATATCCCTGGTAAAAGATTTTATCTCTTTGTTGTAAATTATTTTATAATTTTTCTCCGGCACTATTTTGTTTAGCTCCTGGCACTTACTCTCCCGAAAAGAGTATTGACGCGCTGACGGACACGCCAAAATATACATTTGGTCTCAAACCCCACGATGAAAATAAATTTTCCACTCCCGGTAAAAAATGCACTTTTTCTTTTTCCACTTTTATTTTGATTTTATTTCACTTACTTTAATTTAGCCCCCGGAGCATACAGTCCTGAAAAGAGCACCGAAGTTTATGATTCCACCCCTAAATATACTTTCGGTCTCAAAACTCAGGTCGGCAAACCCAGCAACAACCCTGCCCCTGGCGCCTACAGCCCCGAGAAAAATATCGATGCCCTTAAGGACACGCCAAAGTACACGTTCGGCTTGAAACCCAATCTTGACAAACCCAACAACATCCCAGGTAATTCTAAAAATTAAAAAATAAATAATTTGCAAATAAAACTAGCTCCCGGAGCTTACAATCCCGAGAAGAGCGCCGAGGCCATGGAGTCAACTCCCAAGTACACATTCGGTCTAAAATCCAGGGCTGAAAAACCCAGCAACTACCCAGGTATGCAGCACTTGTAAAGTAGTTGTAGAATTGCACAAGGAAATTTTCTCCGCAGCACCTGGTGCCTACAGCCCTGAAAAGAGCATTGACGCCCTGACAGACACGCCGAAGTACACCTTTGGTCTGAAAACCAATTTGGAAAAACCCAGCACAACACCAGGTTAGTACAGAAAAAAAATTGCACTTTGTATATTTCAAACTCGCACCGTGTAATTAAATATAAAATAGCACCTGGCTCTTACAACCCTGACATGAGCGTTGACGCGTTCGATTCAGCGCCCAAGTATACTTTTGGTCTCAAGACGCATCTCGAAAAACCCAACGAAACGCCAGGTACAATGTGAAAAATAAAATAAAACTTCGGGCAGAGTTTACGCAAAATAAAAAATAATAAAATAAAATTACTCGATCTTTTTAAATTTTTGTTAATTTTTTTTTTTAAATTTTATAAATTTTGCAGCCCCCAACGTGTACAACATGCCACCCGTGCTTGGGTCGGTGAAGGAAGGCCACATGCGTCAGGCGCCTGCGTTCACCATTTCCGGCCGAACCAAGGACCCTGTGGACGAAAGGGTCAAGGTCCCTGGGCCAGGCACGTACAACGAGGCCAGCATTGAGCAGTACAAGGCCACCAAGTCGCCGTGCTACTCCATCTCTTCCCGCCACCCCGCCATCAGTGACTCGACGCAGATTCCAGGACCCGGCGTTTATTCGCCTGAAAAGGTAGGCAACCCTCTTAAAAAGAGGAGAAACCCGCAACTAACCATCGCACTGAACTAACCCAGGTGACTTTTGCAACTTCGTCTGCTCCGGCTCACTCTTTCGGAATCAGACACTCGCCTTTCCTTGCTCAAGACATCCCTCACAGACTTCTGCTGCCTTCTGAGGGAATTCCTTTCTAACTCAACTGTTACTAACACATAAGGTTGCCACAAATTATTCTTTCTTATGCTCAGAACTCAAGTTCGTTTAGTCTTTTATTTGTTCAGCCACGATATCTTGTAATAATCTGCAAATTAATTTATACGACAAAAACAAATATTTTCCATCTTTTCTTTAAGCAACCAAGAAAAGTAATCAATCTTTAATTATACAACCGCAGTAAAGTTATTATAATTAAATTATATTTAATCTCATTCACTGATATTTTGGGCTGGTATTATTATGTATTATATAAACTGTTTGGTTGAATTGTTAAATTTTGATTAATCTCAATAATTAATTTTTTATTTAATTTTTAGGCATACCAGAGCGTTGTAGAGTCAAAACCATCCATTTCATTTGGTATCCGTCACTCGCCCTACATTGGCAACTTGAAAGGCAACGTGTACAAGGTGGACACCAGCTACACGCAGCAAAACGGCCAAGTGAACGGAACCTCCAGCAACTCTAGCAGCAACAACCAGTCGTCAAATACGAAAATCAGTAGCACACACGAGAAGACCGCCAATGGCTACCGTGAAACCATCACCACCACAACGACGACCCAGTATTCATCCAAAGGCTCCCACGAGTCCTCAACCGGAATTTAAAAAGTTTTTTTGAAAAGTCGAATAATTTTGATTTTTTTTTATCTAACTCTGAAGTATTTTAATTACTTGATTTATATAATTAAATTGAAGATTGTCAAAAAGGCGATTGGTTGAAGATGATTAAAATGTGATTGCAACGTTTCTTGACAATAAATATAAAAATTATCTATTTTGACTGCTTAGATATGATAAAAAAAATCATGTGAAATCCAACACGACTTGATACTTTATAGGAGTTGTTAATATTTTTGTGAAAAAAAATCTGATGTGAACAGCCTAAATAATATACCATAAAAATAATGCATTTCAAGTAGGAGAGAATCAAAATCTTAGTAGTCTAGTTACGCAGGCTAATTTTGTTTGCAAGTTTCAAAGCTAGGTAGTGATATTCTCACTAATCTAAATTAATTACACAACTAAGCCCCACGTGAATTGTTAATGGTTAACACTAATTATTCCATATAGACAAGAAATTGTTTCAATTGTTTGTTGGTCTACGTAATTGGATAAGAAAATTATTTACGACAGCGTTGATTTAAAGTTTTAAAAATTTTAATGTCGCTCTCTGCAACCTTGCCGAATTTTTCTAATAACCCCTTTGATTTAAGCGTTGTATGTACATTAATGGAGTAAACGTAAACGTTGTTGCAATAAATTTTACACGAATTTAAAATAAACTAAATTGTTGAATTATTATTATTTAAATACCCCCAAAATTTTTTGTTAATTATCAAATAATATTTTGTTGGATTCAACGTTTTGATGAGGTATTGATACAATAATATTGAATTTAAAAAAAAATTAATAATTTATTTACCAAATAATCAAGAAAGCACGCAAGATTAAATAAATAAAACGCCAAACCAAAAGAATTCCTCCGAAAATATCCTCGTGAAAAATTCAGATAACAGGTGTGCTCCTCAAATTGGTTTGACTGCAACTGGAAGAGAATGGAAAATCAGTCACCATTCCGCTGCCAACGATGGCACTTCCTCTGCTAATTTTCCTGTTGCTGCCAGTCAATAATCACGGGCTGAAAATAATTTGCGACCCCAGCGTGGATAGTCAATGGGCTAGTGAGTGCGACTTTTTTAGAGTCAACGGCGAGCTCGGCCATGAAGATGAGGCCGAGATGGAGCAAGAGTTGGAGTGGGAGGACACATTTGGACAAAATTTAGCCGATGAAAAACGATTTGAAAGAGGTACAGAAATTTTTTTCTATTTATTTTAAAAATAAAAATTGTTATCTCTATTTTTTCGAGGCCTTCAATTTTTTTTTCAAATAATTAATTTATTGAATTTCTAAAGCCGTTGAGGTTTTGCCCGGTCTGCGTCTGCCGGCGCGCAGTCAGTGTCCGGAGGATCTGATGCTCAGTCGAATGGTGTCCCGCGTTCTGGACAACTACTTCAGCGGCTGCTTGCCTGTCCTGCGTTACGACCGTTTCCTCGAAAACTCTTGCGGAGTGCAGAGATTGCTCTCTGGCGAACTGAGCTCCGGTTTGACGCACGGGAGACTCTCAGGTTCAATCAACACTGTCGGACAGAGTCCGGTGCCACGTGATGGCAGCTGCGCTGTCCCCATCTTCATGGTGCAGCACGTCGAGGACGTACGGGCCATCAGCAGGGCAGGCACGTCGCACGACTCGGCACTTATTTTGGTCACGGCCTCACCGATTTGGAGGATAGAAGAATTCGTTGACAAGTAAATATTTTTATTTTTCAATACACAAAAATTTAATTTACAAAAAAAAAACATAATGCACATTTACAACTAAAAAAATAATAAATACAATTTTTAACTAATTAGAGAGGAATTCGAGCATTAAAACTAAATAAATGTACGACAGATATTTCTGTTGCCAAATTTTGTTTTTCTGTGATTTTAATTGTAAAAAAAAGAATGAACAAAATTAATAATTTGTAAAACAAATTAAATTTAATTAATATTAAAATAATCTTTAAAAATACATTAATTTAGGTAAAACTTCATTCTTTTATTCTTGCTTAGATGGGTTGGTCGGCCCTGGAAGATGCTAGTAATAGCAAGTGCCCATCGCAAACGCCCAGTTGTCTCAACAAAATTTCTAAAACCCTGGTTTCCCAATCAACTCTCAGTGGCTGTGCGCCACGAACCACCTTTCAGTATTCACAAGCCAAACGATACAGGTTTTACTTCATTATTTTAATTTTTATTAATTTAATTAAAATTATCTCCGCATAGAGTGGACTGGCATAGAGAGAACTCTGATGGATTTGCTGGCTTACAAGCTTAATTTCACGTATGGAACGAAATTCATGCCTGATGGTGAAGGCACCGGTCCTTTGAAAGAAGCCGTTGCCGGATCTGGCGCCGAATTAGGAGCCGGTGGGGTTTATTTTTCACCAGAGACGCACGACTTGGCCACCACCATGCCTTACACTCACGTATTAATGGAATAATAAAAGAGCTGCGCGAATTTAAAATTCAATTAAACATTTAGGACTGTGCAGTTTTCATGACGCGGGCTTCGACAGCCCTACCACGGCACAGGGCGATTCTCGGTCCCTTCCAGTTAGTTGTGTGGATTATCCTGACCCTGGTTTACATTTTCTTGTCAATCGCCTCAGCCGCCAGTCCTCACGCCAAGGGGTCGGTGTAATAATCCGTATTTTTCTGAAAATTTTATTCTATTTTCATTACAGGCGTCCCCAGTCGTCCCAAACACGCCTTGATGCTTTTTGGCTAGTCTATGGCACGTTCACAAACGCCTTCTACGTTCGAGGCAGAGTGTGGAGCGACCGTATCAGCATCAGGATTTTATTGACTTTCTACTGGATTTTCACCATCATCATAACCGCAGCCTACACATCATCTATTATTGCTTTCGTCACGCTGCCCATTTTTCCAAGCACCATCGATACCGCCGAGGAAATTCTGAGCACGCCCGGATTCCGATGGGGAACTTTAGGCATAATTTTGAACATTTCTTAATTATTTTCAAATTTAATTCAGAGTCCCACAGGTAGCTCAGGTTGGGACAAAAAACTACAAGACACGGATGACCCAATATCTAGACACATCCAGGCCGGATTCGAGTGGTTGCCGCGAGTCGAGGACGGAATAAGGAACGTAAGCAAGTCGGCAAAGTACGCTTTCCTTGGCTCAAGAGACCGCCTGCAATATGAGAGCAGCGACGAATTGAAAGGAATCTTGTCGGGAAAGAAAGCGCTTCATTTGGGGTCGCAATGTTTTGTTCCACTGCTGCCTTCTTTCATGTCAACTCCAGCCCTCCGACCGGCTATTGAACCTTGGCTGCAACTTTTCTCACAGGTGCGGAAGTGAGAACATTAACTCGATTTGCTGAGCTAGGCAAGCCCGCTGCACATGCGTGTATTGCAGGTTGATTCATTAGCACTGCAATAGTGAGATTAAAAATAAAATTTATTTAATTTAAAAAAATATATATTTTTTCTTAATAATTAATCAATTGAAATGTTTTAGTTCGGATTTATGGTGAAGGCGATACAAGACATAGCTTTCCAAGAGCAACGGAGGCGTCTAAAAAACACTGCGTCCGGCACGATACGCGTGGAGTTTACAAAAAAGATGCCCCACGAGCGAAAGCTGAGCGTTGAAGATGTGACGGGAACCTTTTTCATTCTTGGGGCTGGAATTATCCTAGGCATGAAAATACCTTTTAATTTTAATGCAACTTATTGTGAGTAATATTTTCACAGGATTTACTTCACTGGCTTGCGAAAGAGTCGTCAACTGGTTCAAAGTGAACCAAATCAGTGCGCGTATCAGCAGCTCAGTGAACAAAGCGCGGCGCAAGGTTTCCACCCTGTCTGGCTCAAACAGCGGAAAGTCGTCGCAGCGCTCATTGCGACTGCGCTCGGGCCGAATTTGGTCAAAGGGTGCTCGAGGTTCCCAATTGGGTTCCATGCTTGAGATGGTCCCTGAGAAAGGAGTCCAGACTCCACCTGATTCTCCTCCGGAAGACGTCAAGACCGTTGTCGAGCACCATTTCCGCGAAGCGGACGAGGAGAGCATTGCTGCCCCAGAGGTCATGAGTCTGGCCACCTCTTTGCCTCACATAGACCGGAAAAAAGCACAACAACAGGTGGAAGACGAGCAGGCTGCAGAAAATTTGGCTGAAGTCAGGTCCTTGGAAGAAAGACCCACGTCCTCAAAGTAGTAAAACTATTTATTTTTTAGTTCAAAACGTAATAAATGAATTTTTTAAACTTCAATGCTTGTTACTCTAAATTGTAAAATAATTTTTATTTTTGCTTGAATTGACACTGACAATGAGTAGTGAAAGGCACTCTTTTAAAATAAAATACTGTTAACAAAACATGCTGTTTTCAATCATTACAAAGTCACTGCAGCTCTCAATTAGAGAAATGCAAAACATACATACTAAAAGTTGGGTAAATTAAGCGTCACCCCGACGTATAAAAATTAAAAATGCTTGATACAAGAGTTTAATTTTTATAAAATAACTGGGTCATTTTTAATTTTTACTTCAGGGGCAAACGCACTGTTCACAGCAGTCCATGCTGTCAACAAAGGGCTCCACTTGAAGGGTAAGCTCGAACACTTTGTAGCGCCTTCTGATAGCTGCTTCAGCGTTTCGAAGAACTTTTTCTGATTGAGCCCCTGGAACTAGAGAAAAATAAGAAAAATAAAACAGGCTGATATATTGAGAGTAAAATTATTACCAACAACAATGTGTGCACAGAGAGCGATTTTGTCCATGCTCAATGCCCAGACTCTGACATTATGCACTCGCAAGACACCGGGCGTCTTGTGCAATGTTTCCAGCACATCGGAAAATTCTAAACCTTTAGGAGTGGCTGTAAAATTAAAAAGAGAATGTTGAAATTTGCCAAATTTTTAGTTTCACTTATTGTTAAAGTTACCTTCCATTAGCACACGGAGGGTGTCTTTCAAAATTGCAAAAGTGGTCATCAGCACCAAGATGGAGAACAAGAATGTGCAAATAGGATCGACTATGCGCCACTCAGGCTAATAGAAAAAGAAAGATAATTAGAAAAAATTATTCAACAAAAACTATTAATTACTTTGAAATAAATTATGAACGCTGCCGTGCAGACGCCCACACTCTGGATGAAATCTCCAACCACGTGAATAAAAGCCGCTCTGACATTAATATTGTCTTCCGAGCCCTCATCATGATGAGAATCACTGCCATCACTGCCATGCGAATGCCCGTGAGAAGGTCCGTGAGAATGCCCGTGACCATGTTGGTGTAAAGTTACTCCCATGCTACAAATAAAATGATTTATTAATGAATTAAGCCTCTTGCTTGCTAAATATCAATGACCAATAAAGCGATTGACCACTGCGCTGGAAAAAGGAGATGTAAAAGGTTGTTTTGTTGGGTATGCGAATGATAGAGAAGGTAACGCCACTCATTTCAGTTGATAATAAAATATTTTTAACTTCTAAAATAGGCCATGCAGATCAAACAAAAATAATCTGCATGGTTTATTTGTTTTTGTGGCCAATAGGAATATACTTGAGGGTAAAAGATAATAAGTGATTGGTTATTGCAACTCACACAATATTCACAGCAACTCCTATGGCAGAGGTAATGAGCATGGCTGTTGCATCTATTTCATAGTCGTCGGTAATGATGCGCAAAATCGCCAAGTACACGAGAACGGCAGTCACAACCCAGATCAACAAAACTGACGACAGTGCTCCAAGAACCTCTGAAATTTAAGGGGGAAAATGCATTTTTTTTCTAATTCTTTATTTGTTGTAACTGAAGAATACCTGCTCTGTACCAACCAAAACTCATTCGCCGAGTTGCAGGTCTTGCCGATACATAAAGGGAGAAAAGTGAGATCATAAAACTGGCAAAGTCTGTCAACAAGTGAGCTGCGTCTGTGGCGATGGCTAAACTGTTTGACAGCCAGCCTCCTATAAATTATTTATTATTTTTATTGCAAAAAAAAAATGTAATTAAAGCAACAAACCCACGACTTCTCCCAGCATGAAAAGTAGACAAAGGATGCTTGCCACAATTAACTGTCTTCGGGCTTTTTTGTCAACCAGATTTCCTCTGTATTTATGGCAGTGCTCACCACCTTTGCATGCAATAGATAAAATTAATTATCCTGCACATACGGCTTATTTGTTATTTTCAAAAGAATCAAAGTTGCAATATTGGAGTTGATAAGCTTATTTCATCTTGGATAATATTATTGCATTATTTCATTTATTTATTCATAAAATAAAACTGCATTTTCTTTTATTTTAAGTTAAATATGAACAACAGTGTTGCAAGTGTAAATAATTTAATCGAATGTAAAATTAAATTAAAATATACTTGAATTGAAAGAAGACCTACTAGAAATAGCCGAGTCGGTACTATTCCCGTTGGCAGCCACCTTGACCGATTCGTCGCCCAGGCCGAGGGGCAGGGTGGTGTGCAAAGGTCCTTTCGCGTCCATCTCGTTCTCTAAAGTACCGTACTGGCTTTTGGCTTCGCGTCTGAAAAGCAATTAAAATTGGAAGTAGGGAAATGCCCTCATCTGTGTCTGACAATGAGTGAGCGCGATATTGTAAATTATGTCATATGTCGTGCGCACGCATTATTAATATATTGTATTTTTGCTTCACTGATTTTTTCAATAGGAGAGTAAAAATAGCGGAGGTGGCAAATTTATGCAATTGACTGCTACTGATCAATAGAGCAAAAAAGAAGCAGTAAAATTATGCGGGCGGAGCTTGGATTCCGATTAACTTTCACTGGCGTTGGATTTTGAAATTCGCATACAGTGCCTTTATTTTTTCTATATATTATATTTAATAAAAAAAATAGGAAGTGATTGCAAGTCGCATTTAAATTATTTAATAAATGCACTCCAAATATTAAAACAATGATCTGTGTATTTACTTACAATCTGTACTTTTCAGAGTCCATGGTGTGAAAATTTTTTCTAGTCGGCTTCACTTTGGCGAAATTTTAATCTCTCACGAATATAGTTAAAGCGTCTAGCCGGCGATCAGTCAGGTTTCGTATCTCGCGTGTCACTGATGCTCGACCATCCCTCGAGTGAGACTGATAAGGAAATGTGTCGCAATTCGCCTCGGCTGGCCACCAAATTTCAACGCCGACCTACAGACCACACAGTAAGTATTTAGAATTTTTCAAATTTCCCTGTGGGTTGGAGTGCAAAAGCATCAGCCAGACTATCCTAGCGCGGAGGTTGGAGTCGTGTGAAAAATTCCAAGCGACAGTGACCCTCAACAAGATTAGTTTTGTTTTTTTACTTTTATTTAAAACCACTTTGCACGCGGTTTTACTTAAATCAAGAACGATCCAATCTAAAAATAGCCAAAAAGTAAAAGTAATGTTGAAAGTCAAGATCAACCTATTAATTATACACCAGCATTACCAGCAAATAAGTAAGAAAATCTCAACCTAATGGACTAAAGTAATTGACAAACCCTGTAACTGTCGGCAATTATTGTTATATCTTAAGCATTTAAATAAGGCGGAAATAATTTTAACCCGATTTCAAGGAGGACCTAAAATAATTTTCTGGTGCCGAGTGGTATTTTTTTTTTTTTTTAAATAATTATGCAAATTTGTCAGTATTAAGGAATTGACATGGTCAAATTAAGTCTTTAAAACAATGGAGGTTAAAAATTTCTAATTTTTTCCAACAATTTTTTAATATTGCAACGGTTTTTCTATACATTTGATTTGACAATGCCAATAAGGATTCTTGAATTAGTTGTAAAATTATAATAATACTATTATACAGAACATTGAAAATTTATAATTTTATTTGACATTATTAGAAACGGGCAGAAAATTACCATGAAAATATATTTATGCCAGCTAATATTTACCTGAGGAATGTGAAGTGCTAAATTTTTAATCGGAAAGTCAAGCGGCGGATCAAAACTGCAACAGACCGCGACGCGTCTTCAGTCGCGTGAGCATTGGACGCGGCGCGTTGATGCGATCGCTGGCCTGCACTCGGCACCAGTAAAACAAACTCCATCGCAATGATGGTATCGTGTGCATGTTTACATTATGAACAGAATCACGTATTTCATATATTTATTTGAACATGAATAATGGACATCAAGCGGAAGGAGGGAGGCAATACAATAAATAAAATATGAGCCTACGGCACACCAGTCTGCATTGTGATGTTCCTAAAATAAAACAAAAAAGTATACCAGAAGTCAGGTGACAATTGTAATCAGCACTTACGTAATCATGTTCAGTTTTAATTAATTGCACGATATGAAAATTAAGTGGTACAAATCTTAAATAGAAAGTAATAATTTTCATGAAAAATTGAAACCGGGCGAACCTCGTTGCAAAGAAAAAATGGAAAAATAAAGGACAACTGACCCCAAAGGCGACCTGCGGTCTGCTGGTACTTTAAAACCTAGGGTTTCTTGTGTCCGACTAAAACTAAGTGGGAGGAATTAATAAAAAATTAAAAATAAAATGGGAGAATTTAATTTTAATAAAAGTTGTCCTATATTATAAAATAAGTTGTCCTTTATTTTTTCATTTTTTCTTTGCAACGAGGTTCGCCCGGTTTCAATTTTTCATGAAATCCACCTTGAGTGTTACCTTTCAATTTAATAATTTTCATTATTTCTACACCTGCATAATTATAGGATATAGCGACATTATTGTAATGCATAAACAGAATAATTATGCTGGTATTATGATGAATTATTGAAAACCTCTACTCAATTTAATTTTGTTTGGAAAAAATATATTTAATTCATTAATTAAAAATACAAATAAAGTACTAATCTGAATAAACTCCTTATGATTTCAATCAATTATTTGATGCATCAATATGTTCATGAAATTTTTTACAGCAAATAATTAGAGGTTATTAAAACCACGTTCAAAAAATATGTTTTTTTGAGAGATATATTGAACGTGTTTAATGCATAAAATTTTATTTTTAGATTAATACGGAACTGGAAATTTAATTTAATTTGATGATCATCGACTATGATGATTGTTCAAGATCACGCACCTGAGATAAACCAAAATTAGTCGCGCGCTTCGATCATGACTAATCTTAAAAAAATTATCTCTTCATAAAAAATTGTTATGTAGGTGCTCGGGGTTCGAAAAGTTCAGATGGGTGGCAGCCTCGTCTATTCAAAGTTGCGTTGGCGCCACTGCTAGGGTGCACATGGAGAGGCTTGTGATTGGATAAAAGGTTTGTTTTTGATTGATAAGTAAAAATGCCTTGATCTGTGCGTAAATTACGGGCAAAAAGTAAGAAAGGATGGTGCAGATAATAACTAGAGCCAGAATCAGAGCCGGCCGCCTTAATCAGCTTGCTACTTGAATGATAAAGGGTCGATCGGGGACTCATCAATTTTTTGCTATGGAAGAGGAAAATGCCGTGTCTTCAGAAAAAGAGGCGGATTCCAGCGCCGAGCCGGCGTTCAAATGCAAACGTAAATATTTCTCTTCGTTTTATTTAATTCAATATTTTAAACTTTGATTTTAAATTATTAATAGTTGTTCCAAGAAGCGCCCCTAACAGGCAGAAACTGGACAAAGAAATCGGCGAGATCAAATCTCAAATTGAAGCAATTGAAAATCAGCTGGTAATTAAAAAAATAAATAAATTTTTTATTTAAACGGTAATTATAAACAGTATTAGTAAAAGTTTCGGTTGTTAATTTTCATGCTTATAATTTGGAGACTTCCTTATACTATAAAAGAGATATTTTTATCTTATCTCATGTGCAATTAGGGCGTTGAATTTCATAATCTAAAACAAAACGCTGTGCAATAATAAAATTAAACAATTAAATTTTATATTCCAGCAAAAAATCAACGGCAGTGGTCAAAATACTCCTCAGGCCAGATTACAACAGATTAAAGAAAGACGAGATGTGTCGATTAAGAGAAGGAAAGATATAATCACACAGTTGGAGGAGCTTAAAAAGCAAATAGACACAAAGGTTTGCCTTTATCTATGATTTCAGTTTCATTAAAAAATAGCCAATTTGAACATTCAGAGAGATGCAGCATCTCAAATGAGAAGCAAGCTCCAGTACCAATCCGAAGAACAAGTAGAAGTTTTAGCCAAAAAACTGGAGCAGCAGCTTCAACAACACAGTTTCCGTTTGTCCGAGGAGCGCCGACTTGTGGCTGAAATCGACAAACTGAGACGCGTGAAAAAAGCTGTGCGTCAGTACAATGAGGCTAAGGAGGAACTCAACAAGTTGCGTGAATCTCAACAGACTCTCCGAGTGGAGCGGGACTCAATCTCAAGTGAATTCGGAAATTTGAGAACACAAGATGATGAGATTCACAGTGTGCTTCGGAAGAACAAGGAGGTTACCGATAAAATGAAAAAAGGTGAAAAATGTAACCTGCAAAAGCGCAAAATTAATTATGTAATTTATCTAGAACTGGACGCACTGCATGAAAGAAAACGCAAATTATGGTCAGATTTCAAGGAGGAGCAAGCCTTGTATAATGAGTACAAAGAACAGAAAAGGTCCGAGACGAATAAGTTGCGGCAGCAGGAAAAGCAAGCAATTGCTCAAGCTAAGGCAGAGAAAAAGTACATACCAAGATAAATTTTTTTACAATATTTCTATAATATTTTCTCTTTACAGACGGGAATTGCAGAACAGTATTGAGCCTTATGAGGTGGAACGGCAGTATTGTGCGACACTTCTCAGTTTCCTAGGCAAGATGGAGTTGCAAACTCCTTCCACCCCTGCCAGTTGCTATTCCTCATTCGCTAACACACCCAGTGAGCACCTTCCATTTGCTGCACGCATTGCACTTAAATGTTGCTTTTCAATAATGCTATTGTTTTATTTTTGAACTCTCAAGAATTAATCAATGTTAAATTTGAAAATATTTTTTAGTGTCTCCCGAAGAACCAAAGAGCCCACTTCCAACTGTCGAAGATGAAGTCGAGGAAAGATTAATGCAAGGAATGGAAGCCCTGTTTTGTGGCATTCCAAAAAAACAGTCCAGGAAAGTTAAGCGTTCTACTAGTAAAGCCAGTCAGCTAAAGGTAAAATAGTTTCTAAAAATTTTGAATGAAATACTGATAATAACTTTATAGAAACGTCCTGTAACTCTTACACCTGACCTTCTAGTACAATTTGACAAGATTGGAGTCAATCCTCCTGTCATTTCCCTTGAAATACCTTCTGCTATTGAAGCAATAAAAGCACAACAGGTATAAAATCACAATCAATTGAGAAAAAAAATATAATTTATTTCCACCTACAGAAACTGTACAATAGAATGGCTGCTGTTGAGATGGCAGAACGGGCAGCCAAGAACAAACCACCTCAAGAAAAATCAGAAGACCTACCAGTTGACGGGGCTAGTCCTCCTTCCAGGGCATTGACCCTCACTTTAAATAATTGTGTTCCTTCATGTTCGAGTGTACATACAAACGGCAATAATGCAACTGATTTAGTTAACTGTGTTGTGACCTTTGAGCAGGATAGTACTTAGCGGCAACACCTCTTTTCCTATACATTATTTTAATGTTTTGTGTAGATTCTCTGTGGTTAGATATCACTGCAGCTCCTTCTCCTGCGGCCAATTTTTCACAATGAAAACCAATCGCATTCCACTAGTCAGATGGCAAGCAAAATAAGTTGCACTTTCCTTTGATTCACTGCTCATTTCTCTTTAATTGTGTATGAATATTTTTATTGATTTTTACACTGGCCAGAAACTATTTCAATTTAGCAATTTTAACTTGTACAAGTCAAGTTTGTAAATATTGAAATAAGAAATTTTAGAACTGACAATCACATCTGTGTTTTATTTTTATAAATTAAAAAAAAAAGTACTATTTTTGATGCTCCCCCGCATAAAATTTATATTTGTTGAAAATACTTTTTTGTATTGGAACAAAAGTGCTATAAAAATACATAGTAGAAGTATAGGCGGGTGTGAACAATAGCAGCATTCAGCGTCAAACTATGAGTATGCAAAAAACGAATTTGATTAGGAAGACGAGCAGAGTTAGGGAGTTTGCTGAACATCAGCACCAAGGCCATGCAGTTGCGTCATTTAATTGAGCGCAGCACAGAAAACACTCAACAAGCCTTGATCATTGAGGACTGGTGCGGCCAGCCTTTCACATCGCAAGAGAGGCAGAGATAATAAAGGTACGTTTGCAGAACGTCACTAAATAAACAGTTTTAGGAAAATTGATTTAATATAAGAAAAACTTATTCCAATACGCATTGTTATGTTGTTATCTAAATAATTTTATATATAAAATAATGTAACATTTAAAAGGGCATGTAAATGCTCATATCATGTCTTAAATATATTTAAAATAAATATTTACCAAACTCATTGTCTGTTAAATTCCAAAGTATGATTGTATAGTGACTAATATTTGAATGATAAATTTGTGTTTTGTCCATTTAAATGTAGTTATTTATAATTGTTAGTCCAATGGAAATTGTGAATCGCACGTGTCCGTATATATAAATTAAATTGGTCTGTACCCACAATGATAGGCTGAGAATGCTTCTTATCAATGAAAATACACCTTGCTTTGTATGATAACCAAACGGATTATTATAAAAGAAAACAACTAACAGGTCACCAAGCTGGGCAGTCTCTTATCTTGATTTGTGGGTGTTAATCAATGATTTGTCCTTAACAAACTCTATTGACACAAGACGAAAGAATCCTAATACTGTTAGCTTTGTTTTTTCAATATTATACCAAAGAAAAAATTCTTAAATTGTATTTTCTTGGGTACAGGTGATTTGAACAGCCGAAAATGAGCGCACCGGAACCGGAAAAGCAAGAAGCCCCTGAATGGATGAACGAGCAGTTCTTCCAGGAGGTGCTGGAGCGCGACTACCCTGGCATCAAAGTGACCTCGGCACGCACGGAGCCGGCGGTGGCCGTCGGCGAAAATTACGCGTGCATCGTGCATAGGGCCTTCGTGAGTCGCTCCGACGGCCCCGACGTGCATCTCATCATTAAAAGTTTGCCGACCTCCGAGTTCCGCGCCCAGATGGTCCGAGACGGCGAAATTACCCTGCGCGAGGTGCGCATGTACAAGGAAACCCTCAAATTGCTCGGCGACCCGTGCACACATCCTCCTTGCCATTTCGCAGAGCTCGATGATGTTAGAGACGCAGTCGTGCTCGCCGACCTGCGACCTTTAGGGTACAAGACGAGGGACCGCAAACTCGGACTTGACCTGCCGCACTGTAAACTGGTCATGGAGCAGATTGGCAGGCTGCATGGCGCTGGCATAGCCATGAGGTATTGAGAAAAAAATGCTCTATACAGCAACACTGAAAACGTTAAATTGATAATTTTTTTTTTTTTTTTTTTTTTGGAACATCCAATCTGATGGAAATAATTTTAACGTTTTTGTTTTTTTGAAAATGACAAAAATTTTATCCACTTAAGTTAATAAACAAAAAGCTTAAAATGGAAATAAAATAACTGCATATTTAAAATATTTTGTTGCATTGAATTAATCTTCGATCATTCATTATTTAATTTTTTTATCATCGTACATAAAAAATTATTTATAAACAACATGTATGTTTAGGTTTTTATTATGTAAATTATTATATAATTGATATTATCATTATTATTATTACAATTTTTTCTCCTGATTTTTATTTTATTTTACTGATAATCAAATAATATTTTAGTATAACTTCCACTGATTGCTATCTCTACAGTCAATGTTTTTAACCTTTTTAGGATAAACGATCCAGAGAAATTTGATAGAGAGATCACAGTTAAGTACCCTGACACAATGTTCAGCGAGTTAAACCGCGTGAAAATGACTCCGTGGATAGGTATGACCATGGGTGCGCTGGCTGACGCAATTGAGTTCAACATGCCACTGCGATTCCATTCTCTTGCGAAGATTACAAGAGAACTTGGCGAATGTTACTTTGACATCATGCAAGAGGCCCTGACTCTTCCTGAAGACCCAGAGAAGCGCGACAATTTGGTGTTCACACTCAACCACGGCGACACTTGGAGCAACAACATCCTCTTTAAATATGTTGGTATGTATATGAGCCATATAACGTGACTGTAAACAAAATTATTCAATTCGATGAGCTCATTCGCCAGACTGCGACCACAAGGAAAATGCGACAGGCGTCATTAAAATTACCACACTCTATACATTTCCGATATGCATGGCACTTTAAAATCAAGAAATTGAAAATATAAGTTAAAAAACTTGTTGGAACAGATTCGGAATAAATTTAGACCTCAAAAGAAAGATTTAAAAAAAAAATCGATAAAAACGTAAACACCACTGTTCAAGTCTTAATATAGAAGCTACAACTTTCATAAAAATAGGTTGTTTATTGAGTTCACTTGCAATTAATATTATGTCCTCAAAAGTATGACTAGTATGAGATATTTATTTGTAAATCACAATGCTTGGTGCTGTGTAAAAATTAAATGTAAGAGTTAATTTATTTTATGAATAGTAAATATTGATTTATAAATATTATTTGTACTGCAGAAGATTATTTTATTTATTCACCCATTCAGTTTATCATTTGTATTTTATTAATTATTTTGTTTCGTTGTACCTTTCTATTGAACAAAATTAGAAATTAAAACATTAAATTGTTAATTTTTTAGATGGAGAACCCGATCCACAAGACTGTGTTTTGATTGACTTCCAGTTGAGCCGAGCAGTGCCAGCAGTCATTGATCTGCTATACTTTTTCTACTCGAGCACCAACCAAGATTTGCGCAAACAATTCACTGACGAGCTTTTGAAAATTTATTGGGACGCAGCGCTAAAGGTGTTAAATGAGAGAGGCATCACCTATCCAGGAAGGTAGAAATATAGAGCAACATAATTTTCCCCTTTTCCGAATTCATTTAAATTTTTTTTTAAACCAGGTATTTCTACGACTCAGTGGCGGATATTAAAAAGGATTTGAAGAAATTTGCACTAATCGGCTACATGTTGGGATGTCTCATTATGCCGATAGTGATTGCAAATGCAGACGATGCACCCGATTTAGACTCAATAACAGAGGAAAGCTTGGCTCAAATGGAGGCATCGCCCTTCCTGAAAATGTATTCAGGGCCCTTATTTTGCAGAAGGTTTAGGGAAATTTTGGAGGACTGCGATGACTTTGGTGCATTTAAAGAGGGCACTTGGAAAAAATACACAAAAACAGAAGTGAAACCTGAATAAATTCTTTTATATTAATAGCCTGCACGCTTATTCAGTATCTTAATCAAACTGTTTATATCATTGCTTGCAAATTAATTTCTTTAAAAATTTATATTTTTATTGATAATATTATGAAAAATAAAAAATCCACCACAATCAAATAATTTTTTTTATTGGATATTTATGGATCACAACTTGAAAGCAGCAAGAAATGAGATGATGTATATTAAAGCAAGTTATGATTCCCCACTCTCAAAAGACCACCAATGTTGTATTATAGGCTTTTGCAAACAGGCACGAATGAAAACGATAATCGCAGAGGAGAATTAGTCAAACACCCCACTCCAACTTTTTCCCCGATGTCTCCTCCATCTCAAACAGGAAAGTCTTTCAGTTTTGTTGTGTGGACTTTTCTTAAGGTTGAGTCGTGGCTATATAAACAGACGCTGTCCTCTAATTGAAAATTTTCAATTTTAGTATGAGACGATTTTCTCAATAGCATTAATTATCAATCTTGGGTCTGCGTACAAGCTTCTCATCAGGTAAATAAAGAAACATAAAATTTCTAATTTATTAATAAAAATGATTTTCACGCATCTTCGACGCAAGGATGTCTGCGGACGTCACGTCTACAAATATATACAATGCCGCCTTGCTACAGGGCAACATCAACAACTTTAAATTGGAAATTCGCAAAATAAGGAAAGAGGAATCAAGAGAGATTTTGTTTCAAATATGCACAACGACAATTTTCAAAGTAAGTTTATTTTATAAATTTTAATATATAAAATAATAATCATAAAAATAATATTTTATTCTATATTGATTAAAATATTTTTTTATTAAACTAAAAAATCAAACCTAAAAAATAATTATTAAATTGTTAATCTTTAGGATGAAAATGTCAGATGCCGATTTGCAAACGCCCTCCTTGCAAAATACAACGCTTTTGAAAATTCAAAAAGTGAGATTCAACGGTACCCACTACATGAATGTGCCAAATTAGGCAAATATGAACTTCTCTCCACCCTCCTGAATCATCCAAAGCTGCACCCTGCCGACGTGCAAGAGCTCAACGGCAAATCAAAAACTGCTGTCCATTGTGCAGTAGAAGGAGCTGCATCGTTAAATACAAGTCAACAAGACTTAAATAGAAAGAAGAAAGAGATAAATGCACTAAAATGCATTGAGATCTTGTATGATAAAAACTGTTACTTGGACGCACGGGACTCGCAAGGATTCACTGCCGTCCACGTCGCGGCAAAAAATGGCCTTTGGCAACTTGTGAGCTACTTCCTTTTAAGAAACGTGAATATTGATATTTCAACAGAAGAATTCAATGAAAATGCACGGAAGCTGATTCAAGACCTACATCCGAGATGGGTCAAGTCTTATGCAATGTGCAATATTCCACTCAGAATATCAGATAATACTATAAGCTTTGATTCAATTGCGAAAGAGGCTTCAACAGTTCAATTTGAAGAAGTAGATAGCTTTAGCGCTGACAATTTTTTTAAACAATTTTTAGCAGATCTTCAGCAAAAAGAGCCCGTGAACTGGGAAAATTACTTCATCAAGAATGAAAAATTCGTCAAAAATTTAAAAGACAAGTATGTGAAATTGCAACAAAATTTTTTATTTTAGCTAAATTTTTTTCCCTAAAATTCATAAATAATTTGGGATATACGGAAGCTAAAATTAAGCTTTGGGATGTGCTGGTGCAAACTTATCAAGAAAATATCAATCAATGTTTAAGTTGCAAAAGAAATATTTTCCTCTAATTAACAGTTAAGGTGCAACTGTACAAGTTATATGTTGCTGCCGACGAAAAAAAAATTATTTACTTAATTTATTTATTTCTCATTTTATATTTTATTATTTCATAAAGTAACATAGACCAGACAATCCCTTGAACATGAATATCAAATTAAATCTCATATTTCAACAAAGTTTTAAAATGGCACCCAATTAAAATGCAACTTAACAATCATAGCTAGTTGCAGCTTACTTAAAAGATGATGCAGTAATTGAGTAAATGCTTTTTTATTTGCAGAACAATAATTATTTAAAATTTAAATCGATTTTGAATAGTAGTACATAATTCTCTTAAAAAAATACTCTTATACTTATTTAATTATTGTTTTTATTGCATTTTGTTTAAGGTTGCTGGTGCTGAGCATCAAAGAAGATGTTGAATGTGCAGCGAGGATATTGTTAGAAAAATATCAAGCAGACCCTAAATCGTCGCTTTTTACTGCCGTCGAGGTAGGGGATAAAAAATATCTGAAACTAGTGAAACTATACACTGATAAACTAGAAGACGATCAAAAGATTGATTTAATTTCGCAAAAATCTGCAAACGACAATCAAACAGCGCTGCATAAAGCGGTAACTTGCAAGAGAACTAGTGCTGAAAACGTAAAGTTTCTTATGGATTTTGCCAAGGATTTACTAGAAGATGATTTTTCAAAGTGGCTGAATTCAAAAGACAATAAGCCAATAGGTCACACTGCCGGCTCCCTTAGCAAAGAGGATACTGGGAATCAGCAAGAAGAATCATGTCGCGATGGAACTCGCATTGTCACTGATGAAGAGCCAGAAGAACAGGGTTACACAGCTTTGCAATACGCTGTCCATGACGAGAAGCAGAGTGACGTTGTTCAAATACTGCTACAATATGGTGCTAATATTTTCATCCAGGACTCGCAATCAAATATTTGCACTTTTAACTGCATTAGATATGAGCTGCTTAAAAAGCACTTTGATGATCAAATCAAAGTTACGGATGACAAGTTGTGGTTTGAGAAAGATTACAGCATCACTTTAGATTTTAAAATCCTAAAGAGTAACGAAAACTTTCCAAAAGAATTGCCTGAAAGAGTGCCATGTTTTCAAGCTGCACAGCAGGATAATGCAAGAAGTGCTGACGAAATAGAGATGGGAGAACGCGAAAAGAATTCCCTAATCGAAAATGGAGCTGGAACCTCAGATTCCACTTCATTCAACAACCAGAAAAATAAACGGACTGCCGCAGAAAATCACAGCCATTTTCCGAAAAATAATTTTTCTTTGGAAATGGAGCCACTGAATATGATTGCAGATTCTGGTACCCATAAAATGTTGTTGCTTCACCCTTTAATCAAGATCTTCTTCCATTTAAAGTGGAATCGACTCTATTGGTTTTACTGGGCCAACTTTTTGCTCTTCTCTTCTTTTGCAATCTCTTTTGCCGTTTTTGTCATTTACTCAAATTTTGAAAAACAAACTAACATGACACTTGACAACCAAGAAAATTTGAATGACAAACTAATTTCAAAGAATGCTGTTTGGCTTACGTTTGTTCTGAACATAGGAATATTTTTTAGAGAAGCCTTTCAAGCGTGCTTCCTCCCAGGATATTTCTCAAAATTGGAAAATTACATTGAAATGACAATTATTATTATGACATGCTTTCTCCCTTTTGTAGAACAAAAGATATTAATGGTCACAATATTATCTTTGCTGATATCATTTGAATTCATGCATCTAATGGGGCGTCATCCTAGACTGGCAATTTATTATCAGATGCTGTCAGTCGTGGCATGGAATTCATTGAAGCTGCTTTTGTATTATTCACCACTAATTATCACGTTTGGGTTTTTATTCTACATAATATTTCCTGCGTGTGTTGGTAAAGAGTGCAAGGGCATCACGTTCAATACTTGGTTAGAATCAATGTTTAAAGCGATGGTAATGATCTCTGGCGAATACGAAGCAGGGGAAAATAATTTTGAGTTTGCTCCTATCGCAAGTCACATGCTTTTCATATTGTTTCTCTTTTTCGTCTCAATCGTTATGATCAACCTTTTGAACAGCGTGGCTGTTTCAGACATCCAAATGATGAGAGAAAAAGCTGAACTGATTTTTTACAAGTATCAGGCTACATTTTGTTCTGAAATTGAGATCACTCTTTTTGCCTGGAGCAAACTTGAATTTGCAAAAACAATACTTTCTTACACATGTCATAAAATAAATATTTTGGACGGTTTGATTGGAGTAAAAATTTATCCCAACGACTACAACCGAGTTGAAATTATTAGGAGGAAATCCAGTGAAAATGATTGTTGCTTTTGTAATTGGTGCAAAAGACAATTTATGTCAGATAAAATATTTAAATTTTTGTATTCATCGTTTCACAAAACTGCGGCGGAAGCAAAAGATATTGCTCAGCTGAATTGCGCAAAAGATATCATTGACGACTTCCAGGAGCTTCAAGGCACGACACACGTACACAAAGATAAAAAATCAGAATATTGATCATACAATGACCCAGACATACATACTCTGATAACCATTTTTATAAATAAAAACTCCCAACTCTAATCATCACGCGGGGGCAGCGCAGTGTATACAAGATTCAAGCGCACAAAAGATGTGATGTGATATATTTATATTTAGCTGAAAACTCATGTTCTATTCACAATCGGTCCAAATAAGATTTTTAGTTTTTACTATACAATTTTAAGTTTATAGTTATCGCCATGAACTTAAGAAATTACTTAAGATGGGATATGTTGTATTAAATATTTTTTCAAAATAATTATCATCTATAGATTATAAATAATATTATTATGAATTACTCAGTCATCGTCGCGTGGAGCACCAAATAAAAATTTGCGAGCGAATAAACTTGACTTTATATTAATAATGTTTTAACTCCCCCCCCCCTCCCCAATACTTAAATAATTTAGTTACGTCAATATCAACCATGAACCAGGATTCTATCTCATCCTGGCTCTTAAAAAATATCTGATATTATAGTAAAAAGTCCTCGTAAAAAAACAAAAATCCAGCTCGGAATGGTCAATATACATATTGAAAATTGTAACTATGAATCGAAAAATAAACTAATGAACATGAGCGCGGAAGATTTTTTAAAGTTATATGCACCTTTATTTTTTTTAGGTAAATTGAGGCATTAAAAACCTTTAAAAAAATATTTTCAAGTCTAGCAAAAGGATCTTGAGCAAGAAAGCGAAAAATTATTACGCCAAGACACAAATGAAAAATTATAAGTGCGCATCTGCGTGGCCTCAGTTGAAAGAGATTAATGGCAATCATTTGATAAAGCAGTTTACAGTTGAACGTAAAGTAAATTGATCACGGCAAACGTCCTTTATGATTTTGAATTTCAAAATCATAAAGGACGTATGTAATTTATTTTGAAATACCATTTTTAGTGAGATGTGAGATATAATATACTACACCGCAAAATTAGCGGCGGTGGGCTTTTGGCTGAGCCGTCAAAGTATTCTGTGTCGTCACTTTCATCGCTGCGTCTGCGCTAAATAATTTTTAAACTCCGATCCTGGTTTTTTTATTATTATTATTTTATGCATTTATATGGAAATAAATTCAATTTATTTATAATACCACACAACACAATTTGTCTAAAAAAGACTTTTTTTTTTTTTTTTGCTAACCGTAATAATATAATAAGTTATCTTAAAACAATAAACATCAGAGACGGCCGACCTTGTGGGTAAAAATAGCCCCGCTGAACGCAGCCCGGCTGGCAGGGCTTAGACAGGCTAGCTGAGACATTTCAAAATTTTTTAATCATCGATTCATTTTATAAGTTGCAGAAAATTTCATTTTAAAATGTACAAAAAGAATACAAAAAATTTCATCAATGGTAACAAATACAAATAAATAAAACCAGCAATAGAATTTTGCCAAATTTATCTTCTACGCAGATTTTATTGACCTTGAATGGGTTTTCAACCTCCCACGGACTAGCGCGTAACGACGAGCAAAAATCGCGACTAAGGAGTGTTGTGATCCCCTCTTTGGATGGAGCCTAACTTCTCCGCCTTGGTCGCATCACTGATGTTTGACTTTTTAGTTTAGTCTATCAGCTGTTATTAAACAGATGCGTGCGCCGCGTAAACATATCTCTTTTGGAAATGTAATACAAGATTTTTGAACGTTCTTTTAAAGGGGTTTTTGCTTCACGGAGGTCCATACTGCGTCCACACAAAAGGTAACAAATAAATAAACGGGATGCATACAAAGTATTATAGTCGGCTGTACAAAATTAAAATTGGTAAAATAGCTTTGTATTTTTAGACAGAACACACAGTCAAAGCTAGAATGGAGACATCATCAACAATAAACGAAAGCCTCAAAAATGGAGACCTCTGCAAATTTGAAGTAGCTATCAAGAATATAAGCATTGAAAATTCACGTGAAATTTTAAACCAGATTTGTTCTTCCGATATAAGCGTAAGTTATAAAGAAAAGGTATTGCAAAAAATATAAATTGAAGAAATGATTTTATTTTTTGTAGGATGACAACAAGTGTAGATTTGCAAACGCACTCCTTGCTAAATACAATATTTTCCAAAGGTCGGCACAATGTGAGACTCAATGGTACCCACTTCACGAATGTGCAAAATTAGGCAAACACGGTCTTCTCTCCATCCTCCTGAATCATCCAAGGCACCCTGCCGACGTGCAAGAGCTCAATGGCGAATCAAAAACTGCTGTCCATTGTGCAGTTGAAGGAGCGGTGCAAAATTATGATGATGATGAAAGAAACAAAGAGAGAGAAATAAATGCACTTAGGTGCATTAAACTCTTGTATGATAAAAACTGTTATCTGAATGCGCGAGATTCTAGAGGCTTCACTGCTGTCCACACCGCGGCGGAAAAAGGCCTCTGGCAACTTGTGAGCTACTTTCTTCTAAGGAACGTTAATATTGATATCAAAGTACAAAATACAAACGCTCGGGAACTAATTCAGAAGGAACACGCTAAATGGATTTCTGCTTACCCAACAAAAAACTTTACCCCTCCAATACCCAACTCTCCAGATGAGAAAAAGAATTTAATTTGTACTGATGGTGGTGGTGACAAAGCAGCTCAGCCAAATACATCGGCCCAACCTTGTGAAGATTTTGAAAGAAAAATCTTGTCAATCCTGCAACCAACTAAAAACAATCAAGTGAAGTCTATGTCAAGTCAGGAATGGGAAAAACTCTTTCGTGACAGCAATGCTGCTGATGTCGACAATTGTAAAGATAAGTAAGAGCTAAGTTTAATACTAAAAGCACAAAAACTAAAAGCATAAATATATAAATTTACTCTTGAAAAAATACAACGGGTTTTATTAAATATATATAAACTACAAAAAGTAAAATAATAACAAATAATTCATTAAAAAGAACACAATAATAATTTTGAAAAAAAATAAAATCACTTAAATAATATATTATAATTTTAAATTAATAATAATGTTAAAAAAAATTTTTTGCAGGATTTTGGAGCACTTCATAAAAAACGATAAAGAGGAGGCAGCATGCATATTACTTGATGAACCTTACAAAGCAGACCCTTCATCTTCACTTTACTCTGCTGTCGAGGCAGGGCAGAAATACCTGAAGCTAATTATTGAAAATTGGAAAAATAGCACTATTGATTTTGACATCAAACAGACGTCGATAAATGACGAGCAAACATTGCTGCACAAAGCGGTTACTTGCAAAGAAGTTAGTATTGAAACGGTGAAGTACTTGTTGGAACTTGGTAAGAAACTTTCACCTGTTGATTTTCACGATTGGATTAATGCCAGAGACAACAGACCTCTTGGCTACACTTCCCCTACAAAAGAGGGTTACACAGCTTTACAATATGCAGTTCGAGGTAATAGAAACGATGTAATACAGCTACTGTTGCAATATGGCGCAAATGTTTTCATGACATACTCAGAATCACGCATACCCACATTAAACTGTATCAAACCTGAGGTGATAGAAGAACATTTCAGTAATCAGATCAAAGTATCTGACAATGGAAAAATGTGGTTTGAGAAAGAATACTGCATCACTTTAGATTTTAATATCTTCAAAAGCAACGTACAGGTTTCAAAAGGTTCTAATAATGATCAAGAAGGCCTGCCAAGTCGCTTTCAATGGCCGCCGCTAGTTCATTTTGCGCAATATATTTGCTCATGTATCCCATCGGTACCAACTTCCTCCTCTACCGATCCAAACTCAGCAGGGGTTACCCCTGAAAATACAGGATGTAGTTTTCGAGCTTCACAGGACTTAGAGGCTGGAGGACACCAAGCAACTACAACAGCAGTGACAGAAATTGAAAATGGGGCAGGTAACTCTCAGTCTGCTTCAGCCAACGTAGGTTCAGAGAGAGGACCCTTATTAGGGGAGAACCCATCAACTGAATTAGCATCGCAGGGGAACACCAATGACAAAGAAAATCGCGACAATGCTCTAACAAATTTTACTTTGGAAATGGAGCCTCTGAAGATGATAGCGGATTCGCAAGCCCATGAAATTTTATTACTCCACCCCTTGATCAAGATCTTCTTCCACTTGAAGTGGAATCGGCTCTACTGGTTTTTCTGGGTCAACCTCCTGCTGTACTTGCTTTTCACTATTTCGTTCTTCATATTCGTCATCTTTTCCGATTTTGTCAAAGGAAATGCCAATAACAAGACACGTGAAATTGATAATAGTGAAAATGATTTTACACCAAGCAATGAACTTTATGAATTCATCGCCAAAATTGCAGTTTGGATCACATTTGCATTCAACGTTTTACTGACGTTGCGAGAATTATTCCAATTTTTTTTTCTGCAAGGATACCTTGGCAAAAAAGAAAACTATCTAGAACTGACAATTATTTTTGCCACATTCTTTCTCCCTTTTTTTTCACGGTGCAAAATTTTGGTCTCAATATTGTCATTGCTAATTTCTTTGGAATTGATGCATTTGATAAGCCGCCATCCTAAAGTGACCATTTATATTCAAATGCTTTCAGTCGTGTCTAAGAATTCACTAAAATTGCTCGGATGGTATTGCCCATTAATCATTGCCTTTGGGTTTTCATTCTACGTAATTTTTCCAGTGTGTGCCATTGGCAAAAATTGCAATGATTCGTTTGACAACTGGCTGAAATCAATATTTAAAGCCATGGTAATGATCTCTGGCGAATACGAAGCCGGCCAAATTGATTTTGAATTCACTCCTATCGCAAGTCACATGCTTTTCATATTGTTTCTCTTTTTCGTCACAATCGTTATGATCAACCTTTTGAACAGTGTAGCTGTTTCAGATATTCAAATGATAAAAGAAAAAGCTGAACTTATTTTTTGCAAGTATCAGGCCACATTTTACTCAGACATTGAGACTACTCTTGTAGCTTCGTACAAATGGAAATGTATGAACAATTTACTATCTAGCAAATGTTTTAAAATTTTACAGTTTTTGGACAATTTGCTGTTCAGCAATGTTAATAAGGTACAAATTTATCCCAACAAGAAAAACCAAGTTGAAACTGATGTGTCTTATTGCGGCAATAGAGTTCTGCCACGTGAAATGCTCAAATCTTGTGATTCTTTTCACTCTCTGGCGGCGGAAGCTATAAAAATTGCTCAGCAAAACAACACGGAAGTTGAAACTGATGTGTCTTATTGCGGCAATAGAGTTCTGCCACGTGAAATGCTCAAATCTTGTGATTCTTTTCACTCTCTGGCGGCGGAAGATATAAAAATTGCTCAGCAAAACAACACGGAAGTTGATTTTTTTAAGAACCAGACTACCCAGGAGGCTGAAAGTGAACTCAAGAGACAATCCCCTGTAAAGGCAACTGACCAAGCCAGTCCTGGACCCTCTGGCACAAATGGCCAGCAGGGAAGCCAAGAGCGGCAATTAGAAGAAAATGATGATGCAACTCTAGATACAGCAAATTTATAATTATCCAAAAAATTCAGACTTGGCATCGCTCCCTTGCTCTCGCTCTAAATCCGTTCCTGCGCTCCCTTTGGAGCGGAGCGAGGGAAAAATAAAAATTCTGGGAGCGGAGCGAGAAAGTATATGAGCGGAGTGAAAATTCAGCTCTTTTCCCGCTCTTTGAAGGTGGCGCTAGCATCGCTTCATCCAAGTCACGTGATCAGACTTTTTCCGCTTTCCGCTGCTGTAGTTTCAGTTCGCAAATTGAGAAGAACAGCTGTGTTGCGTGATGATTTTTTCTATTTTACTTTGAATTAAATTCATCTTCCATGATTTGATTTAACTTTTCCATATAATATTTTAACGTCATTGTGAATGGCTAGAATGTTGCACGTTGAAATTGTTTTAGTTTCTTAAAATTTTAATCTCCGTCCGTCATAATGTAGGTAGTTTTCTAGTTTTTAATTTAAATGAAAAATTTTAATTATGCAATTGGCACAATGGGGACTTTATAAGTTTGGGTTTAAGTATCGTGCTTAAATTAAAATTACTGTTACAAATGCCTATAATTTTTTTTTCAACTTCAAAATTCAGAGGCACCTTGTGAAAAGACCTGTTAAAGTATGGAAGTTTTAACATTTTTAAATCAAAGTTTTGGAATTAAATTATCTTACCAAGTCACTTACAAAGATAAAAGTATATATATTAATTAGTTTTATCAGAAATTGCAAGTTAGGGACATTAGTTTTTATTTCTGAATTTTAAAATTCTATATCAATGAATGGAAAATTTTTGAAGTTTAAAATATAGTCTAAATTTTTAATTTTTATAAAGAAAAATTTAAATTTTAAATCTATTAATATATATATATATTGCTGCAATATTAAAATGAATTAAAGAAACAACATTTAGTAATATTTAATTAATAATTTAAAATTTGAAAGATTATTAAAAATAATAAATTACACGAGAGCGGAAGAGCAAGAGCGAATAATTTTAAGAGTGGAGCGAAGAATTTTAAAAATTTGGTGAGCGGAGCGACAAGTCCGCTCAAAGATCGAGAGCGGAGCGGGGAGCGGAAAAGTGAGAGCGATGCCAAGTCTAAAAAAATTATATGTAGATACTTTCTGCGTAAAAAAAACATTTTGCTTAGTGCCATGTTATTTAATATAATATAGAATTTCCCTTTAGAATAATCAAAGTGGTTATAATGCCGAAAATAAAAATAATATAATAAAAATATAGAACAATAGGGTTATAAAAAAAAATGTGTGTGCTACAAATAAATGTATCAAAAATGTATTATGCGTCTATTTTTTTTCTTTTCCTCGATATTTTTTGTCTTTTTTGGTCTTTGCACTCAAAATATGTTTTAAATATTAAATTAATTTATGATTACACTGTATTTTGAAAAGGGCAATAAAAAAATTAAAAAATAAATGTCAGGCGATATTCACATGCTAACTTATAACACAAAAATCCTACGGCATGTGAATATCCCTCGTTGTATTTTCTCACATGAAATGAATATAATTATTTTAGAAACATTGAATGAAGTAAATAAATTTAAACTATAATACAATTACCAAAAAAATCTGTGCCTGCTCCATATTTATAATTACTATGATGGTTTATGATTCGAAAAGGAAAAGTAATACTAGTTTTGATAATTTGACCTTTGAATATAAAAAGGTTGGGGCTAAATTACAATGTTTCCTGACACGATGAGCGAAATTAAAATCAGTCACATTCTGGCGGCAAGTGGCCTTGCCAAAGACACGCTTTTTAATTGATGCAGCTCTGTGCGACACAAATAGCACAATGAATTAGGATAGAAGACAAATTTTTAAAATTTGATTTTTTTCGCAGCTGAAATATTTATTTTTTAAGTGAAATTTTCAAAATATGGACACACAAAATGAAAATAATGTACAATTGCCTGGTGGAAAAGCTCCCGTGATATTTTTTATCATCACATGCTGCCGCGGCCTACATTTCATTTCGCAAGCTACCAACGAGTTAAAAAAAATTGTGTGTGCGCATCCGCGTGACCCAATTGTTAGAGATGCTGAATGGCAATCTCAGTTAGTTGGACTCAAAAATTTGGCCACGCCTTACGCCCAGTATGCATTTGAGTCACTTAAGCTCTTATCAAGTAAAACAAACTATGTTCTAATCAATTGATCCCGGCGCATGATAACGTTGAGGCAATTTATGGGAAACGATCTTTGCAACTGGAAATCAGATTCAACTTGAAAGCAGAAGTAAGAAACCTAGAAGTATTCAAATTAATTAATTATCGGTATGTATATTTTTACATAATTGATCTACTGTCTGAATTGTTCATTTAGAATCTGGATTTTATTTTTTATAATTCAAATGAGAATTACAAGAGATATTAATATAGGATTGATCTATAATTTAAGAAGAAAAACCTTTTTTTTTAATTAACTGATCAAAATTAAAATTAAAAATCTGAGCACAGTTTTGATTTCATCAATTTTAAAAATCCCATTTTTGAAACGACTATTAGAAGTTCAAATCTTGTTATTTACTTTTTTAAATAAATACAGATTTGCAAATTTTTTTATTATTATCTGTATTTAGAAAAAAGTAATGTTTTTTATTTTGGGATAAAAATTTTGATTCTTCCTTCATAAATTGTATAATAATATTATTATTTTGAATCGCCCAATCCAAGAAAACGTTTTAATCTTCCAACAGATATGGTGAACGTTCCTGCACCTGATGCGTTTGTACCGGTAGCCAAAGTCACTGGCCCTTTCCCGCTGCAGGGAATTACCCTACCGGCCTGGCAGAATTGCAATCTGATGAGTCAGGCTCTTAAGGACCATATAAAGGTTCATTCGATAACAGTCGAGGAGGCGGTGGCCGCCGGAGAGAATTATGGTTCAACCGTCTCGCAAATCAAACTGGACACCAACTTAGGGCCCATTTCCCTATTTGTGAAAACGCTGCCGCAGACCGAGGGCGCTAAGTTTTTGACAGAGTTTGGAATTTTTAAGAAAGAGATCAACATGTATACAAAAACACTTCCACTGATCCGGTATTAATGACAGAAAAGTTCAAATTAAAAAATGACACAATTCAATATAGATCTACGTTCCATAAGCCAAACTTCCCGATTTGCATTTACCATGAGCTCAATGGAACGACAGACACGCTGATTTTGAAAAACCTCACTACCGAGGGATACAGAACTAGAGCGCGCCGTCTTGGACTTGACCTTGACCACTGCCGTCTGGCGTTGTCTGAATTGGCTCATTTGCATGGACATTCAATTGCAATTCGTATCAAGGAGCCAGAAAAGTTCAACGAATGCATTGCACAGGTGATCACTTTTATTTTTTCCTATTTCTCAAATTGTATTTTTAAAAATTCATCAAATTTTCAGTATGATTATATATCAAGCAATTTTTTGAACCATGTCTCAGAAAAATAATGTAGCTTCAAAAATTAAGAGCAGATTGAAATTTAATTTGGATAAATAAAAATATTAAAAATAAAATAAATAAAAAACAATCATGTTAACCTATTTTCTGGTGCTCATTTTTAAGACAATGAAATAAAAATTCATCTTCTAAAATACGTATTTATTACTGTGATACTTAAAGGAATATGCTGACACAATGTATGAAGAAAGCAAACGCAGCGTTACGGCGCCCTTTTGGGAAAACTCACTGAGGGGAATTGGCGAAGCAATTTGCCAACAGTTGCCCTCCCGCTACAGGGAGTTGGGAGAATTGACCAGGGACTTGGTGGCCAAGAAGTCCTTCGAAATTGCCCAGAAATACATCCTGATGCCTACAGACCCTGAAGAATTATCAAAGGCAAAGCTGTGCTTGAACCATGGCGACTTTTGGTCCAACAACATGCTCTTCAAATATGACAACGAGGAAAAGCCCATTGCGTGCTCCATGGTCGATTTCCAGGTACAAAACTTAAGCAAATTAATTAATTAATTTTAGAAATATCAAAATAAAATGCATAAAATTTGTATAAGAACATTTAAATAAAAATGTGCTCTTTTTGGTGTTGCAAAGGGCACCAGTGGAGTCAAATTGAAAACGTGTGAAAGATTATAAAAATTATATTTTATTTATTTCAGATTTCTCGATGCGCCTCTCCCGTTCTTGATTTGCTCTACTTTTTATTTACGAGCACCAACCAGGCCCTTCGCAGGGCGCACATGTTTGACCTTCTAGAACACTACTTGCGCGAAGGCAAACGCGCCCTCGCCCTACGAGGGGTCACTGACCCACCTCCATCGTACTTCTACTCATCCGTGGACGAACTGCACAAGGACATCCTCAGGGCGAAAGCTTGCGGATTCTTGTTCGCTTGTGTTGTCCTGCCCATAGTCATCGCCGACGAGAGCCAAGTGCCGACCGAAGAGGAAATCGGCGAATTTGGAAACATGCTGAATGACCCGGATGCCAACCCTTTTGCAAAAATGTACTCGGGACCAGCGTTCTGCAGCAGAATGAAAGAGCTGCTGGACGACTTCGATGACATGGGATTTTTCGCGGAGTGCAAGAAAGGTCTTTTTTAATGGTACAACAAATACTTCAGATAAATTCAACGAAACAGAAGACCATAAATTATAATAATAGCTAGTCGTTATGTGGTTTAAATAAACCGAAAAACAATTAATTTCTTTTCAATTTATCAACCGCTTTTGAATATGCCGAAACTTATCTGAATCTGTTTTAAAAGATGCCCTCATTAATGTGCCCTATTTCTTACTTTTCAAGTATGTACATACATAATTTTGTATTAAATTCGTTAAAATCCACTTCTAATTGTAAGTTCAAGCTATTATGTGTATGTATTGTACATAATCCTTCAAGCAACAGTATTTTTATGAAATTGAATTTTGAAAAGTATAATACTGGTTTGTTAATCTTTTCATATAAATTTAAGAATAAATAGAAATTAAAAAATGCCTAAGTTAAATCTTACGTTAGATTTAAAATTCTTCTTACAATCGCATACATATAGCTGTAGAATTTGTAACAAATAAATCGCACTTAAAAATAAAAGCAAACATTATGTTTTAAAATTTAATTTATTTTAAAGCATAATTCTTGCTAAATTACTTTTCATCCCGATTTTTATGCATAAAAATTTAAGAAATTAAAATTTTAATAAATCATGAAAATTCCTACCTTAAAGAACAGACTTAATGCCGAATGATTTCCATTAGCCATAATTATCCTCCTATGTAGTCATCCACAAAGAAGACTGATCGGGAATCGTCATCCTTTTTCCTTTTTCTTCATTGCGTTGTTGACTCTCAGGGTCGGCAGGACATATTTCATGGGTTTCACACTCACATTGCACACGCAAAACACTGTCAGGACCGCACTAAATTATTTCCTTGCAAACTCACTTCTCTTCAAGGAATAGAGCAAATTTTCCTTCTGCACACGCCGCGAACTTTGCATAACTACTTAAATAATCGCACTGCAAGAAGCAAGAACAAGAACATCTCACCACTTGCTCACCACAATGTTCATACTTGTCAAAACTGCAAAAATAAGCCGGTCAGGTCGTCGCGTGTGAAGATTCTTGGTAGTGGGGGATTTATTTTTCACTCAAGCCACGCCCCTTTCAACACACGTGAAGTTGTTGTTATTGTTGTTCAGTCAGTTAAAGATTATAAAAATTTTTACTTGGTTCTGTCTTTTATTAAATTTTTCTTCTCACGTCAAAAGGACCTAATTTTATTCAACTTATATTTACTGCCGTCCAAAGTCTTCACTCGCAATCAATTATTATTTCTGAGATCGTCGATCGTCCAACGATTTTGTAAAAGGTAAATTATTGTGCTACATATATTTAAACAAAAATGAAAATAACTTAGTTGATTTGTCTGTTTTTCCCAGATCTTCTTAAAATGGTTCGATTTAAAAACCGCTACCTGGTCTTGGAGGCTATTCCAATCGATGGGAAAAACAAATCTAAATTTCACATGAAACCGCAGGCGCTTTATTCTGCAATTTTGGAGAAAATTGAGCTTCTGCACGGTGACTTTGGTGTGGCCGCAGTCAGGAATGGTTTTCTGACCAAGTATTGCAGTGAAAAGACGCAGGTAGAACTTTATCAAAGGTTTTTACATTTAATTTATAATTTTTTTCCAGGTGGCTTACGTTCGTGCACGGCATGGGCCTCACAAGTTGGTGGCAAGTGCGATTCCTTTAGTGACAAAAATTGAAGGTGCTCAAGTGACTTTGAAGACAATTTACACGGGTGGTTCGGTGATGCAGTGCAACAAATTCCTCAGAGACTACCACATTAAAGAGCTGGAAAAGACTTTGCCGCTAATCAAGGATGAGGACGAGAGGAAAAAAGTTCAAGAATCATTCCTTTGCTTCAGACAAGTTGGCGAGGAAAGGTCGAACATCAACCCCTAAAACTGTGTTTCCCCTGCTTTTCATTAAAAGGTATAATTTTCAAATGAAATTCATAGTTTTATGTTCTAGAATGGATTTATTTATCTGATTAATGAAATAAACTTAAAAATTTAAATTAAAAATTCTTAATGTTAAATACTGATAAGGGTGGTATAAAGTACATTATTAAAAAAAAAATTCATTATTATTCTTTGTTCACTGGCCGAATTTTCAGCCAAAATCCACCTTCTGGTTGCATCAGGGTTGTCTTCCTGTTATACTGCATTGGGTTCGTGACATTGGTCTTTTCACAAACCTCAAGTTCAAATTCGTTGAGGATTTTGCAGAGACCCAGTTTCAATTCAAGCAGGGCAAACCGTTTTCCTAAAAGTTAATTAACAAGATATAATGAAATAATTTACCAAAGCTTAAGCTTTAATCGTAACCTACCAATACAATTTCTCGGCCCTTCGCCAAAAGGAAGATAAGTGAATGGTTTGATGTTTTTTTTGTTCTCATCGTTAAAGCGTTCAGGGTCAAATTTGAATGGGTCTGGGAAGTAATCAGGGTCTGTGTGTAAGCCATAAATGGGCAGAGCAATGGAAGTTCCCTTTTCAATGGTCAAGTCAAAGTCAGGGAAACTGCAATTGCTTTCGCACATTCTGTCTGACATTGGCGCAGCTGGATGCAGGCGCAATACCTCTGCAGATTTTATCTTTTTAATTTTAGTTACAATTTTTAAATGTTTATTAGAAACCTGAAATGACCATGTCCATGTATTTAAGTTCTTTGGTTCCATCATAGTTGACTTTTCCCCCATTTTCAGCCATAACTTTTCTAATCTCATCCCTCACTTTTGATTGAATTTCGGGGTGACGAGCAAGCTCATGGCTGATGAACGAGAATGCAGTGGCTGTTGTATCAAATCCACCCAAAAAGAAAGTGAAAGCCTGGGATGCAATGTCCATGTCAGTAATTTCTGAAGTAAAAAATGTATTATTATATAATTATAATCCAAATTTTAATTATTTTATTATACTCTTGGTTGGATCTGCTTTTCTTGCATCAATCAAAAGTTGGACCATATCTGGCCTTGACTTATTTTCTTTTTCTCTATAGTTGATTATTCCAGCTATTCTTTTTGAAAAGAACTCTGCTATATTTGCAGGCAAGAATGGTATTCTTAGGAATTTCATCAACCTGTATATTTTAATTATTTTTATAGAAGCAACAAAATTACCAAAAAACTCACGGTGGTGCCATCAAATAACCAATTATAATTGGAGCCCTTTTTCCACTGAAGTTCATTATTTCAATGCCATTTTTATAAAATTCAGACTCGGGATTAGAAACGGCGTCCGATGGAGAGCCAAAAGCAGATGTTGCAATGATGTCTGCCGCAAGTCTACGGAAGGCATTGTAAATGTCAAGAGGCTCGTCTTTGTCTGGTCGGTGGGCAAGGAATTCATTAAATTTGACACAGGTTGACTCGATCAGGTCAATCATTCCTCTTAGTTTAGATCCGGTAAATGCAGGGCTCAAATTGTGTCGCATATCGCGCCATTCCTCATTTTGCAGTCCCAGCAGTGAACGGCCCAACAGTTTATCTGTCCTAAAAAATTATTTTTTTATTATTGATTTTACTTGTTGCAATATAATATGGTACGTACTCTTGGTCAACAAAGGGTCTCCTGTTGATGAAGTGTTCAAATCGCTTGATCATTATCTCGCTGAAGAGCTCGGGGTTGTTGACAACAAGAGAACGCCTTTTAAACTGATAAATACCTCCGAAATCAACACCCTCTTCTTTGACTTCATTGTAAAGATCCTGGAATTTGTATTATTAGCTCTTAATTTTTGTCACTAGTCTTGTTATGTTTTTAATAGTCTTTGCAATTTACATAAACGAGTTCAGCAAACGATTTCTTCCTTGTGATCAGCGGACCAAAGTGCCCCAAGAGGAACGTCGATTTTTTCAATGTGAATATTTTATTATTCTTCCAGTACTGCTGACTTTTTATCACGGTAGTCAAAAAATATGCAACTAGCAAACTCAAGCAGAGCCCTAACAGGGCTAATACAGCCATTAGCAGTCCCATCCTAAAAAATAAAATTTAAAAAAACGTGCACAAATTTTATCAAAATTATTGATTGCATGATCTCAGTATTGAAAAGAACACAATTTGAGAAATATTTATTAAAATTTTTATGGACAAAAGAAGTTGATATTTAATTGTTTGGTTTTTCTATTTTTTTTTTTTTAAATTACAATCTCAATGCAAAATTAAAGCAGTCAAAAATTGTTTTTACCTAACTCGAGTTTTCAATACTTGCGGTCGATGCGTTGCCGTATATGTCAAAAGACACCTCTGCTCTGCAGAAATTCTCGAATGAGCTCGAGCTGGAGTGTATTTGGCAGTGGTGACTCACTGGATTAATACCCTCGGACGCAAAATTTACAGACCAACCTTTTGGCTTATTTAGCTGGAGAACCGTGAGATAGTGGAGCCCGGCAAGAGCTGGGTGGAGAACACATTATTATTTTTAGTCCCCTCCAATGGTGCTCATCTGCTGTGGCCTTCAACGTCGCCGCTCATCAACATCTGCACGTAATGTCTGAATGTAAAAAAAACTGCACTTTGTTATTACAGTGACCATTGTGTTGCTTACTGCCTGACACCCTGGTAATTGCTAAAATAATAGAGGTATTCAAATTATTGTGCATAATTCAATTGCGTATATATCTTTGAAAAATTTACTTTAAAAAATGACATATTTAATAATTGTTTTGAGCCATCTGAAGAGCGCTAATAAAAGAATATTTTGCAACCATATAAAGCACATAATATTATTCATTTTTAATTATTGCTCGTTTGAAACTTAAAATCAAGTTGCACAAACTGAACGATATGAACAGATAACCAGATAAGATTGCATAAGAAGTGAGCAGTTGAGCGCCCTTGAAATGAAATCCCAATAAAAGCTGCTTGCATAGCACTCGATTTTTCACATTGGATGAATTTTACATGTTCCTCAATACAAGCATTATTCTTTGTTTCCATCTTTGAATTATTTTCTTTATAAACTATTTAACCCCCAGAACAGTGATAAAAATGTTTTTGGTGGTACTGGGAGCCTTGTTAGGCCTCGTCGCCTCATATGTCGCTTACGTCTGCTGGTGTCAAACTTATTGGATGCGGAAAGGAGTATTTGCGCTGCGTTCGACTTTCCTGCTGGGGAGCCTTGGGCCTGCCATTCTGAAGAAGACAACCTTAAGCGACAATATTATTGTAAGAGTAAAGAAAATATTTATAAAGAAGAAAGTATTTAATTTATAAATTTATTCTTCGTCCTTACAAAAGGATCTATACAAGGAAGCCAAGGCAAAAAATTTGAAGTGCGCCGGGATGTACCTTACAGCAGTACCAGTATATTATATTGTTGATGTTGATCTGGTTAAGGAGGTGACGGTCAAGCAGTTTGATCATTTCACAGACAGGCAGCCATTTACGCGCAGAAGGTAGTTTTGTTTAAACATTTTTATGCGTTTTTTTATATTCATATTCATTTTTTTTATAATTTTGTATGTAAATATAGTGTTGATGAACTCTTTGGCCGTTCGCTGCTGAGTCTCAAAGGCAATGATTGGCGAAAAATGCGCCACAATTTGAGCCCATCTTTCACTGGCAGTAAGTTGCGAGGAATGACCGACTTGATGGTCCAGATTGGGATACAATATGCAAAATTTATAACAAGCAGGCCTAATTACGATGAGTCTCTTGACATGAAGATCATATTTCGAAGGTATAATAATTATTTTAGTAAAACACCTTGTTGAGTATAAATTTCGTAAAGATTTGCCTTGGATGTGATAGCAACAACTGCCTTTGGAACAGCAACAAACACCTTAGAAAATCCAAAATCTGAATTTTACAACAAGAGTAGCAGCATTTTGGACTTCACCGGGAAGCGCAAATTCATAGCAATTGGTTACACCATAGCTCCGAAGCTGATGGAGATCCTGAGGATTCCCTTTGTGCCCAAAGACGTGAAAAATTTTTTCACGTCAGTCATTGTAAATAATATAAAATTCAGAGAGCAGAACAATAAATCTCGTCCAGACATGATTCAACTCTTGATCGACGAGAGAAACGCACAAATTCAGAAATTCAAGGAAGCTAACCAACCAGTCGACGAAGCTAGCAGTAAAATACCGATTAGGTTGATCGATTTTATTTTTTTAATTTAATTAAGTTATGAGTGACTTAGATATTGTGGCGCAAGCGTTCACTTTCTTCTTGGCTGGATTTGAAACTGTATCAAATCTGACCACTCTCGTCTGCATGGTTTTGGGAGGAGAGAAAGATGTGCAAGAAAAACTGAGGGAAGAAGTTGATGACGCTTTCGCAAAATCTGGGAATGGAAAACTTAGCTACGATGCAATCCAAGGAATGAAGTATTTAGATATGGTTATTTCAGGTAAAAAAATTTAAATTCTACACAAGACTTAAAAAAATTTCGCCGCCAGAGGTGCAACGCTTAATCCCTGTCACACCTTTTGGTGATCGGATTTGCAACAAGGATTTGGATTTGCCTGAATATGGGATCAACTTTAAGGAAGGAGATATTGTTGGAATCCCATTCTACGCTTTCTCAAGGGACCCTGAACACTTTCCAGACCCAGATGAGTTCAAACCAGAGAGGTTCAGTGAAGAGAACAAACACAAAATTAAGCCATTTACATTCATGCCTTTTGGATCTGGACCTCGGGGTTGCATTGGTATATTATGAATTTAATAGGTGAAAACTTAATTATTAATTATCTTTTACTTTAGGAAATCGCTTTGCCCTTTTGGAAGTAAAAATTGCATTGGCCTACACTTTAGCGTTCTGCGAGATAGATCTCAACACGCCTGACCAGTATCCTATTCGACTGGACAAAACCAAAATTGAAAATTCTCCAATTGGAGGTTTTATGCTAAAGATTAAACCTAGGGAGAATCCACCAGTAGTCTTGGAAAAAAATTAAATAAATGTGCCGATTAGAAGCTAGTAAATAATTTATTAGCTGAACAGAATATGAGAACTTTGTGTTATTCCAGTAGCATCCACAAAATGTGGCCTTGCAACAAAATTTCAGTATAATTTTATAGGCGTGCACCAATGATTTGGAAAAAAATGATCATATCATGAATCACAACATAATCGTGGGAAATTAAATTATGGAATACTTCTGGTTGTTAATGTGCAATTGTTGAAACTTATTGAAAATTAAGGAATCAAAATTAAACGCTGCATGCGTACATTACATGTCACTAGCAAGGCCTGTTGTCAGGTGCACGTCTCCTGGGTGCTGCCTTGATGATGTTGTCCACGCGGAGAATCATTTCGGCAGCTTCAGCTGCCGAGAGAAGAACCTGCCTTTTTACAACAAATGATTCTGTGATTCCCAGTTTCTTCATGCATCCAATTTCGCCTTCATCCATATCTAGAACAAAAATAACAGAATATTTTAAATACATATATTTTTCAATTTTTAGACAAATTATAAATAGAAGAAAAAGACAGAAAATAAAAATTTTGCTCACTTAGGCCCATGGTGTTCTCTCCCTGGCTGTGTGCAGCCCTCAACTCACTGACCAACTGTGCAGAATCGTAGCCAGCATTGTCGGCAATCGCGGTGGGCAGCTGGCGAAGGGCCCTAGAAAAGGCTTCCATGGCCACAGCCTCCTTGCCAGGGGTACGAGTTGCCTCGTCGTTGATTGCGTTGGCCATCAGCATCTCACTGCAGCCTGAATTTAAAAATTTTAAAACTTAGCTCAAATTGTGCATTATTTTGAAGAAAATACCTCCACCATAAACGGTTCTGGTTTCTCGCACAGTGGCGGCCAAGACACAAAGGGCGTCATGCAGAGATCGCTCAGCTTCGTCCAAAATCTGCTGGGTGGCTCCTCTGATCACAACAGTGCAAGCCTCGCCCAAAGGCACTCCACCGAAGCGCAGCAAGGTGTCTTCTCCAATCATGACCTCCTCAATGACATCGCAGTGACCCAACTTGACAAGCTCGGGATGATCAAAGGTTGACACAATTTCACCTCCAGTCACAAGAGCAAGACGCTCAATTCCAGCAAAGTCGGCGTGCTCGATGGCCATAATGTTGGCATCAGCAAAAAGCTGCTCTGGGTAGTTGTAGATGAGTTGTCTAAGGAATTGAATTAATTTTAACTATTCTTTACAATTTGAACCACTGAAAATTTACCTGTTGATAAAGACATTGATGTTGTGGTTGAGGATTTTATTGACCTTGTCCTTCATCTTCTCCTTCTCGGCCATCTCCAATTCTGCAATCTTGGAGACAGCATCGACGCGAACTCGAGATCCAAAAACTTTGATCTTGTCAGTGTCCATTGGAGTGTTGGCGATCAGAATGCGTGCCTTCTCAATGCGCTTTGGCTGATGAAGACCTGGCTTCTTGTCCAGCAAAAATCCATCATCCAGGAAAGAGTCCTCCATGCAGCCGCCCAGTTTCTTAATGATCTGGATGGCAGTGAGATCCCCAGAGCCCTTCAAACGTACAACAGCATCGACGGCCAACTTGGCAAAGTATTCCTTATTTTGAGACAGAATTTTCGAGCTCAAGGTTGTTCTGGCAATGTTCATCAAGTCTTCACGGAAAAGCTCCGCATCACCACTGTAGTTGAAATATAATTAATCAAAATCAAAAGTAAAGTGAAAACACCTTGAGACGCTTACCTGTGGTCAATGGAAGCCTTTTCAAGGGCAGATCGTGCAACTTGAGTTGCTCTACGCCAGCCCGCAATTATGATTTGTGGGTGAATTTTTTGCTCAATGAGTTTTTCAGCCTCCCTCAAAAGTTCGGCAGCTATTGGATTCAGAATAATGAAAGTGATAAATTTAACTCTTATCGTTTGATGTTACCAAGAACGGTGACCGAAGTAGTTCCATCCCCAACTTCGTCGTCCTGCACTCTGGACATGTCGACCAGGACTTTGGCAGCTGGATTATCAACGCCAACAGCCTTCAAAATTGTTGCTCCGTCGTTAGTAATCTCCACTTGTCCTGCACTTCGACCGTGCGCAACCAAAATCTTGTCCATGCCCTTTGGTCCCAGGGTACTTTTGACCAGGTCGCCGATGGCAATGGCTCCGACAAAACTCGAGAGGCGGGCACTTTCAGCCCTTTCTTCCTCGGCCTCATTTTTGAGAATTCTTACTGGGTTGAGTGACACCTAAAAAGCAAGATAATTATTTTTTTAATCGAAGACATCTTCCAAAAGGCACTCGAGCGTGCAGGAAGTCAAAGCCATGCTATTCATCTTTGAAACAATCACTATACGACTAAACACGGCTAATTAATTTAGAAAGAAAGCATTATATTTTAAAATTAAGTAGAAAATGAAGCTAATTCTTTAGATTTTCAGGAACGATTGAAGCCGGTCATTGAAAGATCCAGAAGCATGGTGCTTGTCAAATAGGCCCCTCGCCCACACACAAAGTTTACTTCACGTATTTTTCAGCAAAATCAAACTGATGGACCGACCGTTATAACTTTAAACGAAAATTTTCTTCACTTACCATTGTGTTTATTTGATGTTACGGGTGAATTCAACGCAAAAACTGCAAAATTTAGCGAAATAAACACCACGCTTTCCTGAAAAGGGCTGCGGTCTTCTAAATTCAGTGGGGTTTTGATGGAATTCCGCTAGATGGCACCACAGGCTTCATCGGCTATAAGTGCGTCACGTGCTTTCCAAAACTGGCGGGAATCAGCCGGCTTGCAAAAATGGAGCCGTCAGAGAAGGTGGATGATCGAGTTCTTTGTAAATACGGGCCACTTTGCTATCAAAAGAACGAAGCACACCATAAAAAATACAAGCACGAGAAAAAGGTAACATTTTTAAATAGGATTATATAATTTGTGAAGTCATGTACGCTGACAGAGACTTAAAATTTTGGTAACTTCTTTGACTCAATTGAACCCTTTGGGCTCCGCAGGCTTCTCCTCATAGGCAACCTGTGAAGGACGTGCAAGTTAAAGAGCCTCCACTGCCTGAAGCAAAAGAAGATGATAAATCTCTCGATTCAGGTGATTCAGCAAAGGCAGAATCAAGCAATAGTGTTGATTCACCACCTTCCAAGAAGCAAAAGACTGATGCCAGTTCTAGAGCAGGAGACGAACAACCGATGTCTCAAATGATAAGTAAAGAAGAAGCAAAAACCATCATCAAGAAGATGTTCCTTGTTGAAATGCCTGATGATTTTTATGCTTTCTGGGATCTCTGCGTCTTTTTGAATCCCAAGAAGCCTCTAGGTGAGAAAAAAATTGTGCCTTAAAATTAAGATTTTTTTTATTTATTGCTATTTTTTATTTAATTTGAGAAATAAAAAAGAATAATACTTTATTATCAAATTTTTAACAGATGCTTTCAAAGACTGCAAAATCCGTCTGGTTGGCCCATTTGAAGTCCTGGCTGGCGTCCTAAAAGAAAGCAAGCACCAAGTCCCGGCTACCTTGCATCACTGGCGCTACTTCTTTGACCCACCAGAGTTTCAGACTGTTATTTGTGGAGATGACAGAAAGGGAGAGCACTGGGGCTATTATCGAGATGACCCCAAGGAAATGCCTACTTTTGTAGCCTCTAATTGTGCAACACAAGACTGCATCATCAAAGACGCTGGTCCTAATTTATTTGCTGTCATGGAGTATGTTTTTAATTTTTGCTCTTGGATTTAAAATTAAAATTTTTTTATTTTTAGTTTCATTGTGGCTTCCCAACTAAAATCGGCTGACCCTTTTTCCAAGATGAAATTTAAGAAGCTGAATACAGCCCTACAGAGTAAGGCCAAAGAAGAAAATATTAATCTGCATGACAAGTCAGCCTTTTTTGCACGAAAGCGGAAGGTTGTTTGCCCAACTTTTCACAAAGGTGGGATTGTTGTTGAGTACAATAAGAAAACACAAGTTGGATATCGGCAAATGGAAACGGAAGGTTAGATTTTTTCTCTATTTAAATATCCTAGATTAATTTTTTTCCTTAGTCAATTTGAGGAAAGTTTTGGACAAGATAGCAAATGCGGAAACAGAAGAGCGTAGAGACAAGGAAATGGAAGCTCTCGACTCTCTGATAACCTACGCCAACATTGCCAATGATGAGTGTGATTTTGGAGGACCACTTGAGTTGGGAATAAACTTGTTCTGTGATGGCCATGAAATTTTCCATCCTCAAGTTGAAGGAATTCTGATTTCCACATACCATCTACTCAACAGAAGTCAGTTTGCAGATATCCTGAAAGTAAAATTTCATTTAAAAATAAATTTCTTTTAGTTCACAATTTTTTTAATATTTCAGGCTCACATTTCCAGTGGGAGAAAGAGGGGAACTGATTTGAGTATTTTATAAGTTTTCCAGGATTATTTTTTCATGCAGTATCAATGGCAAGATTTTTACTGTCAACATCGTCATTTTAATTTTATATCATTCTACACCACCTATAAATTTCCTATTAAAATTGTAGAAAAGTAATAAAATTCACTATCTACTGCTGTCACTTTAATAAAAATCTGTTTTGATTGATTAATACTTTAAATTGAATTGAGAAAATAGAATTTTGGCAAAATAAATATTAATTTACATACAGAATGTTTCAAAAATAAAATTAATCGCTATAATAAAAAAAATGATGCAGGCAGTTGAAAAATTGGAAAAATTAACCAAATTAACCCCCTACTGGCGAGTCTTCTCACTAAACGACCACACCTCCCTGTAAGCGCAGCTGCCGCAGCTGAAGATGTTTTGATTTGGACCGGAGCTTCTCAAGTAGATGTTTGTAATATTATTGCAATAATACTTTAAATATATGCACAAATTATTGGTGCCACTTATTAACTCGTCAGAACTTCTCTTGGATCAATTAGTGGGTAGTATTTTAAAGCATAATTAATATGTGTATTATATTATAATTTTGAATTGTTTGAGTCCCATTACGTGAACTTGGGACGATGACTACAAATTTGCCACTCTGTCTCAATCTATTTTTGGCAACGTTTATTTTAGCTCAAGGATGCACAAATTTTGTTGATGCCAAGCAGTTATATCTTGTAAAAGATAACTTAAAGAGATTTAAAACACATTATGAAGCTCATAGCTTTTTGAAAAAAAAACATTATTTCTTTTATATATAAAAGAACGAATGATGTTTATAAAAATCATCGAATATTATGACCTAAAGTGAGGTTCTGCGTAAACGCATGTAAATTGAAAATTCATCTTAGAAATTCTTATCTCTTTCTGCAGATTAAACCATGGAAACTCCTTCAAACTATGTGCAAGCAATTTTTTCTTTCAAAGGCAGTAATAATGATGAGGTAAATTATAAAATTTTTTTCCAATATTATTTATTATAATTGTCAGTAATTTTCAATTTGCCAAAAATCAATCGAATTACTTATGAAACATTATTTGATTAATTTGCAGCTGTGTTTCAAGAAAGGACAGATTATTTCTATAACACAGCGAGAAGACGGTGGTTGGTGGGAAGGCACGTTGGACGGAAAAACAGGCTGGTTTCCTAGCAATTATGTTACTGAATACAAAACATCTCCAACCACACGTAAGGAAATTTTCATTCAATTTCTGTGTTTCGGTTGCTAAAACTTTGATTTGTATCGATTTGTATTATGTTTCAGTTTTATCAGGAAGTATGGAAGGTCCACTGTCGGGACCTACGTCCCCAAGTTCAATTGCTTTGCCCATTGATCTGGCTGCTCAGCAAAAACTTTACAAAGGCGTTGTCATCAAAGATTTGCTAGAGTCTGAAAGGTCTCACGTAAACGAGCTACGAACGCTGGTAGTGAACTATTTACGACCCTTAAAAACGGCAGAAGTGTATGGAAAAAATGGGATTAGATAATCAAATGTATTTTATAATAAATTTTCACAGTTTGAATCCTGATGAATATTCCAAATTAATTGGAAATATTGAAGAAGTACTGATCAAGTACTCGAGGCTGCTGGCAGCAATGGAGGAGGGTGGTGAAACTGGAGAAGGTGTAAAAATAGGGAAACTCTTCCTCACATCTGCTCCTGGGCTCTCAGAGTGTCTTCAGATCTATTGTGCAAACCACCCATTTGCCGTTGCCTTACTCGAAATTAGAAGGTTTTAGCAAATTTTAAATTTGATTTAAAAATTTATATTTCAATTATTTTGCAGGGAGGCACTGAATAATTTTATGGAGTCTCGTGGGGCACAAGCGCCTGGTCTTCTAGTTCTGACAGCAGGTCTGAGTAAGCCATTTCGTCGAGTTGACAAATACCAAGGCTTGTTGCAAGAGGTCCTCCGTCATATAACCGAAACTGACCCAGACCGAGGAGACACTCAGCGAGCAGTTCACGTCTACAAAGAATTAGCAGTAATTTGATTTTATGAATATTTTTTTAATTTTTTAAATGGCTACATTTTTCAACAAGGTGAGCTGTAGTTCGATAAGAAGACAGAAACAACTACAACTGGAGGTTTTGTCCGGGACTGTCAGGAATTGGGAAGGAGAGGACGTAGCTGCACTCGGAGATATTGTTCACATGGGATCAGTTGCCGTTGGTCCTACTCACAGTGACAGATACCTTGTTCTTTTCCCTAAAACGCTACTCGTTCTGGCAGTTTCCTCTAGGATGAGTGGCTTTATTTATCAGGTGTATAAAAATACTTTCAAAAAATTATTCAGAATAATAAAATACATTTATCTTTTCTCAGGGCAAGTTGCAACTGTCTGCAATCCAGATTAAAAAGCTAGAGGACTCGGAAATTTATAAAAATGCATTTGAAATCACAAGTAAGGCAAAATTAATTTTATATTATTTAAGCACATATTAAAATTTCCAAGGCCCCATGATTGAGCCTATCATTGCCGTTTGCCAAACTCGCGAGGATCAACAGAGATGGATAGAATTAATCCAAAATCAGTCAACTATGCTGCCTCAGAATTCAACCACCACCCCCTCCCAGATAATCAAAGAAAAACCAAAGTATGTATAATTTTGTTGCAGTGAGACTACAGTTATTAATTTTAAAAACTTCCAGCCCTCCTCAGCATCAAGTTGCCACCTCGCCTCATCATCGCGTCACTTCCCCTATCAGCCATTCTAACATTAGTGTGAGTAACCCTTTAACATACACCCCATACCAATTTCTAACGGAGTTCTTTGCTCGCCTAATCACGATTGGTGTTATCACTCGACCCCTTTTAAAATTAATCCTCTACCCTGAATACTCCCAGCCTCGTAATCCATACTATGCCCCTGCCAAAAGACGAGTTCAAAAAAGCGAGCTGAAGATTGGCCCTCGACAAGGCTACTTCCAATCAAGGTTTGAGACTAAAGTTCTTTTGTCCGTGGCCGAAGTGGATTGTCGAGAAACAACAGTAAAGCACAGGAGCGACACTCCTGCTCATTTCAATCAAGTTCAACGGCCTGCTGCTAACATCAGGAAGCTGCAGTGGATCATCCATGGCCACAAACATGTTTCGCAAATGGAGCTTAGCGTTAGAGAAGCAAGTGTAGACGAGTCGGTTGAAACCTCTGAAGCAGCAATGCAGTGTGAAGAGGAAAACAAAATTTTGTTCTTTGCTGGAAATGCTGTGTTGGCGGCTCAGAGCAGCCAAGACAGTGAAGGAGACATGTGGGTCCGGTACTGCAGCAGTTGTGGGGTGGGTGAAGTTTCTATGCAGAATCCCACCAAGTTGTGTGAAAATTGCACTCCACTAGTTGAAAAGCAGTTCGTCAAATCCTACAGGTCACAGAGCTTCCAACAATTTGCCTCTTCTATGTATAGCCTCCCATCAATAAACTGTAGTTACTATAGTCTTCCAGCTTTTGAACCAACTTCTGATGAAAGTGAACAAACTAACGGGTTTTCAAACCTATCATCTGCTTGTATGGACCTCACCTCAATCAGGGACTTCAACGAAAGTCAGGCAACTATTGACGACCTTGTGCCAGAGTTGAACACTGACGGCTCTGGCAGACAATTGCGAAGAGAAAAGTGGCTCCAGTCATTGAAGTCAAGTTCTTCGCAAACAGACGATTTAGTGTCCAGCAGTCATTATTTTAATAACTCGTGCCGACAAGATACGGTTGTTGATGTTGACAACACCGGCGCCACTGCAAGGAGAAGACTTCAAAGAGGCGACGCTTTTTGTGCATCATCTGAAAGCTTAGAGCCAAAACGTCACTTTGTTTCCCAACTTGTAGCCAAAGTCGAGGGCCCTACGAAATTATCAAACTCTCTTGTGATAGAAAAAAGACTAAGTCAAAACTCTTCGGCTGACTCTGGTTTTGCCGTTTCGCCAACTCCATTCACTGTGGGTGCTCGTCCTTGCTTTGAAAACGCACCAGAGCCCCCTTCCACCCCTACTAATAGTCATTCGATAAGTGGAGAACCGGAGGCAGTTTACCGATCTGCTCTTTATGCCCATTGGTGGCTCAAGACTAAAATCAACTTGGATACTCAAACTGCACTTAACGAAGGCAAGAACTTGTGATGTGCGTGTTTGGTCCTACAACTAACAAAGCATGGGATTTTGTCGTCTCTAAGGACCACAATTTTAATCGCACTTTTTCAATTGTCTTTGGCCTTCGATCTTCAAACATACGCGATTTCTGCTTCAGCTCGCAGTTTTGCAAATCGCAAATGGATTGAATTTTTTAGACACCTCATAGTCTTGCTTAGCAACTAGAATAATCATAAAAGTTTTATAAATTAATTTAAAAAAAAAAAAAAATAATGAGGAAGACTAAAATGACAATACAGTAAATCTTTTAATGGCAAGACACTTTATTCTAGCTGAAATAAATGCAATTTTAATTCAATTTAAACTTTATTTTTCAGATGGCCGCAGCAATTCTACCTCCGCCTGTTCGAGCAGTTTCAGTGGGTTCAACTCCTCAGGGAAAAACTCACCCATCGCCGCCGCCACACAAAAAAGGAGCCTCCGACTCCATGCTGCTGAAAGGCTGGAGTCTCTCGTGCCTACGACCAAAGCCCCCATTGCGAGCCGGTCTGGGCCTTGGAGCTCAAGCAGGCGACCAGCAGCGGACCCTGCGCAAGAAGGGTACAAACTACACAATTTTTATCATGTTGAAATCCTTAATTTTTTTTTCTCTTTCTATAGAAGAGCGAAGTTATGAAGAGGACGCTCAAATCCTCAGCGTTATTGAAGCCTACTGTCTCAGTTCTAAAACAAGACACACCCTGAATTCAAGTAAGAATGTTTTCATCAGAGTTTGTATTGTTTCCTTCAATTTGATTTAGATATGCGTTGACCACTAAGACTACTAATAATGTTTTAGTTTCTTTGGCAACTGTGAGAGCTTGTTGTCAAAATTTGATTTTGCTTTTCATATATAAGTTTTAGCAAATATTTTATATAACAACGGATAAGATCGTCCAGTACGTGTGTCACAATATTAACCAGCAGTATCCTCTCCTGACGTCTGTGGATTGCCTGTTTGCTTTCTTAACAATTTTAATGAAAACTCCATATGGTATTTAAAGATTTTAAACTTGCTCAGGCACTATGTACCTGCCCAATGAACCATCTGCTGATCCAGATCACGAAGAAGACACTGATGTTGATGTGTTCTATCAGCGGCAATATCCAAGAAGACACACAATGCAACCTTGGTGCTGCGGAAGTTTTGGCAAAGGCTTGCGGAAGTCTTACTTTGATTAATTACGTTATAAATTAGTATTCTTAGTGGTTGAAGTAAAATCTTTAGATTTTTAGAGTAATTTTGTGCTGTCATATTGAGCGTTTTTGTAACTTAGCTATGAAATAGGTCTTATAGATTCCCCTCAAGTTTTGATAGCTGAAGAAGAAAAGATAATTGTGGAAGACCATTCTGGAGGTCACACTGTCATAGAAGAAAAGTAAGTTTTTTATTGTGCCTTGGAGAATGAAAAATTAAAATTGATATTCAGGAGCCTTGTTGATACTGTCTACGCTTTGAAAGACCAAGTAAAAGGTCTAGCTGCACAAATGGCTGCAGTTGTCAGAAGACTGGATACAGAAGAAGGTCACAGAGCAACCCTTCAGCTAACACTCAATACAATGTTTGCCGCTTCCAATAACACAAAGACTGCTGCTGCTGATACTTTGACAGCAGATTCGACAAAAAAGGAAAGTTCTATTCCTAATAATATTGCCTCCGATTAATGTACTACAATACACTACTTATTTTAAACCACCAGTATGAATATAATTATATTATGCAATAAAATAATAATTTTTATCCAAAATAGCTCATATATTTTATAAAATATTTGAAATATTTAACACAAAACACGCACACTGTTGTTATATCATGAACTCTATTTTAATGTATTCTGCTAATATGGTTTTTATTGTATGTATTAAAAAGTATGAAATTATATATTATTATGTCTTTCATTGCATAAACTTCTTTAATAAGTTTCGTAACTTAAATTGAATGCTAAAACACCCTAGTCTTGGTGGATTTCAAGGTTCGCCAGGTTTCAATTTTTCCTCATAACTTAAAACTTACTTAAGTAAAAAAAAATAAGTTTTTGATTGATAAAAAAAAAAAAATATGTTCAACAAAGTAAACGGTCAAAGTAATTATACACGTAATTTAACTTTTGATTAGAGTAGTGCTTCGACGTGCGCTATTTTAGCACTAGCAACTTTTGAACATTTCGCCAATTCGCGCCAAGAGTTTGTTAAATATGGCCGCACACACTGAGTGAAATTCTGTCAACATTAGCAAATTCTTCATCTGCTTGCGCCCTTCCTCGAAGTTGCGCAATAATATTTAGTAAAATCTTCAACTTAAGGTTATAATCTTTGAGAAAAATCTCATTCTGCGGCATCTTCACAAGGCAAAAGTCTAAAACCGAGCGTCGCAGCCGTGCCGGAATCCAAAACGGTCTGCGTCGTCGAACGTTGACGTTTTGCTACCTTTCACTCTTTGTAGCTGACACAGATTAGGATGAGCTATAACAATGACAGAGATCCTGGACCGATTCCGCCTCGGTGGCTCCATTGTCCGAGGAAATCATCGGCTCTATTTGTGAACAAATTTATTGCTTTCAAAACTCCTCTTGACGCAAGATTTGATGGCCAAGTCAGCCTTGAAAACCGTTTTCCCCCCAGCATGTTATTTGACTCTCTGAAGAGCTACAAGGTTTTAATTGTGTTTAATTTTTTATTTTAGAGTTAATAATTTTGTTTATAGTGTGAGCTGGGACTTTGGATTGATCTGACAAACACTACGAGATTTTACGACAAAGAAGAAGTCATGAAGAGAGACTGCAAGTACGTCAAGTTGTCCTGTCGTGGCCACGGAGAGACACCTTCACTTGAACAGACTGATGTTTTTATCAAAATGTGCAAAAATTTCATAGCACAGAACCCCCTGAAAGCCATTGGTAAGTTGTTGTATTTTGGAGAATTATATACAAATTATTTGGATGCGCGAAACTCAGGTGTGCATTGCACCCATGGCTTCAACCGAACGGGTTTTATGCTGATTGCATATGCCGTGACTGAAATGGACTGGAGCCTTGACTCAGCCGTGCAGGCTTTCAGCAGATGCAGAGAACCCGGAATTTACAAACAGGATTACCTGTTAGAACTTTATAAACGATATGATGACATAAGCGATGTTTTGGCTGCTCCCGAGAGACCTGCTTGGTGTTATGGTATGTATCAATTTTGACTAGCGACAGGCACTTTTGAATTTGAACAGGTCTATATTATTTAAAAAAAAAAACCAGGTTCATTGTTGCAATTGGAACAGTGTAATAAAGTTTTGAGTAATCATTATGTAATACTTTTTGCAGAGGATGAAGGCGAGGATGAAGATGAGCCAGAAGAAGGATTAAAGCACACTAGTTCTAGGTAAATTTAAGAAATAATTATAATTGCACAAATTTTTTTAAATACTTTGCTATCATACCTAATGATCAATGTTTGGTGTCCAAAAATATATAAAATATAATATTATTTTATCCAGCAATGGACAACGAAAGCGCGACAAAGTTTCGAAGAAAAATCCAGTTTTCATGGAGGGAGTTGGTGGAGTTATCGCAATCACAGAGCAGCCAATGCTTCAGAATCTGCAGTGGAAATTCCAAGACTTCTGTCATTGGACATCGTAAGATAAAAATTACTTTAAATTAAAACACAAAACGCTCTTTTCATTGTTAGGACTGGCTTCCCTGGATGTCAACCTGTATCCATGGATCAGACAAATATATTCAAATTGAAAAAGCCTTACATGGTTTCCTGGAAGGCTGACGGCACTCGCTACATGATGATGATTTTGGGCAGGGGTGAGGTCTACTTTGCTGACAGAGACCACTGTATTTTCAAAGTGGAGGGCCTCACTTTCCCCCATCCTAATGACAAGGAATTCAGGAGACACTTGTCAAACACAGTTCTTGATGGGGTTAGTTTATTTAATTTTTTTTTTTTAAATAACATTTATTACTTTGTATTTGCGCTAGGAAATGGTTATCGACCAGGTTATTGAAAAAAATGAGGCTGGTATTCCAGAGCAAAAAGCAATTCCTAGGTACTTGGTCTACGACATTATCACATGCGATGGAGACGATGTTTCGCAATTGCCATTTAGAAAAAGATATGACTGTATAGAGGTTAGCATGGAAAGTGTTTTATATAGCTCAACATTACTGGTTTGCAAATTATAGAAAATGGTCATCAATCCTCGGCGAGGTGCCATAGCTAAGGGAATAATCAGGAGAAACGGTGAGCCTTTTGGCCTGCGGCGGAAAGACTTCTTTGATATTCATTCTACCAAGTCATTACTGGGTGAAAAGTTCAGGAAGAGTTTGTCTCATGAACCTGACGGTCTCATCTTCCAGCCCAGGGAAGATGTAGGTTTATATTATAATATTGTAGTAATTGTTTTAAAATTGTCTTATCTTTTCAGCACTATGTAACTGGTAGATGTGATGATGTTCTGAAATGGAAACCATCCTCTCACAACTCGGTTGATTTCAAACTGAGTGTAGTTCAGCAAGAAGGCGAAGGGTAAGTCTTGACAATTATGTTGTTATCAAATTACTTTTATCTTTTCACTCAGATTGGTGAAAAAGAAAATTGGATTGCTTTTCTGTGGTGGGCTTTCTGCACCATATGCACAAATCAAGGTCAGCAAGGCTGTCAGAGACTTGGATGGTAAAATAATTGAGTGTCGATTGAATGAGAAACAAGAGTGGGAACTCATGAGAGAAAGAACTGACAAATCATACCCAAATGCATACTCCACTGTCCAAGGTATTTATCTTAAAAAAAGGCTCCAATGACGTTGGTTTTTAATGCGTGAACTCTTCCTTTCCTCAGGTGTGATGAACAGCATCTTGAACCCAGTCACAACAGAATATCTTCTAGAATTCATTCAAATCAACTGTCCCAAACCTCCGCAGCAGCAAAAAAGGCCGTCAACAACAGAGCAAAAGCTCATGCCTCCTCCAAAGCTCGCCAGATTTTAAGCTACACAACAATTTTTACCTTTTTTTTTATTTATATCGTTGACTACAAAATGTGCAGTTTATTGCTCACTCACATAAAATACATCAGTACCTTTCTGAGGAAAATAATTTATCCGACTGCTTTTCAATTGATTATTTTCAATATCACTCAATTATTGAAATACAAATGAACTGATAGGTAAGAAATTAAATGCATCAATTTTTCTGAGTTCGAAATTAATTTCGTGTTGTCTATTCTTTATCCTTCCTATATTAGTTACATGGAACAAAGCGCAATCACAAAAATCTGCTGTACAAAATACAATTAGTTAAGAAAATATGTGGCTTGCAACCATCAAGCCAGCGCTCTGTGACTTTTCTATGCTTAAAGCTACTCTCTTTTAAAATTACCAATGTTATTTAAATACATAAATTATAAAACTTGTGCATTATATACAGATCCACCAGTTTTGACTTCAAGCATCAGCGATTCAAGACGGACTTGATGCTGCTGCGAGTTGACCTACGCCCACTTGGCGCTGGCGCCTCTGGTTCCGGTTCCTCGTCATCCAGTTCCTCCTCCTCGTTGATTGAGATATCTCTGAGAGAGGGTCGTGTATGTCTTCTCCATCCTTCCGGCATGGCAGCAGCGGTTCTCTTTAGCAGACGAGGCCCCGTCAGAGCAATGGTCACGGCACCAATAGGAGCAGTTAGCAAGATAGACAGCACACAAACCTATATACAACACACAATTAGGTATAATTTTTATAATTTTTTTTTTACAAAAAAATTTTACCATAAGGACAGCGCGTGCATATTCTTTTTCATCTTCAGTTCCATTAGCTCTTACTAAGTCGATAGCAACTGGCCCCAAAGCAGCCTAAAAAATTTAATTTTATTTATTGAGTGCGGTTCATATATTTCCAATAATTTTACCTGAACTGTAGCCTTTGCCATCCAGGAAAATGAAACGAATATTTTCTCTTTCAAATTGAGCCGTGATCCAATAGAGATGAAAATTGTTCCAATAATTCTTACCGCAGCTGCTACTGTAATACATATAATAGCCTTCCATAAAATTTTTGTGTCGATTTGCGAGAAATCGATCTGAGTTCCAGTCAGGCCAAAGAGAATCGGTTCAAATATCAACCAGAAAACTTCAAAAGAAATTGCCACAGGATTCTGGAATATAACATTATTAAATTAAAATTAAAAGTTTTTTTTTAATAAATTAAATATAAACCACCTCTTCTACTTCCCAACCCTGGTCAGTCCAAATGCACCCCGAAACAAAGGCAGCGAGAATAACTCCCAGCGGTCCTGCACCTCCGTAGCCGATCTCGTCGCTGCCCAAAACTGCCATAAGACCTCCAAAAAAGAGCAACAATACTCGCAAATGGGCTGAATACGGCTGTTAAATTTAATGGATCAAATTATTGGTCTCGTGAACTACAATTATTTGTAATTACTTACATCATGTTGTTTCGGCACAAATCGGGTCAGGTTGCCCCAGACCACTCCAAAGGCCACTCCCAGCAAAACGGAGGCCGGCCCAAGGGCCACGGTGTAAACCAGAGAGCCTAAAATTTTCAGAACAAGTTAATTATGCGGCAAGCGTCGAGCCAGCAGTCAATCTTTTTTTATTTGATAAATAAATGACGCAATAGTGGAGCGCGCTCTGCTTAGATTTTTGATTAACGTAATTGCATGATTGCATGCAAATTAACTCGCCTGCGGTCAGCATCATGCTGGAGATGACTCCGAAGGCGGCCACAGAAAACGCGTCGTCGATGCCCGTTACGGCCAAGATTAGAGTGGGAATTCCTTTTGCGACCCCAAAGCCTTTCAGACGGAGTCTCAAAAGACCCGGCACCACCACAGCCGGGGAAACGGCGGCCTCGATTGACCTAAAAATTTGATTTTTAAACACAATATCAATTTTCGGCGCCTTTCTCTCTCGCTTGCAAATAATATGTAATTGCCACAAATACACACCCAAGCATGAAAGCCCATCCCCAGGGCAGGCCGAGCAAGAAGTGAGTCATGACTGCGATCATGCAGCACTCGATCAGCCACGGCGCCAGGCCCAACTTCAAGATGGTTCCAAACAGTTTCCTCGTCGCGTTCGGGTCGAGGTCGAGACCCGCCCTGATCAGGATGATGACAAGCGCCACCCTCCGGATGTCGGCGACCACGTGCTCGTACTCACCGTGCACGTCGATGAGGCCCACATTCTTGGCTATGATTCCGACAACCAACATGCCCAGCAGGGCCGGAAGGCGCACCCTCGACGCGAGCCACCCTCCGAGCTTGGCCACGATGCAGAGAGAGGCGATTTGGAAGAGCTGGCCTCCGAAGGGACTGGCGTCTTCGCCGATCAGGACGAAAATAATGCCCCAAATGAGCAGGCCTATCAGGATGAAGGCGGCCAAGCGGGCGAACTGTTCGCCATTAGGCCAGAGACCCAGCCAGTCCCACAAACTAGAGGGTTATTTTGATATGTTCACTTTATATGTTTTAAAAGATTGTTTAATATAAAAAATATACCTCCTCTGCTCCTTGGTCTGCTTGTCGTATACACTTTCCTCCGGAAAACCATTTCTCAGCCCTAAGGGGTTCTTGTGATTGCGGTGCGAATCTGCAATTTAAATGAGATTGAGGCTGATTCATCTCCGCTCTCAATTCACTTTCCCCCCAATTAAAACGGTAAAAACCTGTGGAGCGTTTGGGCGAGTGCCCATTGGTGGGCACGTCGTCATTCTCGAAGGCCGGGTTGTCCTTGCTTGAAGCGGTTTCACCAACCGCGATGCTCACCCTGCGCGTTTCGCTCAGGTGCGAAGACGAGTTGGGCAGGTGCAAAATGCCATGAGGGGGATTCTCAGGGGACGCCATCTACCTCCCTGGGCAACACGGATAGCGATATAATCCAAAGGTTCTACCTGTGTTGAGATATAAGTGAGATATTATAATGGTAGCGGAATATTACACAGTTTGAAAGTGTCAAAACACGTGTTGAAAAAATAAATCGTTGCAATTTATCTCACAGCTGCCCACGTACAGTAACCAAAGGCGGCGATAAATTGTGATCTTATCGAAATATCATTTGGCCTTTATTAGTGAAGTATGAAATACATTGGACAACATTTCAATTTGCAAATTGAATTATAAAAATCACCTTTGAAAATGTTTTATTTTAATCAATTTTTTTAACTCACAATTATGCGTACTAGGCTAATTAGTTTGCATGACAGTTTTGTACTACCAAATGATATACTTGCGAAGTCACTCTGTGTGCGGTAACTTTGTAATAGCTTGTATTAATTTGTAATTATGCAAATGTTAGACTTAATGAGAACGCTTTGTATCAGTTTTTTGTGGCGACTGGTCAGTTCTGCGGGCTGCGCTTTTCTCATCCAAATGACTCGAGGGGACAGTTTAATATTCGGAGCGCCGGCAATATGGGTTACAATTAAATGTGAGGCGTCCTAAGAAAACGAATAAAGTTTATTTGGATGTGTTTGCCCCGTGGGGTAAAAATACAGCACTTTTCGCTGAATTCATGATTTGGCGAGGATTTCGCAATTCGATAAGAGAAAAACAAGAGCTTTCTCTGAACAATATTATAGCGCACAATAAAACCACAGACTAGTCTGCTTATATGCGAGAGAGCCGCTCGCAACAATGACGCATTCCTACGAATTAGCGCTTTGAACCCACTCGCGGCCCTTTATATTTCGGACTAGATACATGCATTGTAAAAGAGTCGGGCGCCAAGGCGTACCATAGTAATAAGAATTCAACACACACCGCATCCTGATTCCAGTCGATCACCTCTCTTGCAGGAAAAAGCGACTTATAAACATGTCGACAGATAGCCAAATTTGGAATCGGCCCTCCAAAGTGAGACAGGACGTTGCCACAAAAAGGCGCCCTTTCTTGGTTGGTGCGCCGTGGCCAACATTTATATAAAAGTGGGTTCCAATTTGTACGAGCCTCTCGCTCATTAGCATGCATTTAACAGCTTGTTTAACACAATTTGCGTTTTGGCAATCGCCACATTTTACTTATTAGCGGCGACCTTTATGTAACGCCCGGCCGTACTACGTACATGACCATTAGCAACAATTTCGGATCACGTCATGCGAGTGGATATCTCATTATATCTCGGTTTATGAAATATATATTATTATCGGCCACGAACAATCGGGCGGTATTGACCGAATTTACAAATCTGCTATAAATCAGTATCAGAATGCAATTATTATTTCGTTGGTAAGTAATTATTCGCACGCCACTCGCCCTCGAGAGTCAGCAATTACGTGTACGTTGGCGCGCGGACAGCAGGTCCGAGCCTGCGGTATACGTGTGTGTGCCATAATTCACTCGCGCACTTGACATTTTAATTATAAAAACGCGGGCAAAACCAAACAAAAATAAATGTATGAGCGCCTGTCTGTTAGAGGGACACGTGATTTTGTTTGCTGGCCAGCCGCAGTTATTCTCTCAAGGTGTGGGCATAAATAATAACAATATCTTATGCGATCTGCGAAAGACACGACGGACAGATAAATTTGTCTCTAGCCTCGGGCCCGATCGATACGTGTGTGTGTGTGTGTGCCCTATCTCTTTAATTGTATTCGCTGCAATATTTTTATTAATAACAGTGCGTGCGTGAAAACAAAAATAAATCGCGTCGACCACTTGAGAAATGGCGCAAGTCGCACACAGTCAGATAAATATGCGCGTGGGTATAATTATGAATATCCTATCCTTACCCGGGCAATGATACACACACACAGCGCATTCATGAGTCGGCGATGGACCCAACGACGAGTGTCGCACTGCCAGGCCGCGCTCGCGGGATGCTTGTTTATTTATTCGCCCTCCGACAGCCGAATAAATAATTGGCACAAACAGGCACATCGACTGGCTGAAACAAAATCAGCGAGAGACGCGCCGGTGTCGTTTAAAATTGCATAAATCAAATCATTTTGCGAACTATAGGCAATAATATGAACGCGGCTTCTGTTTGATCGCGAGGAAAAAACACTATCCATCAAAAACTCGTGGGCGAACCGAAGAAAGATATATTACACCGGGCTCTGATTGCTGATATAATTGGTCTATTGAAAATAAATCCAACAAAAAAAGTATTATTGGGCCAGCAGTTGGTCATTCAATTTTAAACTGCGAGCAAAAAAGACTGAGGTTAATAACAGTCTGGTGTATGTTTAATGAAAGCCAGCGATTACTCGTTGAATCCGAAAAACAATCGCGCTGAAAAAGCGTGAAATTGAAGCACAAATAGAAATGCTCGTAACCAGCTGTACTATTATGCGCTATTATGGCAACATTAACTGGAACGAAAGTGTTGATTTCTTGAAAGCTCATTTAGCATGTCGGGCGCGTTGCCTACATTCTCGAATCCTTTGCTCACCTCGGAGCCGCCGCGGTGCGATGTTGCTGCACTATACGGGAAATTAAAGAATTCTTGACCTAATTTTTCGACAATTTTACGTCTCAACAAAACAATGGGGCCGGATTGTATCCTTTTCGAGTGTAAATAAAATATCCACGCTATAGTTTTATTTCTACAACAATAAATTGTTAAAAAAGATATAAATTCTCTTATATAAAATTATTTCGCCATTTTGGTGCACATTTGGAAATACGACCTTAATAATTTTCGCCTATTCCCGTCGTAAAACTTCAAACTTCAAAAGAATCTTTTTTGCTGACAATGAAAGAGAAAATAAATGAGTGAGGCGGGATTGATCGAAGCGACCGATTCATCCTATTGTTTGCGGCGAACAGATCTCTTTTTATTTTTACTCAATCCTGCACGTTCTGTGGGAATTCGACGACCAAGAGTTTGGTGTTTAGTCTCCGCGTCTCTCTCTTTCATTGTAATGAGATGAAATGAGAAACCGGCCTTTTCCCGCAACTACCAGAACAATACACGCCTTTAATTTTGCTCTTTGTTGCGGCGCCCTTTATCCGTCTAATTAAAATTCGCGCATATAAATTCAAGTACACCTTGTACACTCACACTTTGCTCTCTCAGGTGTGCACGTGCAGGTGTGTGCTAAAATTATGGGCAAAGGAAAATAATGATATAATCAAATTTAAGCAATCCATCGCAAGCGCGCCAGAGAGAATTCAGATAAAAATCGCCGAAGCCATTAAATCATATTCAATGGAAAGTCATTTAATAACATATGTGCGTGGAACAACTTTCAAAAACCGGTAACACAGAATAGAAATTAGCGGCGAATAATAATTATTGCAAATTATGGTCATTTTGTCGAGAATAAATATATAACCGATCGCGTGCCCTTGGGGCGCGTTCGCTCGTTTTCATTTTCGCACTAGAGGAATCTAACAATCTTGCACTAGATCGTCCCTGCGCCGAGGCTGTTTATGATCCGCTGCCGGCCACGGTTAATTAAAAAGTTAAATTTTGAGCAAACAATACATACCTAGCAAAACAATGCGCCGCTGGCCGGACGACGCCAAATATTTATATTGTTTGCAGAAAACTCGCCATTGCCGAGACCAACTTGAGATTTCTCGCGCAAGGGCGCCAATTATGCGCAAATTTGATTTGCAAATTAATTTGCTGGCAATTTACGAAATTAACATTAAATTTTCATAACAGAAAAGGAAAGGAATGCAAAATTGTAGGGTATAAGCAGAATGGAGTTTTTTTATATACTCCACTGCCCTGCTAGCTGCATGCAGTAGACAGATAAGTAAACTTCTGTATATTTATTATCATTTAATTCTACTTATTTATTATTTTTATAAATTCCCAAATTTTGACTTAACTTAATCCAATTCACCATCCAAACCTCTCATTATTTACTTTCTTAACCTTCACAAATTATAATGATGATATGATAATACAAATATGCGCTGCAACCGTGCGCCATTGCTGTTGAATTGGGAACAATTAGTTATATTAAAGAACCAAAAATGTGCTACTTTTTTAAATTGTGGTAATTGAAGCATAAGCAATAATGATTTAGCTGCACTTTATTATTATTAATTAATAATAATGCCGTTTTTATAAAAATCTTGCAATTTTAGTGGCTTCTTATTAATAGACAGTTATCTTAATGATCTAAAATAGTGGGTTGTTAAAATATTTAGACTTCTTGTAATTGACCACAGCTGTACCACAGTAATTTATGTTTTTTTTTTTTTTTTATAATTGAGCACCAATTAAATATGGAAATTTGTCCATTCCTTGACCTGGAGAGGTTTGGCTGTGTATAAGACCTCCCAAATTATTTAAAATTGGTCTGATTTTTGATTAACTTTCAATGATGAAACTAAAATTAAAGTAATTTTAATTTTGTGTATTAAGTCCTCTCTCTAAGTTTAAGTTCATGCATAGAAAAACAGTGTAGGTTTTTAAAGTATGAGCAGACCGCAGGTGGCCTTTCGGAGTCAGTTGTCCTTTTAATTTTTTCATTGCAACGAGGTTTGCCCGTTTTCAGTTTTACAATTTTTTCATTATAAAAAATTAGTTTCATCAAAAGTACGGTAAAACAATACAATTATTATGTAATTAAAAAAAATAGTTTCATTTACAAATTACTATGAGTATCTTTACCGTTTGGAAAATGGTAGCAATTCCTAAACGCGTGCGTTCCTTGCTTTAAGTGTATATAATTCAAATCAACGTCACATTTTAATGCTGCCCTCGATCACAATGGCGAATCTCAAACAATTTAAATGTCTTTGAAAATGTATCGCGTTTCGAAATGATTGGTTACAGAAATTGGCCTGTAGAACACACAAATCACGTCGTAATTGGGGCGCCTGGAGGAGAGCACTTGACTGGAAATGAGGCGCGGAAAATCACTGATTTGATTTGTTTCGTAATGTTAGCCTTACGCGTTGTACATAATGAATTGAGGCAGTGCATTCGCGCCGTGCACAGGTCAATCATTAGAGCATAAATGGAATAATGGGATTGCGGTCCGGTTCAACACACCTGGCCACTTTTCCCACGTGCAGAGTGAAATTCTTCAATTTTATTTCAAACGGAGAAACACAATTTTGGTAAACAAATCAAACATTGCTTTCCAAACGCAATTAAATTTTTTTTTTTTAATTTGCAAATTGATAAAATTGTCTTGAATTTTCTTAATTCGATTCAGAATGCAAGCAATTGAGAATTTCACACATTTACCTGCGAATGTCTTAGCGGCAATCCTGAGCGGGCAGAGCGAGTCGGTGCCGAGTGGCGAACAGTGCATCACTGATAAAGGAAGGGCCCAGTGGCAATTTTGCAATGCACGAGGGTCGGCGGCGGCGAGCGGGGGAACGACGACTTCTCTCTCCAGAGCTCCCTCCGATCAGCGCCGCAGAGCGCCCTGTGATCCATCGCCGCTCTTGATCCGTCGCTTCTAATTTTTTGAATTCTTAAAATGTTCCTGAATTCCACCACGCAATTCCTGCCAACCTGCAAATGCAAGAAATGCAAAAATGTGATAAAAAAAAAGAAAATGCTCACCTGGTACGCGAGAAAGGCATTCAGCAAGTTCTCTTTCAACCTGTTGCGCCTTTGACATGCTCCCTGTCTAGTCTGACCTGATGAGCGCATACACAAAATTGCATTCTTCTCGCGCAAAGGAGATTTTCTTATGGAAACTAATTATAATTTACAAAAATAAATAGTCATTATTTATCCTATGTTTTCATCATTATTTAACAAAAGTGCAGTCATTGCATAAAACTCTATGTTTGCTTTTTAACACGCAATATTTTGTATTTATCTTCCTTTTAATTGAAATTTTTATTGAAAATGGATTTGCATTGTGGGTTTCAGGGCTGAGTGTTGCTCTATGCAAAATCAGTCTTACACACATTGTACTTGATTATTATTCTAAAAAAGATTTATAATTTTCTAGCTTGCAAACCATGGTTTCATTTTTAATTTGTTGAAATGAATACAAAATATATGTAATTTATTAAATTTTGATAGTAGTAGTATCGTTCTAATTAAAATTATAAATTTTATCACATTGCCAGTTACAATTACGAGATTTCTGTTAGCTCTTTTACATTAATTTATTCGCGGCGCTTGATAAACAAATTTGGTAAATTTTAATTTATCGTTGCTCCTTAATAAACCGTGACGCTATCAAATCTACTCGCGCTTGAATTCATTGCATAGGATTATTGTGGATTATGCTATAGCATTATTTAGGAATAATGTTCCTCGTACGTTTTAGCGTTTATGAATTATTTATTTTAAAAGAAATATAAAAAAGTAAATAGTAAAATTCAATTTAAAACTAATACAAATTTGAGGAACTCAAAAAATTTAAAAAATATAGTGCACAAAATTTCATTCTTTTTATTTTTAATTTCAATCAGTGTTTATATTTTTAGCCATTGCCATTAAACTTTTTATAAAAGACTTGGTAAATTGTAGTAAGATTTCCGGCCGCGTTATTATTCCATAAATTTATGTATATAATTTAATTTTGTGATAAAAAAATGTAAATTATTTATACTTCTTTACCGATGCAAACCAACTGAAAAATTAGATGACGAGTTCTCCTAACGATTGAATCTAAAAGTTACTATGAATAATTTAATAAGATAGCTAGTGCAATACTAAAAAGGCTCCCACCTTAGAAGATTGAGTAAATCAGAGTAAATCCTTTCTTTTGATTGTCAAAATATATTTTTCACAAATCAGTGGGGATTATTTAATTATTTTCTTGCTTTATTATACTATTGGATAATTTGAAATATTACATATTACATGAAATTTTCACATCTATTAAGAAAATTAATCTTCCTTTAGCTTATACTTAATTGATCCACAAACTTTCTTCGGCTTTGAAAAAAAATACTCAAGAATAACAAGTTCAATTAGGTGCGAAGCATCTATACTGAAACAAATAAATCATCATACTAACTTGGTGAAGTGACCTCGACGACCTCTTTAAGGAACCTGCTCTGAAATGGTGATAAATCACGTGGTTTGTAATTAGAAAAAAATCAGCAGCTTTTCACTTGAATTATTGATTAACGTGCGTTGATCACTTTCAGATAAATTCTCCAATATAAGCGCTCAAAATTTGCCAATCGCACCCGCCCGGATTCTAAATCATCTCCTTTTTATCAGCGCGCGGCCCTTTAATTAAAACACTCCAAACAGGTTCATCGTTCGCTGTTCCTAATTAGGCGCTCATAGTTTGGCGTAGCACCCACGAATTGGCCGGCTAATTGCATATTAATTAAAACGAGAAATCGACCAGGAAAGAAATTTAATTTTCTCGCCAGACGTGCGGCGCTAGACAAGGGCCAATAAATGCATTGACCAACCAGCCAACGCTGTAGGTGCGCAAGGAAAACTTGTAAAGTAGCTAACTCCATGATACGATAATTGATCTAATAGCCCAGTTAAACGGGCGCGCGATGCACGCGACGTCAGCAGGTATGCGTGTGTACATTAGAAATAAATGGGTCTCTCCACGACGCGGGATGATGGGATATATTAAAAGGTATTTTCACTCTGCGGCGCTTGTGTGTTCACGCATTAGAATCTTTGCAACACATATGCGAATTAGACTTTAAATTAGCAACAAGGTGCAAACTGCTGGGACTGCCGATTAGCGATTGACGTAGCAAAAGATCTTAATTTAATTCGAATATGGACTCAGTGACGGGCTGCTGGAGCTCACTGGAGCTGATCAAAGCTAGTCGAGTTCAATATGGAAAATAAGATTATTTTTTTGGACTATTTAAAAAGTGGGTTCATTTTCAATTAATTGAACAATCAATTTCAGTGACTCCGACGTAATAAATCGAATAACAATTAAATAATCGCGGATAAGCTTTTTTTGCAAAATATGCTGGTCCAGTATTGCCTAGAGACTTTGGAATAGTTAGATGATATGTAAATGATAGATTTTCATGGTTGAAGGTTGAAGCTAAATTTTCCTTTTTTTATTCTTCATCTATAGAGATGCCTAAATGGTTGTGTGGTGCGCCTAGAAAATTTATATGATTATATGATATCAACTCGCAACGTACTTTGTCCCATCTGTAAAATAGCATAATTTGTTTATTACCCTTGCCACAGAGCAGTGAAGCTGTTTCAATAAATATAAGAGTTATAGGAAAAAAATTAAATAAAAACTTAATTATTTAATTACATTATTTTGAAAATTTGAAGGAGAAAAAAATGTAAATAATTGAAGTTTTCAAGTTGTTTTATTCTTGAAATTGCTCCTCTAAACCTTCATATTTTATTTCTTTTTAAATTATTTTTTATCGTTTTTTGCTTCTACCATTTTTAATTATTAGAACCAGAACTTACCTTGCGCTGCACTGCACATACATTTAGGAAAATCTAAAATGAACAAAAGTAAAAAAAAATAATTAACATTTTAAAAATAGATTCGTCAAGTTTATTTGTGCTAACTGTGTGGTACACTCGTATACTCTAAATGTCGCTAATAACAATTGCAAACCATATTAACCATAATGAATTTTAGTATATGTACTTCATGTTCATACATGGCTATGTGGGTAAGCTAAAAAAGAATCCCTGAAAACCTCCCACTATACAAAAGAAGATTTCCGAAGACGCATTGAATGTGATTCTATAATTTCAGATCTCATGGACTGCAGAAAATGTGGAAAAAGTGAAGGAATCCAAAGGGCAGGGCGAGCATCTTTTGATCCTGCCGCCAATGCCACTCTGAAGCTGGCAGCCCTGCCGGCGCTAGAAATATCGGCAACTGGCAAGTTGGCTACACTCGCACCTACCGCTTTTTTTGCAGCCATCCACCATCCTTCCGTGTTTGTACCATAACAAATCGTGCAGATGATTTTCCTTTCTTTCCCACCATGTTGCCAGAAATGTAGAAATACTTGGACACTTTTAACGCTCTGAATAATGCAATTCTAAATTAAAACTACGTTAATTTCTGTGTTGTTTATTACTGTCTAGTAATCGTATCGTAGTAATCTTTAAAAAATGGCCAACAACAATGATGGTGAGGGCGGCAGCGGCAAGACGAAGCGCAAGAGTGTCTCTTTGGTGGTCTCCATCGATGTTCGCCGGGAATGGGTCAAGAAATTGTAAGAAAATTTTTAAGATTTACCTTATCTGCTGTCGTTAATTTTTGAATGAGATACTGTGTGAGGACAGCATGTTGATTAATTCCCGTGGCCAGCAGTGGCCCCAGTTGGTCGATCCAGCCTTAAAACGATGAAGCCCTAAAAATTTTATTAAAACTTTCCAGACTTGCTTGCCTCCCAAAGGTCTCAGATGTTGTGAATAAAATGAAAGCTGAAGAAAATTCTATTGCAAAAACTGCAAATAGTGAGGTGCGTAGAAAATATTATAGCAATATGTACACATAAATCAACTCATTCCGACACTGATTTTTAGCTGCATATTAATATTTTTTATATTGTTGAAATTGTTTGTAAAAATTTAACAAATGTTCTTTCCATTTTTCAGGCGGACTATATGCTTAAAATGGAAAATGTATTGAGTGAAATGCAAGAAACTTATGGATCAAATCAGGACACGCAAACCTCAGGTACTAAATTACTTATCTTGATTTTTTTTTCATCTTTTCGACTTAATGGAATTTAATCAATTTAATCTGTTGTTTTTCTACAAAATACATTATCCAGCGCTCAGCGTTTGTCTATTGAATAATTTGAGATTGATTTGAGCCTAAATATAAATTAACAGCATATAATTTTGTAATGTATGGCATAGAAAAGGGGAGGGTCTAAAATCAAGTTACCGATAAAAAGAAATAAAAGTAAATTTAATTTGTTCAGTTGAAAATTGAGGTTTTTTTGCATTCATCAGTTGTAAAATTAATTAGGTAGTGAGGAACCTTTCAAATAATGCACCTGGTTTCTCTATATGTTGCATGAAGATGGACTCAAAGTTCTCCTTTTAGCCGCAAGAATTCAGAATAAATAATAATTTAGACTTGAGTAGAATAAACGACAATATTTATGTTATACTTACAATACTCAATTTTGTTTCAAGACCCAGTACCTGGACCATCATCCTCGACTAGCAGTAGTGCCAGTGCCATTGAACTGGATGAACCTTCAAATTCAGGGCAACCAAATGAAGAAAACTCGAGTTCTGGAGAAATGTCTCCTGCCGCTGACAGTGCTGAATCTTCAGTGTCCAGCAGCTCTAGTGCTCCACATTCTTCATACAGAATGCTACCTGGCAGCTCTGGTGCTCCATTGGCATACAAGTTGATACCTATAGACTTTTCAGCAGCAGGACGGTCAAACTCTAGCAACAACAGAACTCGCCAGTCATTCTTTGAAACATTCCCTGATCTTGGAAGCTCTTCCTCAAATGACCCAACTCCTGGACCTTCTCCTTTTGTTCCTAATTCAAACACAGCTCGTTCTCAATCCGCTGCTAGCCCACCTGTTTCTGAACTACCTGCTGCTGGTCCATCTCGTACACAACCAGCTGTGAGGCAACCAGTTGCTGGCCCATCACGCTCTGATGACAATGCAGAAGCATTTGTACCCCAACTTTTTAGGCCAACTCGTTTATTATCCTTTCCCTCTGTTAACTTACCTCATCCTGCACAAGACAATCGACGCCTTGGATCTCAAGATAGTGTTGTCGTGTTGAATGATGACGTCGTTTTGTCGTCTGATGATGATGATCACCGTATGGATGTAGACAACGAACTGCAAAGACAAAATTCAAGGAGATTGGAGACAGTTGGAAACTTGCTAATGTGCAATTCAATTTACTTGGACTTTGAGATCGAGGATGGAGAAGGCTGGGAGCTACCTCCGGTTTGCAACTGCCGACCTATGCCATATGACATATTGGGAAATGTATAATATTTTAAGCAAGCATGTCAAATCCTCATTGCCCTCCTTTTCAGACAAATTTGCCACCTCCTCTTACTGTCAAAATGATGGAAGTGAGTGACTGCACTGTTCCACAAATAGTTGAAAAGCTCAAGCTCTATGGTGAAACTAATATATCATCAGGATGCAAGACCCGTCTCTTACTGCAATTGAAGCAGCTACTTATAGATCAGGAAGCTATACGACATGGTAATTGTGAATTAAATGCCTTGCTTTCTTTTACAGTATAATACTAATATGTTCATTTTCTTCAGATAACAAACTTAGAGCAGCCAGAAATGAACCAGTACCATCTTCTTCAAGAGAAACAAACTCTAGTAGTGTTCCTGTTTCCTCTTCCACCACTGAACATGTCAATAATGGCAACAGGACTAATGGCAACAACTCAAATCACGGACCCTATGGCAATCTACCTGACCTGCAACCAACTCCAATTTCTGCAAATTCTCAAATCATTGATGGAGGACAATGTTCCACTGCTGGCTCGTCCACATCTGAAATAGACAATAACTCAAACAGCACACCAGCAACATCTCAGGCTGGAGAACAATCAGACTTGAGAGACGTTGCAACAACGGCACCTGGCCCTTCCACTTCAAGAGCACCACAAGTTGCAGCTTCTTGTATTAATCGGATATTAAACCAAAATAGAGTTAATCCCTCTGACGATGGGCAAGAGGCTAGAAGGACATCATCTACCACCGCTGGCCCTTCGACTTCAAACTCTGTTCCTTCCTCTCCGGTTGAGACTGGGCTGCCTGATTCTACGGTAGCCGCGAGAAGCTCTAGTGGTGCTGGAGGCTCGGATGTAGCAGTTCCGGGTCCATCAAGTAGCCAAAGTACAAACCAACTAGGACCCTCGACCTCTTCAAGAAGATCGTCTCCTTTCACGCCAGATGCTGCTAAAAGGCGATCCTCTTCTGGCGACGCCAATTCTCGGGCACGAAAGGTTTTGAGGAAGTCATCAGGTGCAGGCAGCTCTGGTGGAAAAGTTAAACGTCCCTCTAGACAGCATGCTCTCAGAATTATGTCCGATGATTCAGAAGATGACAGCAGCAGCAACGAGTGTTTTCCAGTAAATTTAGGCGCCGCACAACAATTGTAAGTATTCAGTATTCACAAATATTACTTAGCTCAGCAAACAATCTCGTTATTTATTACCGTAAAAAATCGTTTGTAATATTAATATTTTTTTACTGTACGCTTAAACCGCGCTTAACTACCAGTTTTTGTGTTTTTTCAAATAACTTACCCTTATTTTCTCTTTTTTTTTTGAGAATTAAAAACCCAAAGAAACCACTCGGAACGGGAAATAATTTAAATTAGTACTTTTGACTAAACACCTTTTACGTGGAATTACGTTCCGAGACGCGAGATACTGAGACAAAACCAGTGTAAAAAAGTTAGAAAATTCCTGTTGTGATAATAAACAATGTTAATTGAGGGCGAAAATTTCCCAAAATTAAAACTCTTTAAAACCACCCCAATCTGTCCGTATTGTTTTGTGCTGGACAGCTGTTTCGGCTATTGAAGCCTCATCAGCAGCACTTTGCCTAGCAAATCAAATTCCACCCGCAGCGAGCTGCGAGAAGATGATGCTTTGCTCGGCGCACAAATACGACTGCAGGCTGCTTCTTAGCAACCTGCAGAGAACGAAAAAGAGAGAGCTCGCGACCTTCGCCAGCAAACCACCCCCTCGTCCGACTCTTTCTTCCTTTTTTTCACAAAGTAAATTAAAATTGTTTATTATCACAACAGGAATTTTCTAACTTTTTTACACTGGTTTTGTCTCAGTATCTCGCGTCTCGGAACGTAATTCCACGTAAAAGGTGTTAAGTCAAAAGTACTAATTTAACCTATTTTCGCCTTTTTACCATTTTGCAGTGTCATGAGGCAATCTCGACTTACGCTAAATGATGATCCAAGGCAAAGGCCTCCTCCTGCAGTTAATCCTGTTCCACGCGTGCGCTTCCAAGAAGAGGTGGAAATGCATTTTCCGCCCAGATTGGAAGATAATTTTGAGCCTGTACAATTTTTTATGCCACAAGAAAATCCTCTCAGGCCACCTCCAGCTGTCAACCCACCACCCTATCCAAGACATTTAGAACACGTGGAACAAGCCAGACTTGTCCATTTGCCTGAACTTCCTGAGCTCGATGCTGATTATATGAGGGCCAGGAGGGGTAAATCATCAGTTATTGTAGTTGCTCCTTTTGAAAATAATAAAAAATTGCAGAAATTGACAACAGGATGGCTGCTGTCGGTGACAGACTGCGTGCACAAGAACGTGCTGCCCGTGAACAAGAGCTTGCCACTGCCCGGAGTCGAGCTCGTTTGGATGCTCGACTTGAGCAAATTAGTGAAGCTGTTCGTGCTGACCAAGAACGGCGAGACCGTGCCCGAGATAGAAATCGAGTGCGTTTGGTTGCTAGACTTGAGCAAGTTCGTGATGTTGCCCAAAACTTTGGTGCTGTTCGCGAGCGCGACGTTGCTCATGCTCAAGAAGCGGAGTATATTCGAATGATTCGAGAAAGGCAGAGAATACACTTGGAAGGTGCGGACCCTGTGCGTCCTAGATACAGGGCAGCATTGCAGGGCCAACCACCTGCAGCCCAAGTTTTGGCTGCGCCAAACCCGGCAAATAACCAGCAGAGGAACCCTCCAGCCCTAACTGGAGGTATAATATCCATTTTTATTGTCTTGATTTTCTGTTAAACCAAAAGTTTTAAATCAAGCCTGGTGGCTCAGTGGTTGGAGTGCTTCTGATCAGTGGGTTGCTCAGCCATCATGGGATCAATGCTCAGCCCGAGGCTCTTTGTGGAAACAAACAGCCTCTGGTATGCGAATCATTGATAACATTTCGGCTGATATGTCGGGAATTTTCAGGCCAAGCAATTAAAAGTCCTCTCAGTAAATTTACGTACTAATTTGAAATAATATATAATTTTGTAGCGCCTGCTGCAGTTCCAAGAGTGGCCATCGTTCAGCATAATAGGAGAAGAATTTCATTTCAAAATTCCAGTAAGAGTAGTATATATTTGTACTTAAATAAAATAAATGTCAACTTGAAAAATCTAGCTCTCGCTCCAAGCCACACTTCTCGGGTGGTACCTAGTGCATCAGTCCAAAGCACTACAAGACCACAAGGCACCACAGGTAAGCATTTTAAATTTTTGGAAATTTTTGTTACAATATTTATTGTTTTCTAGCGTCCAATACTCCTCCTGTGGCCTCAGCATCAAGTGTGACTCGAACATCCTCTACACCCTCTACATCCACTGCCCCAGAGCCTCAAGCAGGACCATCAACTGATAATGCAAGCATAGAATGCTGCATCTGCATGGATGCCAGGAAGGAAGTGCTATTCATGCCTTGCAAACACATTGCCTGCTGCCGCGGCTGTGCTGAAGGCATCCAGTTATGTCCTATATGCAGAGTGCCTATTGAAAGTTCAACCGATGTTTTCCTTGCATAATTGCAATTTTGTTCAGTTTGTCATTGAAGGTTGCTTCCTATTTGACTGAGATGCTGTTTTTGTATTTTTGTCCGAGTAAATAATTTGACTACGTTATTTATACATCCATTATTAAAAAGTGAAGCAGATTTAATTTTGATAATCAACAACAATGCAAAAAAAAAAGAGACACAGAAAGCATCTTTTAACCAAAATTGCTTTTCTAATATTTTTTTCTTATTGGGATATATAGTTCTTCAGCCAGAAGAAAATTCATATTATGGAAAAACCGGTTAAAATATATGCAATTAAAAATAATATTTTGTAAATTGAGATTCATGGATACTTGCCAAATAATTGTAAAGAATGCTGATTTTTAAATGCAAGCTCCCAGTGCTTAATCCTTAATCAAACTATGTGTTAGTGATTACACTACTGGCTTATTGCCAACTTCTAAATGATGATTTTATGTTAGTGTTTAAAGTTTAAGCAATATTTTTATGCCTTTTTTATGAACACAAATAATTAATTATAATAAACAAAATTTTGCAAAATTTACGTTAACCTTTTTTAAGTTGAAAGAAACGCCTGTTATTATTTTTGTGAATTTTAAAGTATTGGCATGATGGTATGGGGCTTGGAATGGGCTGTGGTCTCAGCACTCAATATTGGAATTCATTTCTATATCAGATTTATATGATGCTTTGATAATTATTGCCTCTATATTATTTATTTTTCACCATTCATTGAGAAGACAACAAATAATAATTCTTTTCTTAAACGCGTTAGAAAGAAACGCGTTAATAATAATAATGCTTTTATTAAACGCGTTTGCGTACAACTACTGTTAGTCAGTTATATCAGTTACAAATTTTTTCATGGAAAAAAGACTCCCGCCTTTTATGCCAACATTTTTAATGGCTGTCTGAATAGGTAAAATAGGTTGTTGGACCGCGCCCACTTAAGAGACGACTCAGACAATAAGACATAAGGGGAAACTCGACCGGTTATCGCGTTAAACTAGCTCTCCGCGGGTATGTACCCGCGCGTGTTAAAAGATAGGGAAGCGGTTTCGGTGGTTTCGCGCGGTGTTTCAGAGCGGTGATGGAATCGCAGCTGTTGAGCACTGCGTACCGTACTATACCGTAAACAAAATGCCTTGCCTTGGTTCTTTATATTTCTGAATTTCATGGATATTTTTTGGCCCTTCAGCGCTGTAGTTGCTAGTAACACCTTTAACGCAGGTCTTTGTTCATTTATTTTACATCTATTTTACTAATGCCTTAATCATTTTAATTCCTAGCTAGGATATTTTAACGTCAAGAAATATTAGTACTTAAAAAATTGTACGATGTTAATTCATTTTCCACCTGTAGTTGTATTTCAAATCATGGAGCAAAAATTTTTTTAGATTTAGTTGTTCCTTTAAATTAAAGTGATGAAGTATTTGAAGGAAGAGTCACATTTAAGTCAGAAAGTGAGACTGAAATTGAGGTACAAGAGAATTAAGCAGGGTTTGCCGAATTCTGACGAAAAGGAGAATAATTATAAAGCACCAAAACAGCGAAGAAAAAGGAGCGCTTCTAAAAGTGGGTTTCTTGAAGTGAAAATAATAGTAATATTTAATAATTTGATTTTGTTCTAGAGCTCTTCAACAGTGCCCTTTCTTTACCAGCTCATCCTAAAGTCCAAAAATCTCAAGTAAATGAAAAAAAATTACCAGAAGAGGGAGGTGACTAAATCAGAGGCCGAGAATGTCGTCATGCAGTAACGAATCTCAAATCCATTTTGGACCCTGTGCAGTACGAATTCATAATGACGGTTGCACAAAACACCCAGCAAAGACGCCCAAGAGGAAGAACATACTCTCGAATCCCCAATCCACATTTTGCCTCTAATCAGCAGGCTGCGAAGCGAAGAGACTAGGACTCCGATTCCAGTTACCATCTCTAGTCCAAACCGTCACGTCACAGTTCATCATCTGCACCGTCCATCAGCTATTCGTCTTCGAATCCCAGTCATTCCTACTTTGCAGAGTCACACGCCAGTTATTCAGCAACACCACCCACCTCTAGTTGGACGCTCCAGTGATCCCAATGATTTAAATCCAAATGTGATACGACTCATACGTCAAAATGTCCCAATTCTCCAGGCTGTCTCTGATAATAAAATTTATTGTATTTTGGAAATTAAAACTACACAATACAATAAATCTAGATCTTGATAAAATATTTGATAATATTTTCATAAATAATAATGCTAAGTTAAATATCTCCCTTTTATTTAAGCGCGCCACTTAAATAAAAATTTGTACGTTAATAATTCTAATTTTAAGGGTTTTTTTATCTGAAGATATATTCTGCAAAATTAATTGATTAATTTAAAGAAAAGCATGCAAAGTTATTCTAGTTATTTATAATATCCATGCGAGACAATTTGCAACAATTCATTTTCACCGTCGTTTCCAAATTTTAACACGGAATCAAAAAATTGCGGAAAAAGCAAGCACTCATAAAGCCTGTGCATTAGAGTAGTGAGCAAATTTTGCCGACAGGTGGCACGCCGGAGAGTCAGTCGAAAGGATAAGAAAACCGATTATACCGCGAGCACACAGAGTTGTACATAACTCTGTGCGCGAGCACAATTTGTTCAATTTGAATTATTCTCCTGAACGCGACAAAATTTGCTGGAAATCGCTGCTCGGTCTGGTGGTGGGGAAGCGTACGGACAGAGGGGTACGATGCGACTTGTTTGCTTGATTTGACTGCCCGCGCCGCTCAGCCAGCACATTAAATTGATTATATACTTCGCTTAATTTTGTTTTCAGTTTGCTTTGCTGCTAGAATTTGAAAACAAAATTAATTAACACTAAATTATAATTTAATGATGCTTAGAGCTAATTTTTAAATTTATTTCACGGGTTTAATTTAAAATGCGACTGTGAATGCTGGATTTGACTGCCCGCGCGCGGCTCGAGTACATAAAATATACAAACTCCGGATATCTGAATTTTTTTTTGTGTTTCTATTTGCTGCTTCAATTTAAAAATTAAATTATTTGACAACAAATTATAATTTAAAAATGCCTAGAGCTACTTTTTAAATTTATTGCCGGGTTTATTTAAAAATGCGACTGCGAATGCTGGATTTGACTGCCCGCGCGCGGCTCGACTATACATAAAATATACAAACTCCAGATATGATTTTATATTCATTTTCTATTTGCTGCTTCAATTTAAAAACTAAATTATTTAACAACAAATTATAATTTAAAAATGCTTAGAGCTACTTTTTAAATTATTCACGGGTTTAATTGTAAATGCGACTGCGATTGCTGGATTCGGCTGCCCGCGCGCGTCTCGATCGGCCCATTAAATAATACAAACTGCAATTTGCTGAGTTTTGTTTTCAGATTCTTTGTGATGCTAGAATTAACAAAATTAGAATAGTAACTAATACTTCATTAGGGATTATGACAACTGATTTTTTTTTTAAATAAACGTGTTAAATTTGATATGCGACTCCGTTCGCTGGTTTTGGCTGCACGCGCGGCTCAGCCACATTAAATGCGAAGTGTTGATTGCTGAATGTTGTTATCAGTTTCTTTTTACTGCTTGAATAAAAAAAATTAAATTAACTAATAATTCTTTATTAGCGATGCTTACAACACTAATAATTTTATTTAAATGAACGCGCTAAATTTAATAATGCGGCTACATTTGCTGGATTAGGCTATTTGGTTGACGAACAATTTTCGTAATGAGGAAAAGCCAATATCTCTTCATTTCAACAACATATTGTATAATTAAAAATAAAATCTTATTGGACTAAAAATTTGCTTTCAATTGAAGTTCCTTTTTGTTTATTCTATTAAATGAAGGTATTTAGTTAAAAAATAAACTAATTTTTCAATTCACACAATTGTTTTAATTGATGATGCAACCAAATAGCCTAATCCAGCAAACGTAGCCGCAATATTAAATTTAGCGCGTTCATTTAAATAAAATTATTAGTGTTGTAAACATCGCTAATAAAGAATTATTAGTTAATTTAATTTCTTTTTTTTCAAGCAGCAAAAAGAAACTGATAACAACATTCAGCAATCAACACTTCGCATTTAATGTGGCTGAGCCGCGCGTGCAGCCAAAACCAGCGAACGGAGTCGCATATCAAATTTAACACGTTTATTTAAAAAAAAAATCAGTTGTCATAATCCCTAATGAAGTATTAGTTACTATTCTAATTTTGTAAATTCTAGCATCACAAAGAATCTGAAAACAAAACTCAGCAAATTGCAGCTTAGTTTGTATTATTTAATGGGCCGAGCCGCGCGCGGGCAGCCGAATCCAGCATTCGCAGTCGCATTTTCAATTAAACCCGTGAAAAATTTAAAAGTAGCTTTAAGCATTTTTAAATTATAATTTGTTGTTAACTAATTTAGTTTTTAAATTGAAGCATCAAAAAGAAACTGAAAAAAAATTCAGCAATCTGCACTTTGTATTTTATGTATAGTCGAGCCGCGCGCGGGCAGTCAAATCCAGCATTCGCAGTCGCATTTTTAAATAAACCCGTGAAAAATTTAAAAGTAGCTCTGGGCATTATTAAATTATAATTTATTGTTAAATAATTCAGTTTTTAAATTGAAGCAGCAAATAGAAAATGAATATAAAATCATATCTGGAGTTTGTATATTTTATGTATAGTCGAGCCGCGCGCGGGCAGTCAAATCCAGCTTCGCAGTTGCATTTTCATATAAACCCGTGAAAAATTTAAGAAGTAGCTCTAAGCATTTATAAATTATAATTTGTTGTTAAATAATTTAGTTTTTAAATTGAAGCAGCAAATAGAAACTAAAAATAAAATTCAGATATCTGGAAGTTTGTATATTTTATGTACTCGAGCCGCGCGCGGGCAGTCAAATCCAGCATTCACAGTCGCATTTTAAATTAAACCCGTGAAATAAATTTAAAAATTAGCTCTAAGCATCATAAAATTATAATTTATTGATAATTAATTTTGTTTTCAAATTCTAGCAGCAAACCAAGCTGAAAACAAAATTAAGCAAAGTATATAATCAATTTAATGTGCTGGCTGAGCCGCGCGGGCAGTCAAATCCAGCATTCGCAGTCGCATTTTTAAATAAACCCGTGAAAAATTTAAAAGTAGGTCTAGGCATTATTAAATTATAATTTATTGTTAAATAATTCAGTTTTTAAATTGAAGCAGCAAATAGAAAATGAATATAAAATTCAGAATTCTGGAGTTTGTATATTTTATGTACTCGAGCCGCGCGCGGGCAGTCAAATCCAGCATTCGCAGTCGCATTTTTAAATAAACCCGTCAATTAATTTAAAAAGTAACTCTAAGCATTTTTAAATTATAATTTGTTGTTAAATAATTTATTTTTTAAATTGAAGCAGAAAAAAGAAACTGAAAATAAAACTCAGAAATCTGCAGTTTGGATATTTAATGTGGCCGAGCCGCGCGGGCAGCCAAATCCAGCGAACGGAGTTGCACTGTTACCCCTCTCACCGCGCACTGCCTTCCCCCACCAACACACCATTTTACATTGACTTTTTGCCGGGCAGCCAAATCCAGCAAAAGTTGTCGCGTTCGTGAGAATCGTTCGCACAATTTGTGGCTGAAGAGTGGGATAGGAGTTTCTCCTTATGTCTTATTGCGACTCTTGAAATAGCAAACAAAACTTTGAGCAAAGGCTAAACCAAGGAGGGCAAAACATTATTAAGATATAATTATAGTAGCGCCGAGGCGGCTTGTTTGATGTTTCTCGCCGGTTTTAAAGAAACAGGCAACGAAATAAGTTTTTCCGATTACATGGACGGTTGTTGCGGACTGTATAAGTAAATTAATTTCCATGAAATGCTCTAAACCAACGAGCTACATGGGTCTCTCAAGTAAGATGAGTAAATCGTCAGACTCTAAGACCGGCAGTAGCAAAACGAAGAAAGAAAAACCTGAGCTAAAGAGGCATTTCAAACTTTGTATGTTTACTTTTTTTATTTGAAAACTCTTTTCATAATTATCGCAAATTGGTAAACTTAATTTCATTGATATGATGCACCTAATTTTTTCCACTTCTTTATTTTTCAGCACATCAACTCGTCAGTCTCACAGGAATTAATTTCCAGCGGCAAAGCGTGATTGTAATTATTTGTCCTTTTGTTCGTTTTTGTCTGTAAATGATTATTTTATTTCTTGCAGGGGTACTCTGAGCTGACGATAATTCCCTTGAAGGACAACCTTCGTTACATTTTCCTCAGCGCAAAGCAAATTCGTGTTTACCGAGTTGTCCTCAATGGCAACTATGAAGTGCAGTTTCAGTATTTTGACCCCTTTCTTGAAGTCTACCCAACAGATGAAAACAACGACAAGTAAAATAAATAAATCTAATTTTTGGAAATTAAAAATACATGTATTGCTTTTTTTCTGAAGGAAATCGCTCGAGAATTTTTCGCCTGCTCACCTTAAAGCAGCGCAGGCAACGGACACGGACAGAGGCTCCGGGGAGCTATTGCTAACCTTTCCAGAGCAGTCTTGGCCACTTTTTCAAGAGGGCCGACCTCTGAAGATTGGAATTGAGTTTTCTCTTGAAGAACCAAAATCTGGGCTGCATTTTGTCATTCCAGAAGGCGAAGGAAGTTTAGCAGAGGTAAAGTACTGATGGTAATTATTTTTTCATTTAAAACCACATTTTTTGTATGTGCAGAGGGGTGCTCACATGTTCACCAATGGCTACGCCAATTCGTCTCGACTCTGGTTCCCATGTGTGGACACGTTTTCAGAGCCATGCCCATGGAGACTGGAATTCACTGTAGACGAATCTATGATTGCGGTGGCAAGTGGAGAATTAATGGAGGTCGTGTACACACCTGACATGCGGAGAAAAACTTTTTACTACTCTCTCACCACCCCAACAGCCGCCCCACACATTGGGCTGGCAGTTGGGTCAGTACTATTTAAAAAATTTAAAATGATTTTCTAATTATAAACTTCTCAGGCCATTTGAAGTTTTTGTTGACCCAACGATGCACGAGGTCACACATTTCTGCTTACCAGGACTAATGCCAATTCTGAAGTCGTCTGTAAAATACATGCATGAGTCATTTGAGTTTTACGAAGAAACCCTCTCAGCTAGGTCAGTATTTATTTGCAGGAAAAATACTGTTTATTTTAATGTTTGATATAGATACCCCTATACTTGCTACAAGCAAGTGTTCATTGACCAAGCAGTAGATGATGTTCGGCCTTATGCCACGATGGGTCTATTCAGGTAAATTTTGTTTGATAAAGTGATAACCTATGTATTGACTCAGATTGTTTTCTTTTAGCACTTACCTGCTTCATGGAGCCCCTATTGTGGATCAAGTCTACTTGACTCGCAAATCCATGGCCCAGGCCATTGCAGAGCAGTTTTTTGGCTGCTTCATCACAATGGAGCGTTGGTCAGATCTTTGGCTTTGTCACGGAATTGCAACCTACCTGACTGGTCTCTTTTCTAAAAAATGTTTTGGAGACAATGAGTACCTGGATTACATCCACTCAGTATGTTTAGTCTTGGAATTTTAGAGTGAAAAAATTTAATATATTTCATTCCATAATTATATAGGAAATGCAAGACATTGTCAAATATGAACAAGAAATGGGGGGAATCGTTCTTGATCCATCACAGGCTCCAGCACCTTTGCCAACGACTCAAGACACAGAAAACTCTCAGAGCTCTCATCATCATCATCACCATCACAAACATGGAAAGTCTCACGGTAAATTTGAGCGCTAAATGAGATTATATTGTTTTGCTTCAATGAGTCATTTATCTGATAGGGGGTCCTCAGTCAAACTCGCCTCTCTTCCAGTTCCCAATCGGAAGCTTGCACACGTTGAGTCCAAAATACTTTGAAATAATGAGAAAGAAATCCCACTTGATAATCAGAATGTTAGAGCAAAGAATCGGACATGAACTGCTTTTACAGGTAAAATTATATGGACATGTAACAAGTTCACGATTTAACCTGAGCCAAATTTTTTAGGTTTTCAACAAGCAACTAGTTTTGGCTACCACGGCCAGTCAACAAAAAATGTACAACATCTCGTCTGTGAATGCGTGGAACCATCTGACCGTCTCCACCACAGTTTTCTCCAAAGCTGTGTTCACAGTTTCTGGCAAAGACATGGAAAGTTTCATTGACACATGGGTTCGAACACAAGGACATGCACACTTTAGTCTGCAGTTTATATTTAACAGAAAAAGGTTGAATATTTGCAATAAAATTTAAATTTATCACATTTATACTTATAATCTTGCAGAAACACTGTTGAGCTTGAGTTGCGCCAAGAGAAAATTGGTCAGAAAGGAATCCGACGGTATCTGGGTCCCCTTGTAGTTGCACTCCAGGAACTTGACGGCACTTTCAAGCACACACTGCAAATTGAGGGAAATGTTGCTAGGGCAGATTTAACTTGTCACTCTAAGTCGAGGAGGAACAAGAAGAAGAAAATTCCCCTCTGCACGGGAGAAGAAGTTGACATGGACCTCAGCGCTATGGAGTAAATATAAAATAATTTATGAGAATAAGAATTCTATTTTATACTTCTTGCAGTGCTGATTCACCTGTCTTGTGGGTTAGAGTTGACCCTGAGATGACTTTGATCAGAGCGAGTAAAGTTCAGCAGCCCGATTACATGTGGCAGTACCAACTGAGGCACGAACGGGATGTCACGGCTCAGTCTGAGGCAATCATAGCTCTAGAGCAACACTCGACACCTGCCACTCGATTGGCCTTGACGGACACCATTGAGAATGAGCAAGCTTATATTAGAGTTCGGCTAAGAGCTGCTCATTGTCTTACTAAAGTAAGCTCTTTTTATTTTAATTGTTGGATTTTAGTAAGAAAAAATCACTGCAGGTCGCCAATGCTATGGTTAGTGGATGGGCAGGTCCACCAGCGATGCTTGCAATCTTTCGAAAGCTGTTTGGATCTTTTTCGTGCCCTCATGTTGTCAGGCAAAACGATTTCACCAATCTCCAGTTGTATTTCTTGCAGAAGGTGAGTCTGTTTGCTTGACGAAAAACAAAATAAAAGTAAACCATAAATTTCAGACAATTCCATTGGCAATGGCTGGTCTGCGTAATGCACATGGAATTTGCCCTCCGGAGGTGATAAGATTTTTGCTTGACCTCTTCCGCTTCAACGACAACTCGAAAAATCGATTTTCGGACAATTATTATCGAGCAGCCTTGGTCGAAGCTCTAGGAGCAACAGTCACACCTACTGTTTCCATGCTCACTGCCAAGTATGTCCATAAACGGAAATTGATTCCCATTTTTACACTAATTTTGCAGAGCTGGGGGCATCACGTCTGAAAGCTTGACAGGGGAAACAAAACTTGTGGTTGAGGAGATTACCAGGTGCCTCAATCTGGAAAAGTTGCTCCCTTGCTACAAAATGAGAGTAACTGTGGCCTGCTTAGGTGCAATAAGAAAATTGCAGAAGTTTGGCCACATTCCGAGCTCACCAGCAATTTTCCGCTCGTATGCTGCATATGGGCAGTGTCTCGGTAATTATCATTTCTATTTGTTCATCAAGGAATGCAATTTAATTAAATGCAGATGTTCGTCTTGCGGGCTTGAGTGCATTGGTTGATTACCAAAGAGCTGATGGAACATCTGAAGATTTGGACTTTCTACTGGATATTGCTGAAAGTGATCCAGAGCCTCCAATCCGACACAAAGTCGTTAGGATGCTGATTGACTCACCTCCATTTGACATTGCTGCTGGAAGTCCAGTAGATACGTCAGTTCTTGCTTCCAGGCTGTGGAACAACATCAAGTATTTCCCCCATTTTATTTATTTATTTATTTTTAATTCTCCTTGGATTTTATTTTACAGTCAAAATTTATATTACGATTCCAAACTGAGATGCGATTTTGTCGATCTTTACTATGTCCTTTACGGAATGAGGAGACCATTGTGCTACACTGAAAACTTTGCTCTAAATAAACCAGCCCTGAAAAGAGAAGTGAGCTTAATTTTCACACGGTGTAAAAAATTAATCAATTTATTTTGCCTAGGCCGATACTGAATTATTGCCTGATGGAGAAAGCAAGCGTGCTAGAATGTCTCCAATACTTTTAGAGGAAAATCAAATAGTCGAGTTGGTTACTGTAGAAATTGAGGCTAAGGTATGCAATTTTTTTTACTGTTTAGAGAACTGACAACAATAAATTATATGCGCAGGACCAGCCACCAATCCCACCACCCAAGATTGACAGTAACTACTTTTCGGACAACTCGCAGTCATTGCCAGGCATGATGGGGAGCTCTCAAGGACCAACAGGATTTTTGCCTGGGATGTTCAAGGAGGAAGGTGGAAGTGAAAAGCACACTAAAGAGGAAGGCAAACCAAGCAAGGTAAGATAATAAAAAGAATTTAGTATTTAATCTCATCTAAAATTATTCTTGCAGAGCAAGAAGAAAAAAAAGGACAAAAAGAAACACAAGCACAAGCATAAGCACCACAAGCACAAGAGCAAGGATGCCAGCCGAGAAGGGAAGCATTCGCACCCTGCGTCGCCTGCAACCCCACTCAATGCCAAGGATGAGACTTTGAGCTCTGGCAGTTCTTCACCCTCGCAGACATCTCAAGACGTCACTTTTTAAACACCAATGTGAGTGTTGCAATTTTTATTTATTCTTTATTTCCATTTTGGCCGGTTTAAATTCAGCTTACAAATCAAGGAAGAAAATCGGCACACTTTGAATCATCTCCTTGAAGGTTTCTGACTATCTCGCAAACGAGGTTCCTTCTGCATGCAACGTCACAAGTGGCAGCAAGGGACGGATCTCCAGCAGTCCAGTAAAGGCTGAAATTTTCTTTTAGCAAATGCGTTTCTTCACTTTTTTTTTTTTTTAAATTTTTACCGATAGTACAAGTCCTGCAGGTTAGCGTCATTAGCAAGTCGAGAAACAAAAGCGTCAAGGTCTTGGGGTAGCAGAGAGCTTAGCCCAAATGCATCCTTGAAGCTGTACAATTGAGTCCACGTGGGTGGGACATCGGGTCCATTCAAGTTGGCTTCAGTCAAGTTAAAAGACCAAGTTTCGTGGTCAAGTACTCTCTATAAAATTATAAATTATTAAAAAGTGAAAAAGGATTTTAGTAAATTAGGGATTTTACGTAGGAGGATCCTTGGTAGTCGCCATCAATGGTATAAATTCTGTAGTTGGGATTAACATTGCTAAAGGCGGTGCCTGAACCGCCGATGAAACCTACTCCAGTTGCCCTGGTGCGGTTATTTGGGTCGTAATAAATGTTGAAATGTTCGTTGTGAGTGTGTCCATGGAACATCGCAACAATCGTATTTTCAAATCTGTCCAGGATGCGAAGGTACTCTTTCTGCCAATTGGGCATGCAGTCTGAGCTGCTGGGGATGTGTGCCAAAACGTGCACTTTTTGATTTTGCTGCTCGGAGGCTAACAGCTCTTGGGCGAACCAGATAAGCTGACCTGCAGGGTCCTCATTTTCGTAGAGCAACCACCTAGCCAGAAATTGTTAGCCTCGCGTTGATTTTTATTTACATTTAACTTACCAGTTGTAATTGTAGCAGAAAATGTTATTCAGGCCGATGACCTTAAGTCCAGGATTGACCTGATAGGAGTAAAAACCACCTTTCAGAATGGTTTCCCTAGCGTTTGGGATCCAGGCGCTCCAAATGTATTCAGCGATGGAATACAACCAGCCAGTTGAAATGCTTGCAGGGACCTCAGGCAGGTCGGAAACAAAACTAATAAAGATGGTTAGGGCGTGTTTGAGATTATACTGGCGTCTTACTTGTGAGTGGGATGAGACTCGTGATTTCCCACGATTGGCAAGATTACAGCGTTAGGGAAATAATTCACCATTGATGTAAAGGCGTAAATGATTGAGTCGCGATTGGTACTTGTGGAAGTGGCCCACGTGCCGTGGTCAATGATGTCTCCTGTGAAAATAATGTACGCAATGTCCTAAGAGTTTTACAATCCTTAGATAAAATTTTAAGCGTTTTATTTTCAGTTTACTGTGTGAGTAGCAGCCTGCTGTAGCATATTCTCGAAGGCATGATAAGGGGTGTCGCAATCTCGATAGTCTCCCCAGTATCCTGCTGCGGCACTGGAGTTTGCCGGTGCTCCCTGATCGAACCTGCAGCAGTTAAGGTCTTCGCACTCGGCGTTGCCACCAACCAAATAATTTGGGTCTATGTGAATGTCGGTGAACTGCAGGACTTTCAGAGTCGGCGAGCTTGGCTAAATTTTCTATTTTAATTTTTTTAAACAAAATTTTCAAATTCTCACTTCTGGCAGCTGGGGAGTGTCGGGTGTAGGTTTTGGTCCTAAAAAGTTTAGATCCAAAGTCCATTCGTATTGCGGCCCTCCGACCCAACAGTCGGCGAAGTAATTAAATCCACACACATCTTGAGCCGTGATAGGGTACTGGGTGCCGTTCTTCGTTGTATATAACCAATAACCTAGATCCTTTTAATTTGAATTTTTACAATCGGAATTAATTTTTTTCTTTGCTGAAACTTACGAATCTGATTTCGGCTGTGGCACGGCACACGTTCGGGCTAGCAAAATTGGTGTCAGTGCAAAGTGTAACGTACTTATCTATGATCTGCTGGCGCGTGTCACCGGCATCAATCCACGAAAAAATTGTGTCCACCATTAAAGTGCACGTGTCACAAACTGCCTATTTTACAATCATACATAATTATATTCTTTTGTCACTTAATTTTTATTTTTTAAATGTGCGTACCTTGCTGATTTCCTTTTCGTCGAGTCCATCAAGCAGTGGCATGTCAAACGTGCTAGTGTAAGGTTTCATTGTCTTCCTCTGCCGAAATAACTCAAACGTCTTTTCCATTTCCGGCGTCATAATTTTTGAATTAAGATATTCATTTATCTTGATGGGTAAATTTTTGAAGTCGATCTGGCCGACGGCCAGAGCCACCCCGCAGGACAGCAGCAGGAGAGACGCAATCAGTAGACGCATTATTAAAACAGTGCGCTAATTGCCAAGCCGGTCTCCTGATTATATACCAACGACAGGGATTGTGATAGATAAGGTTATGAGATTCACATGTTTCAAACACGCAGTAAGATAAGAAAATCGTCGCTAATTGCGGTTACTCTTACTAAGCAAAACTCTAGAAAAGTCTTAAAATTACTAAAAAATCCAACCTTTTTTTATTGAAAAATTAATTTAATTAAAAAATCATCCAAGTTTAAAAAATATAATTGTGCTTCAACCTATTTTTCTCCCATTTCTAAAAATCAGAACAAACTGTCAAAAGATGCGATCGCCTGATCTAACAACAGTGATAAGAATCTAGGATTCTGTCAACTAATATCGCTGCATTAATCTTGAAAAAAGCTCTATTTTAAGAATATAAAATGATTTCATAAATTTCACAATGTAAGTTAAGGAATGAACGTGCAGAGTTTTACTAAGTAAAAGTATCAAAACGTCTCAAAGTGAATAATTGAAGAAATCTGTTAAATTTATAGATCCCAGTTTATTTCATAAGAAATTAAAAGAGTGCTTAAAAGACCTCGCTGACAAATGGATAAAAACAGGTAAAAATAAAAGCAAAATAGCCAAAATATTTCCTGCGCGCAGCAGATATTTTATATTTTTGGGTTTTTGTGTGTAGTATAATGTAAATGAGGGAGGAATTTAAAGCCAGTTTTAATTATCCAAAGAAATCTTTATTTTTTTAATGCACAAATAAATTAAAAGCAGAGCCACTCGGCTAAAAACCGTTTAGATTTTTTTATGTTTCAATCCGTATTGCAGCTTCTTTGTCTCGCTTCTTCCTTTTCAACGCGTTATTGGATTCAAAAGGCATAGATTTGCACTTCGCGTCATCCGTGTGTACCGTAGTCACAATGTCGCAAATTAGAGACTTCCTACACTTATCATTGCAGCCTTTCTCCAAAGACGAGTCTCCGAGTTTAACGTAGTAACTGGAATTTGTTTTGTTTAATTAACAATGATATTTTTTACTAACCATTAAAAAACAAACCCGTAATATTTGTCTTGTAAATCTTTGTCCTTGACAAGGTTGGTGACGAACGCGTCCAAATCTTTGGGGTGTAGAGATGCAAGACCGTAGGCCTCTTTAAAATTGTACAACTTTTGCCAGTTTGGGGGAACGTCCGGCCCCGCCAGATTAGCCTCTGTTAGGTTGTAGTACCAAGTTTCGTGGTCCAGTACCCTCTGTTTTTTTTTTTTTTTTTTGTGAAACTTAAGAACAATGTTTATAAAATAATCTTACAAACGTGGAGCCCTCCCTGACTCCGTCTACTGTGTAAACCCTGTAGTTGGGATTAACGTCGGTGTAGGCCGTCGCTCCACCTCCGACAAATGCGGCACTGATCGCTCGGCTTGGATTTTCCAAATCGTAGTACAAATTAAAGTGATCGTAATGAGTATGGCCATGAAATTGTGCCACCACTGTATTTTCAAATCTATCATTTAGGATATATTGATTTTTTTATTTCTACGATGTTATATATTTTATATTCACCTGTGGATCAGTTTTCTGTACTCTTTGCTCCAAACATCCCAGCAACTACTTGAGCCAGCGGGGATGTGAGCCAGAATGTGCACTTTTTTCTGTGCCTTTTCAGCCTCCAAAAGTTGCTCGGCGAGCCATTGCAGTTGTCCGGTGGGATCCTTATTATCGTAAAGCAGCCACCTAAAAACAGTTATTAAATTTTTTTTTATTCTTTAGATGTTTTTTAGGTACCAATTTAGATGATAGCAGTAGTTATTGTTGATGGCTATGACGACCAAGCCTGGTTTTATTTCGTGTGCGTAAAAACCACCCTTTCTCACGGTCTCTTTCGAAGCCTCTGTCATTTCTGGCAACCACATTTCAGCAGCTAATGCGTACACCCAGTTGGAAGAAAGCTCTTCGGGAATTTCAGGATGGAGACCTGAAAATCTGATTAAAACAATTAGTAAAATTCGCAATAAAACTGTCTCATCGTCAAGTTACACGTTAACTGGATGCGCTTCGTGGTTGCCAATTATTGGTAAAATCGGGACGCTGAAGGCCTGCTTCATTTCCTCCATCACGGTTTTTATTGTTTCTACGTTGGACTGTTTGCCGGTCGCCCAAATGAAGTGGTCAATTACGTCGCCGGTAAAAATCACGTAGTCGAGATTCTGGAAAAGTCACTCTTGACAAAATTATTTAATTTTCAGTCAAATTTTACTGTGTGTTGTTTAGCAGCGTGTTTGATGAGATCTTTGAAAGCGTGCATTGGGGTGTCGCAATTTCTGTAGTCACCCCAAAATCCCGCCGCGTCCTTGGGATCTTTTACTTCGCCTTGATCTTTTCTGCAGCACATCGGCTCGTCACATTCGGCATTCGACCCAGGGGTGTAGTGAGGGTCGACGTGCACATCTGTCAAGTGGAGCACTTTTAATGTTGGGGCGTCTTCCTTAAATTTTAACAAATTGCTAAATAAATTTCTAATTTGTCTTAAAACTAATATTTATTTTACTGGGATAGGATGCTCTTCAAGAAGTTCCGGCTTCGGCCCCGTAAATTCAAAGTCCAGCGACCAAGTGTAAAGCGGTCCTTCCAGAGGACACTGTGGGAAAAGCGCAAACCCGCAAACCGCCTCGGCTGTGATCGGATTGTCGGTGCCTTTCTTTTTGTTCACCATCCAAATGGCCATGTCCTTTTAAAAAAAATTTTATTCACCGTTTGAATAGTTTGGTTTTTCTTACCGCGTGAGCTTCGGCGATTCCCCTGCAGATATGCTCCTTCTGCAAGTTCATGGTCACGCACAAGGTGACTATCCTTTCAACCATCTCCTCCTTCGTCGCTCCCTCATTGATCCAAGTCAGGACGGTGTTGGCCGCCAGGTAGCACATTCCGCAGCTCAACTGAAATTTGAAAAATTAGCGTTTTCAACAAAAATTGGTGCAAGACGTGCGCGCACCACCAAAGGAATCAACGGGGTCATTTTTTATCTGCGGAAAGGTGCGACCTGTTTTACATATTATCGGTTGATTTGCACACGACGGCAGCGGCGAACGCCAAACTCAGGTCCGGCACCAACTAGAGCTCTACGGCCAGCTTTTTTGCACCGTTTCCTGCGCGCAGGTTGCGGTGACGCCAGTTGGCGTGGTCCCGTCTCGTTTCAAATTTATTTATTAGTTTTCAAACACGCGACGCTAGCCCAAGCATTCGAGCCGGCATGTTGATTAAACCTAATTGTTTGCGGAGATGGTCCTGAATAAATTATTATGCACAACAGCTCAAAATCCGCTGAGTGTGTGTGGCACGATAGACTAAATCATTCAACAAGGTTAAAATTCCCTTTTCGGATTGCTTTCGACGAAGTCAGTAATTCTTCAAAATTTGTCTGATGGTGAAAAAGCACGCAAGAGAATTTTGTGTATTTATGTAATTAGTAACTTTCACGGCACGTAAATCTGAGGATGAAAAACTATAAATTTTCTGTGGTACTGGCAAGCTATGTTTTTTGTTTGCTTTATTTAATCAAAATCGCTATAATTTAAAAGTTTATTAAAATAAAAATCTAAATGAAACCTTAATTATTTACTGAAATAAATTATTTTGTTTATGTGATTTGATAAATAATATTATTTGCAACAGTTTAACTTACTTACTATGCCATCTAATTCAGAGTCACTTGGTTCTGTGTTTTGTTCCACCTCGGCTCTTTGCAGTCCAGTTTTTACGCTTATAAATTTTCTAATCCGCGAATCCAACTCGTAAGCCTTAACCAAGTTGTCGTAATAGACATAATTTCTGCTGCCCGTGGCTGCACGCAAATACTTATTTTGGGCCAAACCAGAGCCCACGACATTTTGCCAAGCAAGGAAGCAGAAAATCGCACCGAAGAAAAGTGAAGCGCCCATTTCTTCAACGGTGTGTTGAGTGTCAACGGTTGCCTTTCGGTCGACCCTTTTTATGTTTGCGATTATTGTGCCCCTAATTAACGTGCGTGCTGATTACAGTGATTGCGGTAGGCGTTTCATTTTATTTTTAATTTCGCTTTTCTCTCGCAGACGAGGAAGGAAAAAATATAAAATTCTCAATGTACTCTGCAGGTGTATTTTATTGCAATTAGCGTTGACGGTAATTAAACGCTATCGCGTTTTTACTCATAATTACTGCGGCGGCCACAGTTCCTCGCACTTTCTCAAATCTCCCTCCAACGTCTCGACCATTCTGCAAACCAAGCCCCTCTGACACCCTACGTCGCAACCTCCGGCGAGACCAGGGTCAGCCATTGACACATGGAATCTGAATGCAACAAAAAAATCAAGTTATTTTAACTTATCAGTGGAATTTATGTATTCCTCAAAGCACCTGTTGTATTTTTCAATCAGGCTGGTGTCGTTTATCATTCTGTGAATAAGCTGGTCAAGCTCACTAGGTATTTGCGCCACGGTTCCGAATTCCTCATTAAAATTGTACAATTTCCTCCAATTGGGTGGAACGGCTGGTCCATTCAGATTTGCCTCGGTTAGATTGTAATACCAATTCTCGTGGTCCAACACGCGCTGTGTGAAAAATTAATGTAATTATCATGCATTATATTTTTTATGTTTTTCGTACATATTCAGTTCCGGCGTAAGTTCCTTCAATAGTATAGATTCGGTACTGCGGGTTGAGGTCACTGTACGGGGTCATGCTGCCACTGAGAAAAGCCACTCCATTCGGCCTTGAAAGGTCTTCTGGGTCGTAGTAGACGTAAAATTGATCGCTGTGGCTGTGACCGACAAAATGAGCTGTGATCGTGCTCTCAAACCTTAAAAATTTCTTACAATTAGTTATAATTTTGGCATTTATATGAAGCCAAATTTATACCTGTGGACAATCTTGTTGAACTCTTTGCCCCATGAATTGACGCAGCTTCCGCCACCGGGAGGAATGTGCGCCAAAATGTGAACCTTTCTTCCTTGCGATTCCAACAGGGTCAGTGTGTTAACCAACCACTTCAATTGATCACCAGGGTCTTCATTGTCATACAAATTCCAGCTAATTTAAACGGATTAAATTGAAATTTTATTATTAAATAAATGGCATACAAATTGTAGTTGTAGCAGAAGTTATTGTTGATGCCAATGATCCAAAGATTGTCGATGGCTTGAGTCATGTAAAATCCTCCGCTGAGAATGTCATTGTGAGTTTCCGGACGCAGCCACTGGGACCAAGAGTCTCGCATCAACTCGTACAACCAGCTTGATGATACGTTCCTTGGAATTGAGAGGTCTTGCCCTGCGAATCTGGAATTAAAATTTATTATTAATATAAAAAAAAAATTATTTATGGGTTTTTCTACTGATTTAATGGGTGTGGTCCGTGGTTGCCAAGAATAGGGAACACGGGAACGCTGAACACTCTGGACATTTCCCTAAACGCGCTGGTGAACAACTCGGTGTTGTACTCAAAAGATGTGTTCCAAACAACGTGATCAGGAACGTCTCCAGTAAAAACGACGTAACTTATGTCCTTCAAACAGATAATTTGATAAATTACCCTAACATTTTAAAAATCTCTTTACTGGGTGCGTGTCTCTGATGTGCTCGAGCATGTTAACAAACGAGTGCCAAGGCATGTCGCAATCTCTGTAGTCTCCCCAGTACCCAGCCGCCGCACTTTCGTTAGCTGGTGCGCCCTGATCAGCCCTGCAGCACGTGGGTTCGTCACATTCAGCGTTGCTTCCAGGCGCGTAATGCAAATCCAAATGCAAATCGCTTATGTGGAGCACTTTGAAAGTTGGTGAACCTTCCTAAATTATTTTCCAAAGTTTTTATTCGGTTTTATTATTTTCAGTGAAAATAATTACTGGGGGAAGTATAGGGGTCGTAACAGGTGGTTTTGGTCCTGCGATGGATATGTCCACGGTCCAATTGAACATTGGGTTGTCCAGAGGACAGTCAGGGAATAAAGCCATGCCGCAGACATCAACCGCTCGTACTTCTCGGTTAGCGTAGATAAACAGAAGTATGTCCTGCGATAATTGTTAATTATGTATCAAAAAATTATATAAATATGATTTTTTTACAATATTGCTCTCTATCAATCCCCTGCAGACGTTTTCCTTCTGGATGTTTAAGTCCAGACAAATGGTGACGGCTCGCTCGACCAATTGTTCTCTTGTTTCACCAGCTTCGATCCATCCAAGAACTTGGTTGACCAGTGTATCACACAAAAGACAAGTTATCTTCAGATGGGCATTGATATTAAATTTAATAATAAAAATATTCTTCAAATTTCTATTTTCGACTTACCGGCGCCTTTTGTTCAGGAGAAATTAATTGCAAAAACAAAGGGTCAAATTTTGGGTTGGCGCCTTTCCACGGAGTTTGCAAGCGGATGAGGTCCATTGTTTCCTGCAATCGCACACTCATCTTTCCTGATTTGTAATACTCATTGTAGTCCTGGGTGAAAGACAAAAAGTTGTCCACGATGTCGTCATCCTGAAGGGCATCGCAGGTTGCCAAAGACGCAACGAGAAACAGGAAGAATGCCCTAAGAATCATTTTTCATCAAAGGCTGTCCAAAGTTTGAAGCTTATTCTTTTTTTTCTTGACACTCTTAACTGTCACTGTGACACTTCATTAGATTATGGCCTGATTAATATTGGTACATCTTGATCTAGATGTGAAGTGTGTGTTTTGATTATTTTCACAGCAAAACAAAGTGATAAAATAGGTCGTTGCCGATAACCTTGTAATATTTCTTTATTCACTTATCGCAGAGGTAAGTTAAAATATCAATTTAAAACTAAAATAAAACAAAATGGTTTGTAAATTGCGAGTGATGAATAATTTATTTAGCAGGTGGGAATAATTCATCACATTTCCTAAGGTCATCTTGTAGCGTCTCGACAATGTTGCAAAGCAGTCGGTTTTGACATTGCTCGTCACAGCCTTCTTCTAACTTTGGGTCGGACATTGAATAATAGTATCTAAAATTTGAATAAAATTTAAAACAGCGTTTCTAGAGATAACAAGAATGATTGCCAATTTACCCATAATATTTCGTTTTGAGTGCAGTATCATTAGCCATTCTGTGCACTAAAAGGTCAAGCTCACCAGGGGTGGTCGCTTTTGTCCCATACTCCGCATTGAAGGTATATAGTTTCTGCCAGTTTGGTTTAACGTCAGGCCCAGCCATGTTTGCCTCTGTCAAATTGTAGTACCAATTTTCGTAGTCCAATATTCTCTGATTTAGGAATTTAATATTATTTAATTTCACAAATATAGTTATAATTCCCTACATAATAATCTCCAGTGCCCTCAACAGTGTAAAGACGGTAGTAGGGATTCCACTCGCTGGTGCTCCCCGGGATAAAGGAAACCCCATTAGCTCTCGAGCGGTCATCCCAGTCATAATAGATGAAGAATTCATCGTGATGACTGTGACCGTTAAATTGGGCAACCACAGTGTTCTCAAACCTTCAATTCGAATTTTTTAATATAATTATGTTGTGATATTAAGAACATTCATAAAAATCTACCTGTTCAAAATTATATTAAATTCTCTCATCCAGCTATTCACGCAATTAGCATTTCCTGATGGAATATGGGCTAAAATGTGAACTTTGTCTCCCAAGGCTTCGATTTCAGTCAATTTTGCAACAAGCCACTTAAGCTGATCTGCTGGGTCTTCGTTGTCGTACAAACTCCAACTGGCATTAAAATCCCATGAATAAGAAAATATTCAATTTGTTCCAGTTAGTTACAAATTGTAGTTGTAGCAAAATTGTTGTTGATGGCAACAATCCACAGTTTCCCCTGAACTTTTGTGGCGTAGAACCCGCCTCTGCTAATATCCTCGTAGGTCTCTGGTCCCAACCACAAACTCCAAGTGTCTCTGGCTAGCTCGTACAACCATTCAGTAGAAATATTGTATGGGATGTTTGGATCAGGCTCTACAAAACTGAAAATAATATTTTAATTTTAATTTCTTATTTGCTAATAAAATAATAATATAAAATGTTTATTTTATTTGATTACAGGTTGAGTGGATGAGGTTCGTGGTTTCCAAGAATAGGGTAAACTGGAACACCTGGAAAAACCCTGGCAATTTCGGCGTGTGACTGAGTGAAAAGCTGCGTGTTGTGCTCCACCGAGGTAAACCAAACCGTGTGGTCTGGAGTGTCTGCTGTATAAATGATGTACTGAAAGTCCTAAAAATTTCAATTTAAACATCGGTTTTTTTATAAATAAAATTTTTGGTTGCGTATAAAAGGAGTATATTTTACTGTATGCGTCGCCTTAATGTGTTCGAGCATTTCGACAAACGAGTGCCACGGCATATCGCAATCCCTGTAGTCGCCCCAGTAGCCAGCGGCAGCGCTCTCATTAGCTGGCGCACCCTGATCTGGTCTGCAGCACGTCGGTTCACCACAATCGGCGTTTCCACCTGGCGCATAGTAGATGTCCACGTGGAAGTCGCTAATGTGGAGGAACTTGAAAGTCGGTGACCCCTCCTAAGATTTAGTGTTAAAATTTATATAATTTGAAATGTTTTTTCTTCTTCTTTTACTGGAGGCAACTCAGGGTTTTCTATCGGAGGTTTTGGCCCTGCCGATGAAATATCAATGGACCATTCAAACATTGCGTTGTTCAATGGACAGTCGCCAAAAAGCAGTAGACCGCAAGCATCTTCCACAGTGACATTGCGGTTTGCATAAATGAAAAGTATAACGTCCTAAAATAAATTCCAATTTCTGAAAAAATTTAATATCTTTCATCTTACAGCGTTTGCATCAACCACTCCTCTGCAGACCTTTTCTGTCTGTATGTTAAAGGTGAGACACAAATCAACCACTTTATTGACAATTTCGTCTTTGGTGTCTCCTGCGTCAATCCAGCCAAAGACAGAACTGACAATAGTGTCACAGAGAATACACGTGAACTAATTTTCAAAATTAAAAATCAACCCCAATGGAATTTTAAGCTTAATGTATTGTCTCACGGGTGCCTTTTGGTACGATGGAAGAAGATCGAAGAGCGGTGCGTCAATTGTTGAGTACCTGGGTCCTTTCCACTTATTTGTCAGCCGCAATAGATCAAACGTTTGCTGGAGACGTTCGCTTGCTACCCCAGTTTTCCAATATTGGCCGTGATCTTCAGAAAAGTGCAACAGGTTTTCCGTAAAGTTCAAATCAGATGAAAGTTTCCCATTAGCCCCAAAGGAAAACAGGAGCAAGAAAGTTAAGAGTATTATCTTCATTGTGATGATCCTAACACTGATGTTTTTTTTCAACCAATGCCAATGAACATTATCTGGTGATTTGTTTTTATCTTTTTACGATAAATAATAGGACTTGGAAATCTTTCCATCGCCATTTATTTATTTGAAAATTTAATGTCCTAAAAAATTTGCATCGCCTGCTAGGATATTTGAATAAATTAAAAATCTTTCGAGTAAAAAGAAGATACTTAAAATATATTTTTCAGTCATGGTTACGCTACAAAATGCAAATATGTCACTTAATTTCAGTGAGAAGCAGCCAATAAATTTTAACTACCTGTCACGACTCACACAGTTTTACATTGCACTGAAATTTTTAATCAGCTATCACATCAAATAACCATCAGATTTTTCTGTATACTTGCAAGAGAGACCGTTCTGCCGATGGGCTCATTCTGGCCCTCCTCGAAGGGAAAAAGTAGTCCTGAGGTGAGGTTCAGGAAGATCAACCACTTAACAACAGGGCTCTCTGGCACAATGAAGACAGGAATGAGAAAACTGACCAAACCAGCAACAGCTCGGCCTCGTGTGAGGTCAGAATCTGGGTCTGCTGAGGCACGACAGTGAAGGAGTCCTACGGCCGTTGCCAAGAGGCCAGAGAGTAGACAGGAAACGTGGAAGAGAGTTTGCTTGGCATATTCAAAATGCAGAGCTTGGAATGCTTCTTCGAGGTACACACTGGCAGGGGCCAGAATTATCACACTGAAAAAGTATTAATTTTTTTAAATATTTTTCTTATGAAAAAATTTGAGCCTACCTAAAAAGATTGCTGTAGTAAAATTTATCTAGTGAGGAATATTTGTGCGCATCAGAAATCCTTGCGTAGAGAGATTGTGCAGTCAAGCATATGACATAAAACAGAGCCCAGTAATATGGACTGTTCGTTGGCTCCAACATTATTTCCTCCTAAAATTTAAAAATTATATCATTGTTTAATGAGACAAGTTTTTCTTTGGGCATTCAAAAAATTTACCTCCAGCTGAGTGTCTGTTAGCAAAATGAGGACTGAAGTGGCAAAAGTGACTCCTGCAGAAGCTATTTGGGCACGAGTGGCTGTCGAGTCACTTTCTTGGAGGTTGTCCAGCAGAAAGATGCAGCTAGATGGAAGGCCACTCACACTCACAAAAACAGAGATTGGCTACAAATAAATAAACTTTTGCAGAATTCTTTTAATTTTCTAATTGTCTTCTCCGTACCAGCTTCGACAGGGCCTTGGACCCCGCCACGATGGCAGACACATAGAAAATGAAGTGAGGCACCAGGAGCAGAAAATCATGCCTCTCCAGTCTTGTCACCTGCCAGACTTTATTGCTGCTGCATATTACAAAGATCTTGAGCACAATGACCCCGACCAAAGTCTGCCAGCCTTGGAAAATCGTCGGATAAGTAAAGTTGAGCACTGACAAGACATACTGAGGACAATTTATAATTATTCAATCAATTTTCAGTGAAATAAGCGGTTTAATAAGAATGGAGCAAACCTTGTTGATGAAAATGGAGAGAACGAAGACCAAAATAAACAGTGGTTGGTCAAATGACAGGTGCGAATTACTCTGTGCAAACTTTGATTTGTATTCCCGATAAAAATTGTCACCAAATTTGAACATGGCAGCTGTCTTGTTGGAATTTAGAATGCAAGCGAATTTGTCAAAATTTTAAACAAAATATTTCTAAGAGACTTATTATATGTAATTATGCCTTTTGCACAGACTTTTCAAAACTTAAATGCATGCTGCTGTCGTTGAAATATTTTTATCGGCTTGGAACGTCAGCCCTCGGTTCATGCATATTCTGCAAATCTGCACAACATGCCATGTGAAAATGTGAAAGTTAAAGTTTACGACAAAAATGTCAACACACGCATTCCAATTACGGTTATTTCATTGAGAAACATACCGGTTATGGTATTAAAATCTTTTGATTTAATTAATATATTCATTAAAATGCGCGTAAAAGTTAGAATTATAATAAATTTGTTATTATTTATTTTATTATTTCGTTTTAATTCACATTTTCTGAAAATATTTTACAAGTTACGTAAAATAATTTAAAATTAATTAACCGGTTAGGGCAGAAAATACGATTAATCGCTTAAATTTTGTTGTGCCACTCCTCCAACGCAGCCGGCTGAAAAGTGAAAAACAAGCGAGCGTGAAGCCAGGTTCACAGGTTCAAACGGTTATACCGGCAGGGGGCGGGGATATCGGTAACCGGTTGTTTGTGGAGCGGGGTGGCGCGACGTATTTTTATAATTTGAATCCAAAAGCACACGCGAATGACACCCGAGCTGGAATTTATAGTTCACTGCGTACTACCTTTTCCGCGTCTCAGGAACTAGTATTTTTATGCATGCATATTTAATAAAATTAAAAAATATATGTCATATTTCATCACCTTCTTAAATTTAAATTTAGAAATAATATTATATAATTATCAGCAGAATATTTTTACGAACATGGTCAAAATAAAATAAGTGAATTAAACCCAAATAAAATAAGAATATTACGGGCATTCATTTTAATTAGGCTGTGGTGTATTGTATGAGATCAAAGTATAAAAATGTTTTGGTTTAACACAAACGCGGAAGGTAAAATTTTTATAATTTTATTGAGTTGATATTTTTATAATTATAATTTTTTTTTAATATTTGGATTACGGTCATATTTAGCACAGATGATTATTTAAAAGAGCCTTATTGATTCCTTCTTTTACTTGTTTAAGTCTCAAATTTTTTCCACTGTTCTGAACAAATTTATACATATTTTTTTTTTTTAAATTTTACAAGCTATGTATTCATAAAAGAGATATTTGCCTAATAGCTTCCTTGTTATCTTTTATATTTAATCAAATGTTGATACCAATTTTTTGAGATTGAAAAATCTTTTATATATTTCAAAAATTTAATTATTCGGATCAATAGGACCAAAGTTACGATTTTTTGAGTTTTCGTTTTTACAGAAACTTGAACAGCGCAATAACGCCGATGTCTCTCTTGTGTGAGACGACCGCGGCTTTTTAGTCCAAAAATTTTTGGGGCGGGTCGCGGAGTTTTTATTAATTATCTCGCCTGCTAATGAAGTAAAAATTGAGAAAATTCACAACTAAGCTCAAATACATCTATTGTTTTTTTATTGTGAGAATTCAGATTCTGAAACAGCTATTCAAAATTATTACAGTGTTTTTTCCACTTCAACTTTGACTGCAGCACATAGATTTCAAGTAAAAAACACAAATAAATTATGATTAGTTGCTTAAAGACTTGGCTCAAAACACTTGAAGCGTTCTTGTCAATGGCGTTAATAGAATAATTTAAATTTAATTCAACCTTCTTAAAAATGTGATGTTCATACTAAACTGCCGAGCGCAAATACTTTGCTCCCACTGGTCCGAATCGCATAATTCTAACGATGGTTGATTCAAAATTTTAAGCTCCAGAGCAAGAAGGTATTGTTAAAGCTCTAAGTGCCCTAGGTCACCCGCTGCCCTCTTGACCTCTGGTTTTTAATTTCAAATTAACTTTCATCAAAATTTGACAATTTTAATGCTGATTTCAACAAACCTAATATTGGCCGTATCAAAAATTGTGCACCCACATAATTATATTTTGTAAAATTAATAAATAATTTAGGAGAATAAGTTAGGAGCGCATTCTCATGCTATTTGTATATACGCTTTGTGAGATTTTCAACATTTTTAAGTCTCCTTGGATCACCTGTTTTTTGTGTTCTCTATTGTTATTGACGATTGCCTATACCTGACATGCTTCCTTCTCTTCTTCCACCCCCACAAAAATCTCCAAAGCAGGCAGCAGCAAGCGACCGATCTGTTTAGTTAGTGAGGCCGCGGCCATCCTCTGATAAACAAGTATGATTCTCGCCACTCGTCTTGTGTCGCGGTCGATCGTGACAAAAATATTTAAATAATTAAAAAAGTGAGTGTAAATATAAGGAATTTATAATAATTATAACGTGTTTAAATTTTCCAAACTTTATTTGAAATAAATATGAGAATAAAATATATATAATTTTAATTTTAACAAATAATTATTGATAAAAGCTGTTAAAATTAGTTAAAATTGGAAAATAAATATAGTTGAGATTTATGAATTTTTTTTACAATTAGCTTCTTGAACTTATGCGTGTTATCATCGCGGATCGCGAGTTGACCCAACCACGATGCACCGGGCACCCATAAATAAATAATTATTTTACTATTTTTAGCTTCTTTAATCTTTATATTGATAAAAGTTTGGGAATAAAGATTTTCGCTTCAACTATGCAATTTAACGACCGCGCAGAGTGCAGAGCTATAGTATTCATTGGATTAAAAAAATGATTTCAGATTAAGATTGCATTATGCTTTCCGCAATTGCAATGGGCTTTTTTTCATGTTTGTATTTTGAAAAATTTAAATTACTAAATACTAAATTATGAGAATAATTAATCGTAATTAATAATGCTTTTTGAAAAGAATGCAGTCGCAAAAAGGCCAAAATGGGGCAATTGCCCCTTTTAAAAGGTCGATAATTAAATAATTTGACAATATGAATCATCTATTGATATATTGAATGATATAATATGATATTAATGATATACGCGATCGAGCGATCTAATCCTTGCAGCCTAGCGGACAGCGGGCTCCACTGCCTGCGGCCTGCGGTACTTTTGCTTTTGTTAAAAAAAAAAAACAATTGACGATCGGCCGATAACCGGTTGTTGTTACGATCTCTGAACCTCAGAAGCTCTGAACCTGGCTTCCCGGGCCTGAAAAACAAAACAAAACTCAAATTGTTTCATGCCTTCTGTGGTTTTCAGCTGCTAAAATTTTTCTTGATGAGAAACCCTTGTAAAATTGTGGTAAGTTGCAATTGAGCACTATAAAATTAACAATTTTGTTTTTGCCTGCTGCTCCTGGGCGCTGCTCTGCGGGTTGCACGATACGATCTTGTAAAAATTTAGAAATTTTTTAATCATAAATTTTTTTTATTATTGTACGTTGACCATTAGAAAATTAACATTAAACTTTTGAAACTCTCTGCAGTTGGTCCTAGTAACTGAGCTGTCTTAATAATTTATTTATGATCATCCTATATTTTTCTTCCAGACTTGAGGAAGAAGTTAGTACATAAATTCATCGACCGGGCAGCCCAAATCACAATGCGATTGGGTTGCCGAGTTGGGTACTGTGCGAAGGTATAATGTCGGCCTCGACCAGCAGGAAACGCAAAAACCAGCCGGTGGAGAAGCCTAGCGGGCCCCGACCTAGTGTCTTTGATCGTTTAGGTACAAAAGCCAATCCACAACAACCAGAACCGAGAGCAAATTTCTGCCATCATTGGAGAAATACAGGCAACTGCCCATTTGGTGCATCCTGCAAGTGAGAATCATCATAATATAATTCACGGTTATTTGAGCCTAATTATCCTCAACTTTTTTCAGAAATGCCGCCTTCCACGCATTGATAAGCCCATCAAAACGTGCCAAGGGTAGTGATAAGGATCAACACAACAAAGAAGTCGCAAACCGAAAGGAAGTAGGTGGTCGAAACAAAAAAGGGAAAGGCAAGGGTGATAATTGGGCTGAACTTGACGAAGGTGAACTAGAGCGCCGAAGAGTTCAGTTGCAAAAAGAGCTCGACCTGCAGAATAGGCAGGAAATGAACAAGAAGAAACCCGTCAAAAAGGTTACAAAATTTTTACTTTTCATTAATTTTTTTGCCTCAATCTTAATATTATAGCAGAAAAGATCAAGTTCATCTAGCAGTACCACTTCTACTCGCTCTTCGTCAAACACGAGCAAAAACTCTTCAGTTAAAAGCTCCCAGCCCTTGAAGCGCAGACCACGTAATCGCAAGAGGAAAGGGAAGAAATTGGGGATAACGAAACAACTCAAGGAAGCTGGTAAAAAAATTTAAAAAAAGTTTATTTAGACCTTTAATTTATTTTCTGTTTATAAAGAAACAAAAAGGATGAGGGACAATCCAAAAGATGTGAAGAAACGGTCCAGTTCATCTGGTCGGCAAGAGCAGAGGTCCAGGTCAAAACTCGGGACCGGATCTAGTTCAGGCCCGAGAAAGAGGAAGAATTCCTCATCTTCTGATAATACTAGTGCTGAAAGGAAGAGGCAACAGAGCAAATCCACTTCCCATCAAAGGTGCGAATGACTTGATTTTGAGTCCCAATATATCACCATTTTTTTTATTATTGATTAGCAATGTGTTTAATTTTTTGCTAGGTTAAAGTAAATATTTATAGTTCAATGAGAATATCCTACATAAACTAGAGCCAAAAATCAATAAAATGCAAATTTTAGTAGCTACGTCTCTAAAATATTAATTTAGTTTTATATATTGTGTAAGCTTATGATGTTATTATATAAACCATAAACAAACATTATTTCAGCAAACCAAAAGGCAGAAGCCCTTCTCCAGACAAAAAGAAGAAACAACCTCCTTTGTCGTACGACAAAAAACTTTCTCCTAGAAGGAGAGATCAACCAGATGGCCGCAGAAGTTCACCTTCAAGAAGCAACGTCAGGAAGCGTTCTGCGAGTCCGTTGGCTGCTAGGCCTAGGAGGAGAACTCCAAGCCCAAGAGGAAAAAGTAGCAAAAAACATGATTCGCCACCTTTAAACAGACATCTCCCGTCTCCTGAACGGAAGGAGAGCAGACGAGGCCAGACGCCTCCATCTCCACACGATCGACACCAAAGAGTTGGACGTGGCTCAAGACGTAACAGCCCTGAATCTCACAGAAGCCAGCAAAAGTAATATTTTGAGTAAAATGGAAATTAAAATAACAATGTTTTTTGCAGTCGGGATTCTCGAAATCGTCCTCAGGGGCGCAGTCCTGAACGAAGACCACGAGCACCTTCAAGAGAGCCACGTGAGTTGAATGAAAAGAGGGACTATCAACGTCAGGACTACAACAGTCCCGTTCCAGCTCGAGGTCATGGTAGAAATTCGCCTGAAAACTCAGGTCGAGACAGACGTGATGAGCCTTCTAGGGACAAAAATCGGCCCAAGGTCAGGATTAAAAAAAAAAAAAAAATTGATTACTAAATTTTTTACTCAGGATAACGATCGAGACAAAAGACGAGACGACAAGTCTCGAGATAGGGGACGAGGTCGAGAGGAGGAATTGCCTTCATTAATGACAATCATGACGCAGCATCCGCCACAGTATTCCCCTCGAAGAGGCAGGGAAGAGCCTCATGAGCACCGAAGTTCTACTAGAGGTTTGTTAAATGGTTTTTTAAAAGAACATGAAGCTAATTTTTTTACTCAGAAAGGGGAAGATATGACCGATATGATGACAGGGGAGAGCCACCTGCCCACTCGGATGATCATCAACGCAGTTCAAAGCGACCTCCTCGAAGGTGGGCCTAGTTTAAAAATAAATATTTTCATTATAAATAGCATTTACTCTTCTAGGGAGAGTCCTTCTAGGCAGAGAGCACAGAAGAGCGGACGAGATCATGATCACCCTGAGCAGCGTGACAAAGATTGGGATAGAAGGGTCAAGGGTGGTAGTTCAAGTCATCGAGACTGGGATGAACAAAAGCAGGGCCGAATTAGTAAAGGGCACAGACGAGGCCATAGCTCTCCGAGTGCAATCAGCCCCAGAGGAAAAGATCAAGAGTGAGTTTTTTTACTCATAAAAAATTGAAAAAATTATGGCATTTTGTTTTCTTTTGTATTTACTAGGAATGACAAAAAGGACACAGTGACCGACACCAAACTTGATGAATTGGATGATGATAAGAATAAACAGGATAATCAGGTATATTCTTCTGGCTATGTATTGTTACAAATTAGAGCTGGAATTGTGTTTAGCTTATTGACGAGGACACTGTAGAGCCACCCAGTAAGCGCGTCTGTCACGAGGGAGATGTTCAGGACTCTGGAGGTGCTTTTGAACGTGCTGAATCTGATTTCAGTGACTTCAGCGACGATGCTGATGACATTTTAAATGCTGTAAGTGCATTTCATTATTTCTTTTGTCAAAGTTAATTTTTTTTAAAGGATGTGGTTGAGGATGAGACAGTTGACCAAATGGAAACCGAGGAAAAAATCGATGGTGTTCTTGGAGCTGATGCTGGAAAAGAGGAAGATGAGCCAGTTGAAGATATCTTAGATGACATGGACTTTGAGGAAATATCTGATGGTGAGCTTGACGCAGAAGACATCAAAGCTGGTATTTGTGCACTGTAATTTTCTTTTTATATCAACTAAGTAAGTAAATTCCGTGACTAACAGGTGCTGATGCATTGAGTGTTGACTGGGCTGCTTTGTTGAATCAAACTCGTGATGTGAAACGTGAAGAATCGGAGTCGATCATAAATAGGTGGGATGTATCTAATGCTTTGGCAAGGATTGGCGTTCCTCAATCATTGAAGGGATCTTTTGACTTAAAGAAGCTAGGATTAGAGCCACCGAGTAAATTAAGGAAAAAATTTAAAACATAAATTATTAAAATTTTTACTAGCTAAGAGAAGTGAGACAAAAATTGAGGACAACAAGGTCAGGATGGCGTTCTTGTTTGATAAAGAAAACAAGCTGCAGGATGAAGTACCAGGTGTCCATGCTGCCATCATCATGAAGAAGGAGGAGATTGCTAATATTTTAAATCCAAAGCATCATAGAGGCATTGATTTTGCTTACGGTGAACAGCTGAGGTATGCCATTTTTTTTTTAATTTTAAATATTATTCCTTAATTTGTGTCTTTTAGGAAAATTTGTCCCTTCAAGATAGAAAAATCAACTGGTATTGGAGACGAAGAGGGTACTTCTAAAATATCTGCAAACTTAAAGCAGCTTGCCCACGATTTGCTGAGGGGAACATGCGATTTAAAGGAAGTTCACAGCAGATTAAACGAAGATGCTGAAACTATGAAGGTTGAAGCTTAATGTAGAGCTGAAGTGGCATATCAAATAAATGAAATGCAACTAGCAAAGTATCAAGTATTAATTAGCATAACGCAAAATGCTCAGAAAGTTTTTAAAATTCAAACTACATTTATTTCATTTTGGAACAAAGAACGACATTTTACATTCAAATTGCTGCAGTCTACTATAAAACCTACCAACGCTAAATAGTTAATTCCAAGAGGTGACAGAATTGTTCTATAATATGGCGCACAACTCATTTCAGACAAAGCCATTGCTCTTGGTTAATTTTAATCTAATTAAAATGGGCGTGCATTGACGAGTATCACAACTGCAGGAGTTGCTTGCCAAATTGAATGGCGCACATAAATCCCAGAAAAAAATTTAAAATAACTTTTGATTAAGATTGCACACTAAGAGACAATAACAATAGGATACAATTTTTTTCAAATTTATTAACTAAATGCACCAAATCTAGCAAGGATGTCATTTACAAACTGCACAGCCAAAAGTGGACAAAGCTTCATTTCATCATAGCTTTAACACAAACTACATACTTCATTGGTTCAATGTACACTTTGACGAATGTTGCACAGTCAAATATCGGCAGGGCTAACAGTAGTTTTGTGGTAACACAAAATGGTTTTTTGTTTCGGCAAAACAAAGCAGATCTGGCAAAGTCATGATTCTTGGTTTGTTCATATAATGACTGACGAGAAATATTTTCAGGGTTTAAGCTGGAGTAAAATGGAGTTTAGTAATTTTCATGATTACAGTAGTCACTGCTGATTGTGAGAAGAATGCAAATGAAACGTAATAATGCATAGTTGAAACTGATATGGCTGATATTAATCTTTCATTAAGCGTAATAGGAATGACTTGTATTTTTATTAATAAAAAAATTAAAAGATTTTCCTCTCACAACTCGCAAAGTTGTTCTTTTTTCATGGCACGGATAATCGTGAAATACAGGGTCTTTCATCCCAGTACTTAATGTTTCATGAAAATGTATTGTATTGCAATTCACTCCTGCATTGCTTTGTACTGCAACTATAAATACAAACTTTGGTACATTTGCAAACAAGAGCCAGATTTTGAGAGCTTAGTTTTCCTCAGATTCCGAGTGAACTAATCTTCTTCTCATGCCAAGCGGGACAGTCTTCTCATGGCCTTCGTCATCAGATGGAGATGCAACGCTTTTAACTGGGGATGAGTCTCTGGATTTTTCTCCTTGATTCTATAAAGAGAGTTCGAGTTCACTCCTTCAATATGATAAATATATTTCCAAACTTTACCTGATAGTAACGATGCCACAAAACACAGCCTGTGACCACAAATATGGAGCAAAATAGTTGAGCCAACAGCCACACAATGATGTTCCAGGCTTGGGTTCTACCGAACAGTTCTCCACCATTTTTTATGCACAGCACCGCTTCAAGGAACATAATGGCTCCGTAAACCCAGCATTGGGTGCCAACTCTTTTGCACTGAGTGTCGGTGACGTAGCTGTAGTATTGCCTAATTTAAAAAAAAAAAATTAACTGAGAATTGAAAATATTTTAAAATTTATGAATTTACTTTACTGAAGGAGCAACAATTACGCCAACTAAACCAAGTCGACCAATAACCATAGGGTGAGCAGGAGGCATCTCAAATATGTGTTTGAGGAAGAAAGTGTTTAGCTCAGACACCTGCCAGAAAATCACAAGCTGGCAGACGGCAAAGAAGCGCATGTATGTGCAGTTGGGGTCCAGCCAGCGCATGTGGGTCCAATTTTCAGGCGTGAACTGAAGGACTGCACGCTTAATCTTGCCAGAAGTTGAATGAATATCCCTTTGTGAAGGATGATTTTATTAATTTTAAAAATGTAAGGAACACAAAGGACTAAACTACCTGATTGAGACCCATTTGTACTCTCGCATCTCTAGGATGGAGCAGAATTTGAGGCCGCACCAAATTCCAAGTCCGTTGCACACAAGCACGTCCAAGATTAATGCGTCCCACCAGCATTCTTTGAAGTTTGGCAGCAGGTGGGCAAATTGAACCTTAAAATAGAATGGAGGGATTCAGACACAACCGGTGTGTGTTTATACAAGTCATAACACACCTCGGTAAACTCCCACATGAAACTAATGGCCCAGAGAATGCCGAAATGACGGATAAGAATAGCCTTCAAGAGCCAGCCAAGAAAGTGGGCCACAGCAAACACATCAAGGTGGTTCCAGATCTTCTCCCAGTTTACATCCGAGCAGTTCACACCATATTCCTGGATCATAAGGTATTATTATTTTATTTATTCATCATATATTGGATATTTATACCTTTTCTTGGTCAATGTGGAAGTTTTCCAGGCCAGGGTCTAGCCAATGAAAGATGGCCATGACTGACTCGTATCGCTGGAACAGCAGGAAGAGAAGAGTGCAGAGGTACAGGACGCTGGCACCAAACACCATTCGCCAAATGGCAGGGTGAGGTCGAGTAAAGGGCCCATTAGGGAAAGCCAGCACCGATATGATGAGGAAGAAGAAGAAGACGCAACAAATGCCGGCCCAAATGTTGTCCTGGATGTCACCTTCATTCCTGTTAAAAATACAATATTTAAAATTAAGCAATCGGCTTTCAGAGTTTAGTGTGATTATGCTTGAAATTCAAAATTCTATTTAAATTATTATGTCCTTTAAATTTCTTCTTAAAAGGACTCATTCTTTATTGGAATGAAGTCAAATACAACAATAGCAGAAAAATACAATCTAAATTTTACAAATTACTGGAAGACAAAATTAAATTTTAAAAACGAATGGGGTAAAGGCTTTAATTAAATATGCCAATAATGATTCCTGAAAGCCAGAGGAAGAGAAATGTTCAAAAATGCACATCTGTATTATTTATTTTACTGAAAATTTAGAAAATTATAATAGCAACATTCAACAATTGCCATTTTCTTTGTTTTAAAAATCAAAAGACTTAATAAAAGACACAGAAGTCATGTTACATCATTTCAGTTTTGAAATATCCAAAATATTATCATAGATGTATCTTAGTTGTTTTGAAGGATAAAATGAAAATAAAAATTAAATCAAAGTCAAATAAAAATATATTTAAAAATTAAAAATTATGATTTTAAAAATATTTGCTCACTAAAAAAAACTGCGATTAAAAAAGCTTAAGAAAGTTGCAAAAAAGCATAGCTGTGGAAAATTCTTTGATAATTAACTCTGTTGATTGGTCTTTTAACAGACCGGCCGTAGCAGACCAAAAATTTTATATTCAACAAAAGATTTTCAGCTGATAATTGATAACCCTTGATTGTATTTCATGTGATTGAGTCACGAAGCCAAGGGTCAACCGGAATAGTTAATTTTCTTTCAAGGACGCAGAGCTTGCATAATTTTATATATGGGGTGATAATACATATTGATAGGTCAGATACCAGTTATATACATATATATGCATACTTAATTTGATTATCATGGGGCCAAAAGCCAAAAATATATATCTATAATTCGCGCATGCATGTATTGAAGTACACAAAATTTTCTCTTAGAAAGGGGGATGGAAGGTTTATCTTTGGGTAATTTTTGTTATAAATGGTTAATACCGTGTAAAAGCAGTGTATATGACGGCGAATATTGAGACTAGAAATAAGGTGATGGTATGCGGCTTGTAGAAGAATTCCAGCGTGATGTCGTCCACACCGCGTTCGTTGATTTCAGAAAAGACGGATTTCTGTTTCCTTGGCAAGATGTGAAACAAACTCTCACTCTGCAACTTTGTCCTTAACGCCTCCCCCTCACTAGCCATTGTATAGCTGCCTGACCGCTCGAGAACCAGTGGAAAATGAGCAGATTTCGGACGGCGAACGCACTAGTGGTGCCCGACACAACAAAGTCAGGCCCGGGAAGCCAGGTTCAGAGCTTCTGAGGTTCAGAGATCGTAACAACAACCGGTTATCGGCCGATCGTCAATTGTTTTTTTTTTAACAAAATTACCGCAGGCCGCAGGCAGTAGAGTCCGCTGTCCGCTGGCTGCAAGGATGAGATCGCTCGATCGCGTATATATATCATTAATATCATATTATATCATTCAATATATCAATAGATGATTTATTGTCAAATTATTTATTTATCGACCTTTTAAAAGGAGCAATTGCCCCATTTTGGCCTTTTTGCGACTGCATTATTCTTTTCAAGTGCATTATTAATTACGATTAATTATTCTCATAATTTAGTATTTAGTAATTTAAATTTTTCAAAATTCAAACATGAAAAAAAGCCCATTGCAATTGCGGAAAGCATAATGCAATCTTAATCTGAAATCATTTTTAAATCCAATTAATCCTATAGCTCTGCACTCTGCGCGGTTGTTAAATTGCATAGTTGAAGCAAAAATCTTTATTCCCAAACTTTTATCAATATAAAGAAGCTAAAAATATTAAAATAATTATTTATTAATGGGTGCCCGGTGCATCGTGGTTAGGGCAACTCGCGATCCGCGATGATAACACGCATAAGTTCAAGAAGCTAAAATTGTAAAAAAAATTCATAAATCTCAACTATATTTATTTTCCAATTTTAACTAATTTCATCAGCTTTTATCAATAATTATTTGTTAAAATTAAAATCATTAATAGAGAATAAAAATTATATATATTTTATTCTCATATTTATTTCAAATAAATTTTGGAAAATTTAAACACGTTATAATTATTATAAATTCCTTATATTTACACTCACTTTTTTAATTATTAAAATATTTTTGTCACGATCGACCGCGACACAAGACGAGTGGCGAGAATCATACTTGTTTATCAGAGGATGGCCGCGGCCTCACTAAACAGATTGGTCGCTGCTGCCTGCTGGCTGCTTTGGAGATTTTTGTGGGGGTGGAAGAAGAGAGGGAAGCATGTCAGGTATAGGCAATCGTCAATAACAATAGAGAACACAAAAAACAGGTGATCCAAGGAGACTTAAAAATGTTGAAAATCTCACAAAGCGTATATACAAATAGCATGAGAATGCGCTCCTAACTTATTCTCCTAAATTATTTACTAATTTTACAAAATATAATTATGTGGGTGCAAAATTTTTGACACGGCCAATATTAGGTTCGTTGAAATCAGCATTAAAATTGTCAAATTTTGATGAAAGTTAATTTGAAATTAAAAACCAGAGGTCAAGAGGGCAGCGGGTGACCTAGGGCACTTAGAGCTTTAACAATACCTTCTTGCTCTGGAGCTTAAAATTTTGAATCAACCATCATTAGAATTATGCGATTCGGACCAGTGGGAGCAAAGTATTTGCGCTCGGCAGTTTAGTATGAACATCACATTTTTAAGAAGGTTGAATTAAATTTAAATTATTCTATTGATGCCATTGACAAGAACGCTTCAAGTGTTTTGAGCCAAGTCTTTAAGCAACTAATCATAATTAATTTGTGTTTTTTACTTGAAATCTATGTGCTGCAGTCAAAGTTGAAGTGGAAAAAACACTGTAATAATTTTGCATAGATGTTTCAGAATCTGAATTCTCACAATAAAAAAACAATAGATGTATTTGAGCTTAGTTGTGAATTTTCTCAATTTTTACTTCATTAGCAGGCGAGATAATTAATAAAAACTCTGCGACCCGCCTCAAAAATTTTTGGACTAAAAAGCCGCGGTCGTCTCACACAAGAGAGACATCGGCGTCATTGCGCTGTTCAAGTTTATGTAAAAACGAAAACTCAAAAAATCGTAACTTTGGTCCTAATGATCCGAATAATTAAATTTTTGAAAAATATAAAAGATTTTTCAATCTCAAAAAAATGGTATAAACATTTGATTAAATATAAAAGATAACAAGCAAGCTATTAGGCAAATATCTCTTTTATGAATACACATAGCTTGTAAAATTTAAAAAAAATATATATATAAATTTGTTCAGAACAGTGGAAAAAATTTTTATACTTTGATCTCATACAATGCACCACAGCCTAATGAAAATGAATGCCTGTAATATTCTTACCATGTTCATAAAAATATTCTGCTGATAATTATATAATATTATGTATTTCTAAATTTAAGAAGGTGAAGAAATATGACATATATTTTTAAATGTATTAAATATGGATGCATAAAAATATTAAAAATACTTGTTCCTAAGACGCGGAAAAGATAGTACGCAGTGAACTATAAATTCCAGCTTGAGTGTCATTTGCGTGTGCTTTTGGATTCAAATTATAAAAATACGTCGCGCCACCCCGCTCCACAAACAACCGGCTACCGATATCCCCGCCCCCTGCCGGTATAACCGTTTGAACCTGTGAACCTGGCTTCACGCTCGCACAAAGTCGCGAAAAAATCAATTTTTTATGATCAGCTGCGGTTGTTCAGGCTGACAACATTACAAAATAAAAGGTAAATTAAGTGAATTAAAAAAGATGACAACTCTTTTACTTGCATCAACAATACATATATTTTAATTTCATGAAAATGAATTAATATGCTATTTTTATGAAAAATCTTTTAATTTAGTATAACTTTTTAAAAAGCCAAAGAATATCTTTTCTCACAAGTTGGCAACGCAAAGTCATAGTTGCCTCACCCCCACTCCTAGATTTTTGACGACGATTCGACGTGTTATGGCCGTCGTCAGCGGTGTTTCGTGTTTTGCTTGACATTTCCGACCAAATTTCAGTGACTGTTGCGAGTTTCCGGAGGATTTCTCCTTCACACATGAACTTGTCTTGATTTAAAAATAGAACTTGTCAACATGGGGTGTTATGCGACCGTATTTATTTTTCTTTTTGCGACCAATGTTCCTGCTTGGGCGTTTTATCTTCCCGGTCTGGCTCCAGTAAATTTCTGCAAAGAAGGCGAAGGAAATCGTGATACATGCAAGGTATAACCATTTATTCAAGACGTGGACCATACGCACAAGTTCGGTTTCATTGTGTTATTTTATTGGCAAAAATTACTTTTCGCTCAAACCGCTTCAATAATACTCGTCAATGACGTGGAGTTGGCGTGCATTGTGCATACGAAAGCACGGAGGGTTTAATGTCAACATGGTTTTCTGATAAAATGCCAACAAAAATTTTTATCAGTGAATATATTCCTGTTTTTATTTTTACAGCTCTGTTTGCGTGGAACTTAAAAAATATTTATAAAATACTAAATTTTAATTAAAGTCTGTGCTACAATTAATTATATATACCAATTAATTCAAAAAGTTTTTGCTGTAAAATTACATCTTCATTTTATTATTTATAAAGTTGACGTTATTTAATGGAATAAACTAATTATAATATGTATCATCTACAGCGTAAAAAAATTTTAATATAAAATATACAATTTAAATTATTGAAATAATATAACATTATTTTTTCTAGTCTGATGTTGCTTTGTACGTCAACCGACTGAACTCTGAAGATTCCGTTCTTCCCTACGAGTATCACCAGTAAATCCTTTTCATTAAAAAAAAAAAAATATGAAAAAAATACTTATTCTTTACTAAATTCTAGCTTCGACTTTTGCCTAACTGACGAGACGAATTCTCCAGTGGAAAATCTTGGTCAGGTGGTATTTGGAGAGAGAATCAGACCCTCCCCCTACAAGGTGAAATATATAAACAAGTGGAAAAATATTTCGATTTTTTAACTCTGTAATGCTTTAGATCAAATTCTTGGAGCCGCAAACATGCACAGTTTTGTGCACCAAGCAGTACAAAGGAGGCGAACCAGAGTCACTGAGGAACCTGCAGCATCTGAAGAAGGGCATTAGTCTCAACTATCAACATCACTGGATAGTTGGTGCGAGATTGCAGGATTTTTACATTAACTTTTTCTTATTTCCATGCCTTTATTGTTTAGACAACATGCCTGTTACCTGGTGTTATCAGATGACTGATGGCCAGCAGCATTGCTCGACTGGCTTCCCTATGGGCTGCTACAGTCATGACGTGACAAAAGATAACTGCCAAATTGGAGTGAGTGTTCCAAGTTTGTAAAGTTTTTCTTTGGGCAGAACCGCTGGGGGAAATTTTATCACACTTCCTGTATATCAAGCAGGAAAGTTAACTCTTTATTTTGTTTTACAGAAAGTATGGCTGTGGTTTATTTGGAAAATTTAAGAATATTTTATTTTTATAATTTTTCTTGAAGATAATTTTCCCTAATCATATTAATTTGTTCAGGGTGCTAAGCAAAATGTCTACTACGCCTACAATCATGTCGACATTGTCATCACCTATCATAGCGGAAAGCAAGAGGACTGGGGAAGCGGTTTGGGCAGCAAAGGAGGAAGGATCATTTGTAAGATTTAACCCATTTATGTGTTTCATATTTTTTACTCTAAAATTTCAGCTGTCAAAGTTTCACCTCGCAGCATCTTGCACGAAGACCCAACAAAGCCTGACTGCAGCAGTACAAAGCCGATGGAAATTTACGGAAAGGAACTTGCCAATGGTGAAAAGCTGTCCATCACGTACTCATACTCGGTCAAGTTTATCGTAAGTCAATTTAATAGTTCATTGAGGAAAGATTGACAAATTGTGCCGTTTTTAGGAAAACAACAGCATCAAATGGTCATCTCGATGGGATTACATCCTTGAGTCGATGCCGCACTCAAACATCCAGTGGTTCTCAATCTTGAACTCACTAGTGATTGTTCTCTTCCTATCTGGAATGGTGGCAATGATCCTCCTGAGAACCCTGCACAAGGACATTGCCAGGTACAACCAGATCGACTCCGGAGAAGATGCACAAGAAGAGTTTGGTTGGAAATTAGTGCACGGAGACGTGTTCCGTCCTCCTCGAAAGGGAATGCTCCTCTCTGTTCTGCTCGGCTCTGGCATCCAGGTGTTGTGCATGACCCTGGTAACTCTGGCGTTTGCTTGCCTGGGCTTTTTGTCCCCAGCCAATCGAGGCGCCCTGATGACCTGTGCCATGGTCCTCTACGCCTGCCTTGGCACTCCAGCTGGTTACATTTCTGCACGCGTTTACAAAAGTTTTGGTGGGGAAAAGTGGAAGCTGAATGTCCTCCTGACTTCAATGCTGTCCCCTGGGTAAGATGAGTCTCAATTTAAACTACATAATTTTACTATTTATTTTCGAGGAAATCTTGTCTCTGATGGTGTTTAAATAACTGATGCCAATTATTTTCATTTCAGTGTTGTATTCTCGCTCTTCTTTGTCCTCAACCTGGTGTTGTGGGGCGAGGGAAGTTCGGCTGCCGTACCATTCACCACTCTGATTGCCATTTTGGCTCTCTGGTTTGGCGTTTCGGTTCCCCTGACCTTTGTTGGAGCTTTCCTTGGATTCAGAAAAAGGGTAAAAATTTGCTTTTGATTAAATGGTGTTTTTTTTTACATAAATTTTTTTCCATAGCCACTTGAGCACCCTGTCAGGACAAACCAGATTCCTCGCCAGATTCCGGAACAGTCCGTTTACACACAACCCATTCCTGGAGTTATCATGGGTGGCGTACTTCCTTTTGGCTGCATTTTCATCCAGCTTTTCTTCATTCTCAACTCGATCTGGTCCAGCCAGATGTACTACATGTTTGGATTCCTCTTCTTGGTCTTTGTGATCCTTGTCATCACCTGCTCAGAGACGACCATTCTCCTTTGCTACTTCCATCTTTGTGCTGAGGCAAGTGACCTTTTTTAGGAGTTTTGTAATAACTTAAAATGTTTTGTGCAGGACTATCACTGGTGGTGGCGCAGTTTCTTAACAAGTGGCTTCACAGCATTTTATTTGTTCATCTATTGCGTCCACTATTTTGTCACAAAGTTGAACATAGAGGACACAGCATCAACCTTCCTTTATTTTGGATACACACTGATCATGGTTTTCCTCTTCTTCCTCTTGACAGGTATATATTAAAATTTTATCATAATTTGGTAATCCTTACAAGTTGTTTTTCAGGCACCATTGGCTTCTTTGCCTGCTTCTGGTTCGTGCGCAAAATCTACAGTGTTGTCAAGGTTGATTAAAAATACGGCGGATGAGTGTTTTTGTTGTTGAAGCACAATGATTTTGTTTATTTAGCCAGTAACTTTTGAAAGATTGATGTCCTCAGACACTCTGTGCTTTTGACACTCCTCTGTAGGACCGAATTTCAAGCATCCTGCCGTTATTTGAATTAAATACTTTCATCACTGTTTTATGAAAACACTGTTCTCTTACAACTGGTATTTAATTCTATCTTCTTGTAAATAAGAAGGAAGTGTGCATGATGATCTTGTGATTTATCCAGAAGGCATAGTCTTTTAATTTAAGCAGCAATCAAAGCATTATGTAGTTTGGGAAAAAAATTATTTTGGTAACAACTGTCCCTCAAATTAATGCTTGATAATGATCACAAAATTTGGAGTCCTGACATTTCCCAATTTTTGTAAATAAAATAACTGTAATTGGGCTAAATTACCTCAGGTTTACAGCCTATAGTTGGAGATAACGTTAGTTTCTTTTCTAAATGCAGCTGTAAAGGGTTGCAATTTTAGTACTTGGAGAATTTTAATTTATTTGATGGACTTAAAGATCAGCCAATCTAGCAAAATGAATGCTGCAATATAATATCCTTTCCATTTCTACTGCTATGCAAATAATTGCAGCAAGGTGATAAATCGTTAAAATTAGGAGTGAGAAAAGAATAATTTTATTTTTAGCCATTATAATATGTTTCTTGTTTCAAAGAGGAGCTTTTGAACTTGCGTTGAATGCACTGATGTGAAGTATTTAATTAATAATGATTTGCATTAACTATTTCTGGAGCAAATGTACAGAAAATCTTGCTGTAACAGTAAACTGAAGTTTTAAATAAATAATTATTGGTAAAAACTGTTCACTTTTAATAATTATTTCCAATGAATGCTGAAAAAATTCAAGAAACAATTAATATTTGTTGATTTTTCATACCATTCTTGAACAAGAAAGGAATACTTTCACTATAGAATTTAAATTTATTGTGTTTGATTCTCGTCGTTGAAGATAGGGGAATATTTTTACTCCAATGCGGGGCAGAAACATAAAGTTTGCCCGTAAGGTTGCTATGGAAACAGATCAAGTGTTTACATTGGTTGTAATAAAAAAATCAGCCAGCAACTAATGTTCATGTCCAATTGCTACTAAAATTGAGTGTTCACTGATTATATCAGCTAAATCGGTGTTAGGTAAGATTTTTGTCACATTGTTATCAACACTGAATTTTTTAAATGGTGTTTGGGCTAAGCGTGACTACAAGATACGTCAAATTTTTCCATCTAAAATTTGTCTTAATATCTATCATATTATATATATGATTGATTTCTTTTTATTATGTGTGTTATTATTTATTATTATTTTTTAATTAACGTAGCTAGGTCGTACACGCCTAGAGGTTTCATCAGTTTTGTAATATTACTAAGGTTTATGGGGTTTATTGATTGCAAGAAGAATTATAGAGTAAATTATAATTTATGTAGTTGAGTTTTGATTTTAATTAAAAATAGTTAATATATTAAATTAATATTTTCCATAAATAAATAAATATATACACCAAAATGAATTTTATAATTTTAGAGTCACTTTCAAAAATGTCTAATTAATTATAAGTCTTAAAATATTTTTTCAAATACATTTTATAGAAATTTCTGATGAAAGGCAGCAACTATGCAGACAGGCTCACTTCTATGGTATTCCCAAAGATTCCAAGAGATTTCTCCTACAAGAAAATACCGTCAGCAAAAAGAGCGTAAAAAATCCTCTGCCACGATGTACCAAAATTGGACGAACGCTGCAATTTTATTATGCTGTTTGTTGTCATCGCTAGTTTATCTTTCTGAGGCTGGGATCGCGTGTTTGAGTAACCCCTGCATTTATGGGTTGTGCATGGACGATGTGAACAGGTAAAAAGAACCAAACTCGATATTCGTATTAATTCATTATTAATCAAATTTACTCACTTTATTTTTAGCATTTTTTATGCATATTAAATGATATGAGCAATTGCAAATTCCTAAGAAGCTTTATCCCCTCGCGCTATCAGTTTTTGAAAAATTCAGAAAATATTCAGGCTCTACAACACTAATAAGAAATCATTTTATTTTTATGAATAGTTTTTAAGTATATTGTTTGACAATTTTATTTATGATTAAATTTTTGACATTAATTTAGTATTTTTCAATACATAAATATAAGCAGACGTAAAGGTTATGACACTAAAATAATAAAATTATTTATTGATTCTGTTGGCAGCCTTACAAAAACAACAGTTTTTCAAAACATTTTAGACCGTCTAGCTAAAGACGCTCGTTGTAAACACTTTGCAGTTTGCACTTAATTCTCAGAGTTATTTAGTCAAATTCAGAATTAATTTTGAAATGTATGCAAATGCAGCTCATACTCTTGTTACTGTGCCGATGGCTACACCGGGACAAATTGCCAAACTGAATGGGACGAATGCTGGTCGCAGCCCTGCCTCAACGGAGGCGATTGCTTCGACTTGGTTGCCAACTACAATTGCTCTTGTCCAGAAGGATTTTCAGGTGATAAAATTTTGCCCGAATTTTAACGACGTACATTATATCAAAACTCTAAATAATTTATTTTCTTATAGGTTTGTCATGTGAAATTGACCGAGATGAGTGTCTTTCTGAGCCATGTCAAAATAATGGCACATGTGTGGACGGAAGCAATGGTTTCAGGTGCGACTGTCTTCCCGGATATACTGGTAGATGATTTATAAAATAAAATAAGGAGTTAATAAAAAATATATCATTAATGTACTTTTTCTCGTAGGTTCTGTCTGCGAATGGGATATTTCCGTTTGCAACGAGACCGGCACGGAGAGGTGTTTGAATGGTGGTGCCTGCGTCGAGGGACCAGGAGAGCGTTTCTGGTGCATCTGCGCTCCTGGATGGGGTGGTGCGATCTGCGAAGAGGCTCTTGATCCTTGTCTCATTCTCCAGCCTTGCATGCATGGCGGGCTTTGCCTTCCGAGGGGCTCTGAATTCATCTGCGCCTGTCCGTTTGGTTCGATGAATTTTGACCTTAAACAGAGATATGAAACATTAAACAATTTTAAATATTCAAGGCTTCTCCGGTGAGCGATGTGAGCTGGAGCTGTCACTGTGTAAAGAAAACACTTGCCTGAATGGAGCAATATGTATCGAGGAGGGAGGCACAAGTGTTTGCTACTGTGTGCCGGATTTTCATGGAGACCTTTGCCAATATCAGTATGACGAGTGCCTTTTACCACCAACACCAAGGTGATTAATTTAAAAATGATTATTGTGAAATAAAAAAATATGTGAAATTTTAATTCCAGCTGCAAAAATGGTGGCACATGCGTAGACGGTGTTGATGGATTTTCTTGTTCCTGCCCTTCTGATGTGACCGGGAAGTATTGTGAGTGTCCAATTGGACAAGACTGCACCAACCTCACCTACTTTCCTAGTTTACCCACTACAGAGTCTCACTCAGATGAGTTATCAACAACCAAGTTAACCAGCACCTTGGGAGAGGGAACGACTTCTCCGAAATCAACAATACTAACCTCGACTCATGACACGATCAGCGAATTTTTCACCAGCCATACTGCCAAATCTACAAGAACCTCAACAAAATTTTTATCAAGTACAACAGATAGTAATCGTGAAGAGACTCTTGATGAAGAAACAATAGACGCTGGCAGTACAAGTTCAGTTTCACAAATTTTCCTTACCACAGAGGTCACAGTGTCGTTGCCAGTAGATCTGATGCCAAAATTCTCATCTCCGTCAACATTCTCAGACTCTTACATTAAATTTTCTGATGAAACACAGTCTGGATTCTTATTGACGACTGAACTGGATGTTGATTCCCTTCCTTCAAAAGATGAAAACTTGGTGTCTATGGGGACAACAGAAATTTGGGATTATTCTAAATTTACTGAGATCGAAGATGCATCGAAGGCTAAAGATTTGCCATCATCAACTGAATCAGTGAACAATGAAGTCAATGCAACTGTTGGTCTCAATACTCCACTAGAAGACCGACAGGTACAATCATCAACCCTAGAAATAAACGTGGATGCCGTTACCACAGAAGGAGTTGCACCTTTATCGTCTCCTATGTCGGAACCATCATTGCCAACTTTTTTTACAAATATCAACAATATGGAAGAAACATCAAGTGAAATATCTCTTCTCCCAGGAGCTACTATAGCTGCTGATGACCGTGACAAGACTAATTTGACTGAAATGCAAGTCACGTCTATGGAGCCGTCGGACTCCTCTGTATCTGGAATTATGACCAGTTCAATTGATAACTTTGAAAAGAATAATTTTGTAACATCTTATGTCAGCTCAAGCAGTTTGAGCATTCAGGATTCAATCACTGAACTGAGTGCTCCAGACGTTTTAAGCACAAGTGCGCAGGAAACTAGTGCATCCTTCTCATTGACAAGTGTGTCCAGCACTGGTGGATTCAACGAACTTAGCAATACCTCTGATTCGGCACTAATCAGTACCATCAACGAGAGAGAATTTTCAACGTTGACTGATTCTTCAATCAGAGAAATATATACAGAGCCATCAAGTTCTCCAGCAATAATCTCCCGGACAACTCCAGAAACAACACACTCAAATTCTAGTAAACCAGCTATACCTTCAAAAACATCCCCCTTGCCAACGAGTGTTTCGGTGTCTGAAAATTTTACCGACGATGGAATTTTAGATTTCCACGAAACTCAAAGTTTCCCTTGGACTACAAGTGCAGTAGATTCTTCAGAAGTTCCTGATTATGGCCCTCCTACTTCAGATTATGGAGATGCAACAGAAGCGGAGCTTAAAAAGTGCAAAACTGAATCTCCTTGTTTGAACGGCGGAGTTTGCTACTCAGTTGGCACAAATATTCAGGTAAGATGGTGCAGTTTAAAAAAAAAAATGATTAAATCGTCTCATTGAAATAATTTTTTAGTGTCGTTGTCCATTCCAATTTACCGGCCTATTTTGTGACGTTCCAACCAATTATTCAGAAGTTTCTCTTCTTCCAACATCTTGGCTTCTATTTAGAGTTGTCTCTGGTGTGAATAGAAAGAGCAGTGAATTTTCTCACTCTTTTGAGGCAACTGTTCGAATCGTGTCAGAAGAAGGAGTGGTGTTTACGCTTGCAGAGGCTGATGAAGGGTATTATTTAAATGTTTGTTTTTAAATTTCAACTAACTGTTTTTAATTGATTAAAAGGCCAATGTCAAATTACTTCATGCAAATGTCAATTTATCGTGGAAGGCTTCAGCTGCAGTTTTCATGCGGACTCCAGTCTGTAAAATTCTCCGAATCCAAGCTACGAGTTGACACTGGCAAGCCAACCAAAATTCATGCAAGGTATGGTTTGCTCAAATCATCTTTGGCCCTCAAATTATTTTTAAAATCTTTAAAGTTTGTCAATGTGGGTTTTAAACAACATTACGAGAACCGGTCGATGCAGAGCCGAGTTAAAACTCAACCACTCTTTGGCTGTCTCTGGTGAACAGACTCGGCCATACATGAGCAAGAAGAAAGATACAGCCCTGGCGCACCTTGTTTTTGGTTCCTGGCCAAGGGTAGAAACTTCTAAGCATTCCGAAGAGGATGAAATCTATAGCGAGCGCATTTCAACTTCACCTGGAGTGGTTGCTTGCTTGTCGGACGTTAAAGTATGTTTCTATCATTGTTTGTTTAAACAAAAAATACCATTCAGCTTTCATCAGGTGAATGAGAAATCTAAAATATTGTTGGCTGATGTTACTACTGGTTCAAATGATGTATCAGAGTGTGTACAACTAGCTTGTCTATCCAACCCTTGTCAATATGGAGGAACATGTGAAGAGACACCCTCAAACAGCTGGACCTGTCGCTGCCCTAGCGGGTATGTAGAAAAAACTATGATTCTTAATTTTTTTGTAACATGACCAATTAACAGGCGCCTAGGACCAAGATGTGAAACTTCTGTGTGTGAAAACAGTCCATGTCAAGCAGGTGGCACTTGTTTGATGCACCCCGGAACTAATTTTGTTTGTCTCTGTCCAATGGGGAGAGAAGGCGTTTTTTGTGAAAATGGTTTGAGATTTTTTAAATAATTGTCCTTTGTTTCTTCATACGGATTTGTACAGAGCACTTGATCACAAAGCCATGCTTCTTCCCTACTTTTGTGGACATAAACCCTTTCATGGCAGTGCCCTTGCTGCCCAGGCATGAAAGTTTTAAGCAGGCAGTCGAGATGAGTGTTCGCTTTACTCCAATGCGGACTCACCAAGTGGCCCTGCTGGCCTACATTGGTCATGGTCCTAAAGACCACATGGCATTAGGATATGTTCATGGTCGGATTATTTTGACTTGGGATCTTGGATCAGGTTATTATTTTTATTAAATTTTTTCTCCAAATAATTCTTTCATTTTTACAGGCCCCAGAAGAATTTTCACTGCCAAAGAGTTCCCATCTGGTTCGGAGTACGAGGTTAGATTTGGTCGAAGTGGAAAAGAAGGATGGCTTAGTGTGAAGGGAGACAACATGACCCACAGTGGCTATTCCATTGGAAAAATGATTCAGCTGAATACTAGGCCATTTGCTTATTTTGGTAATTTATATCTGCTTGCATTATGCATTGAAATAATTGAAAATACTTTTTAGGGGGATTTGACGATGGAAATACTTCTATTCTGCCACATGATTTGCCAAAGCACTCGGGCTTTGAAGGCTGCTTATCCCATATCGAAATTAAAACTGCTCAGTCACAAGTTACAAAATACTTTCCTCCAGGATCCCCCAACAGTCCAGTTAAAGGCCGATCAGTCATGCAGCAAGATTACAATCCTTGCACTAAAAACCCATGTCGTCAAGGTGGAATTTGTTTACCTCACGGACCTTCATTCACGTAAATATACCCATTTGTCCTAAAAGTCAGAGTAAGTTATAAGTTTCTCATCTCAGATGCCTGTGTGCTCAAGGATGGTTTGGGCCCCTTTGTGCAGAGCCACGGAATCCATGTGACACACAGAGAAATATGTGTGCAGAAGGAAGCACTTGCGTGCCTTTACAATTTGGATATGAGTGTGATTGTCCCTTGGGAAAAACTGGTCGTTTCTGCAATTCAAGTACTAACTCATTTTTTTTTAAAAGGCTCATTAATTATTTTCGCTCATTTAAATTTTGCAGTTGAGTCTCGGAATTCCGTTGTTTGGCCAGAACTATATTTCACTGGAAAAAGGTCGTTTTTGGAAATACCAAGAAGCATGCCTCTCTATTCCGATCCTGGTTTGATGGAACACTCATGTGTGGAGTTTGAAATGAAACCACAAGCTTGGACTGGACCTCCAGCTGCCCAAGTATTGTTTTTCTCGCAAGACCCAGATACGGGAGATTTCATGACTTTGCTGCTCACAGCGGATCGGGTTTTGGAACTTATCATAGGGACAGGTTTGATAAAAAGATGCCTTTCTGAATTTCTTTTTTAAAATTGTTTCTTTTTCTAAAGGTGATGAAGCCCCCATGATTTTGAGTAGCCCTCGAAGTATTTCTATCAGAGCAGGAGTTTGGATGAAAGTGCGAGCTGGCCGAGTTGGAAGGAGAGTTTTTCTCAGTGTGGCTGGCAGATCTGTCTCTAATTGGCTTTTGCCAGGGCAATCGTCAAATTGGAATGGAGGACACGCTACGTTGTATATAGGTATGTTGAGTTTAAAATTCAAAATCATCTTGTTAAATTTGTTGCGCTATTTAGGTGGAGCGTCAGATATGAGTTTAGTCGCACCTGTGACATGGTTATTGATTCGTCCATACAGTGGTTGTCTAAGGAAACTTCATGTTGATTGGCGGAAGGTAATTGTCCACCTTGGCAGAGCTCGGCTTAACCTACGTGGAGTGAGAACTGTGGGGAATGAACCTCATAAATTTAGACATCAGGTTGCTCAGCTTTCACCCGAGTATATTCGACAAGTAAATTTCTTAACTCGTATAGTTGGCTGGTATAACTGTTAGTGAATGCTTTAATATATTTTAGGTGCAACTGACTAAAAACAGCTTTGTGCCAAACCTTGGTGATGAAATTATCTCTTTACTTGGAGGAAAAATTATGGCTTCTTATGTAGCAAAAGGTAACACAAATATTCATATCTCTCAGTTGGGAATTTAAAATAAAAATTAGTAGTGAATATGGATTTCACTCCAGAATCCAACACAAAGAAAGGCATCCAACTGCACAGCTTAAGAAAAAGTGATTTCAATCGGAATACTAACATCAGGAGAGCGAAAGACTTCAACATGTCTTCCCTTTCCTCCAACAAAACTGCGAATGAAGAGATTGACGATCTTAATGACATTGAGTCTTCCACTCAAGAAACCGAAATCACTCTCAATTTAGACAACATAACCCCACCTGGGATCATGACTAAGAATTTACGCACCCGTGATGCTTTATTTGTTATGGGAGCCCGAAACGTACGACCTTGCGACAAGTCCGCTCTTGCATTGTTGCAACTCGACCCGTGTACGGAAAGTCAGTCTGAACTTAATTGCTTGAGTCAGCCTTTGAAAGCTAAATGTTAGTTGAATTGAATAAAATATTTTGTATTGCTTGAATTTTAAAATTTGTAGCTTCCGCATCTATGCCAGAATTTCGAGGAAATGGGTATATCACTTTTGAAGCACCCCTGTTAATGTCTGATGATACGGAAGTGTCACCTGTGAGATATTTGAATGTGGAGTTTTCAACAAAAAGCAACAAAGGGTTGATCGTGTGGATTGATGAGGTAAAAAATAATAATACAATCAAACTTTTTTTCAAATCCATCAGTATTTTAGAAATCAGATGTAAATGCCTTTGTGGGTCTTGGACTAATTGATGGAAGGTTGCAAGTTGTTTGGGGAAATGAAAAAAATTCATCTACCACAGCTATAATATCCGGATTGATAAACAACGGTCTGTTTCACAGGTAAAGAGATTGTTTGACTGAAGTATATTTGAATTGTCTAAATTATGTATATATGTAATAATTTCAATGAAGGGTTACCATTCTGTGGGACTCTGCTGAAAAGTCGGTTGTTTGGCTGGACGGAGAGATGGGGGATCTTGAATCTGATTGGAAGAGACAGAAAAGACAGTTTTCAAACAAAGTTAAAACAACACTGACATTTATAGTTGGTAAATATAACAATTCAACCTTAAGAGGTAAAAATGAACGATTATTTTTCAGGTGGATTTCCAAATAACCATCCGACAGCCAACTCCATTGCCAGATTTTTTGATTCAACTTTCCAAGGTTGTGTGTCAGAGTTAGGGTGGAATGACGAGACTGCTCAGCTATCCGAGTATGCCACCTACCACCACAATAATGTGTTTTCGTGCAATTCTTCATAATGTAAGTTTGATTTTTTTTAAATTTTATATTGAAGAAACATAACAAAAAATAGGACAATTGTGAAGTTTTTCGCTAGCGTAACTAGTACTTGTCTGCAAAAAACAAAGCTGTACAAATAAGCTAAAACGACATTACTCTGGCATAGGTATTAATAACTAATTTTGCTGTTGAGACGGAAAATTTTATAGACAGTTGATAGCACAGCCATTTAAGTGATAATAATTTGTTATGTTTAAAAATATCTGTTCCATCGTTTAGAAACCATAGAGATGTTTAGATTAACTGGTATACTATATTGAAATCTGCGGTGTTAATCTTTCAAATAATAATTTACCGATCTTGTCAAAACGTTTGTACCGTAAAACAATACTTGTTTTAATTATTAATTCCAATTTTAACATGAATTTTTAAATAAGGGTGATCATAAATATTATAAATATTTTTATTGTTAAGCCGGCAGGGAAAATACATAGTGATACTATATTTAATTAATTTTATGGAACACTTATAAATTGTTTCGTTTTTGAAATCCGTCATTAATTTTTATTACATTCAATAGACATTTGATAGATTAAATCACATTCAAGTTAAAGATCAGTCCTTTCGTTCACATCGGCGAGACTAAATGTCGGCTGCTCTAAATCTTCCAACTCCACCAGCACAAGATTTGAATCATGTGCGACATCATCTTCGACAGTGTATACGAGCTTGACAAATCTGCTCTGGGCCTCCACCAAAACCAGCGGCACCACCACCCAGCAAAGCAGCTTCTCCACCAAACAGCCAAGTGCGTTAAAGTACAGGGTGTGCAAAATGAGATCGTGTGCGAAGAATAAGCTCAGGAAAGTGGTATTGGACATCCAAAAAGGCAGATGCGTCAGCGCGGTGGAAAATTGCAGCCAGCACAACATTCTGAAGAGCCTCCATGCCTGCAACAGCTTTTTTCTATAGCAGGCTACACGTATGAAGACCAGGAACACTAGCGACGTCACAAGAGGAATGTGGTCAATGCAAATGAAGCGGTAGTCCAGCAATAATTGTTGCTCGTCTCGGACGCAGAGATCAATGCCGTGCGATTCAACAAAAATGAGAGGCAAAAATGTCTCGACGATCAAAGTGGCGGTTGCGATGAGGATCATGCACGGCGAGACGTATGGAAACTTTCTGTGTGGAGTCATAATTATGAATAAGAAAAGACATGTCATCCACGAGCAGCTTAAAAGGTTCAAGTTCCTGAAGAACCACAAAATCCTGCAAGTGCTCACAGGACTGTGCTTGAGGATAAGGGTCAGCGCCGTCTGGTCAAAAAGAGCATAAATGATGTTGAGGAAGCACCAAAGGATGGCTGTTTTGTGCGTTTCGGTGGCCGCGTTCTTCGTCTGCATGTTGCACAGCCGGCAGATGCTCACAAGACAGGTCAGCATCCCACATGTCATCACCAGAGGTTCGCCAACCACCTGGATAGTGCTCAGCGCCTCCAATTCAGGCATTACAGGGCTGGTCCCTTCGTCGACACTAATCCATTTACGCTGCACCTGCAAAGAGGTTGAATTATTTCAGAGGCAAAAAATTTAAATTTTTTTGTAATATTTCTCAATAATATAATATTTTTTTTTAACAAGGAGGATATTTGCAAGCGTATTATCTGGTGGCCTGCGCTTGTGACATTGTTATCTGGTTGGGGGCAGGAAAGGATAAGCGATAAAAGACAGAACCCGAATTGCCTGCTAGGGACTTTGGACTGTTCAAGTATTTGGAAACTTCCAATGACAATCTCAAAAATTTCAATCCAAGCAAATTGTGCTTTAAAATATTACTATACTTTCCATACGGTTCGGGCGTGGACTTTGCAAATTCATTAATTTTCCTATTAGGTAAGGGCGATTTGTCCTTGCCTATGGGAAAAAGTAATTAGTTATTACCCTGTACTCCGGTTTGACGGGATTTTGTGCTGGAAAAAGGGGTCCTTCTGGGCCTTTTTGTACTTTTACATTTTGCTCCTCGTCGCACTTGTTACACTTTTGCTCCAGCTGAAAGCCATCAAGGCCAGTGCGCATGGCTCAGGGGTTCGGAAACCATGGCAACTCAAGTGGCTGCTGGTATACGCTTAATACGCTGGCCGAGTTGTTGCTGAGGAAATGATAATTGACAGCTTTCCGAGTGTGAAATTGTGTTGCGAGGCAGCTCAAAAAGGCACCCAGTCTTAGCCGACAAAATCAGAGGGGGCTTCGCGAGACATTTATTTATTATTCTATTAATTTTTAGAGCAATAGTTTATATATTTATTTTGGGACATTATTTATATAATAAATAATATGTTTAAACAGGAATACACTGTTATTTTGTCTGTGGAAATAACACTTAGCAAAAAAATTTGCTTTGCCGCTTATCACCGATCACAAGTTTTTTTTTAGGGCCAGTCCTTTGGCTCTTCTTGCACCCCATGCAACTCGGCCACGCTAACTGTTGGCTCCAAAGGGTTGAGGTGGACGGAGAGGTCCGAGTAGCGGAGGGCGTATTGGCGCAAAGTGAGCGGCACCAGAACCCCAATGTGCAAAAAGACAAAGGCCTCGACCACCAGAAAGGCCAAGGTTGTGTCGCTGAAAGCGTCATTGGCTTTGGTCAAGTAAAACAGGTCGACCCAGTGCGGCAGCCAACACAAACACTGAAAGTGAATGGACGGATGACATTTAAATAAGTAAAAAATATGCCAATATTTTATAGCACAATATTGATTCCTTTTGTAATTCAGTATATTCATTTACCTGCGACAAAAACAAGCTGCGAACAATTTTGTAACCGAAGCTCCACTCTGCGGTCTTGTTCTGTTGCAACTGGTAACTGAACACCAAGAAGCAAAACGCAACGACGACTGGCGTGTTGAAATACAATATGAAACTGAGCACGTTGGTCCAGTAGAATTCATCCTTGCTTGCGGCGTGAGCACAGCTGCTGACGGTCAGATTTAGCGCGCCGACACTGCAAACATGAATAATAATTAATGAAAGCAAATGAAGTCGCTCTTGATCGTGATCACGCTTAAAATCAGCATTCAAATTTAATCCACTCACTCGTTAGTCGTTTCCAAGTTTCCGTACATGTAAAACATGTAGACTAGGGGAGATGCAGTAAGGGTTGCCAAGATCCACGTAATCGTGCCCCTGAGGGGCAGCAGGCGGCTAAAACTGACCACTGAGGCCACCACGAACCATGGGTTGATGCAGACGGGCAACATCGAGAAACTTTTGTACAGTTTGCATGCAAAGCCGCCTAGGGACCACTCCTCGGAGTGAGACTCGTACAGAAAAAGGCTCTCGACTACCAAGATTGACAGGAAATTGCATGAGCACCATAGCATGGCAAGGCCCCTAGTTGAAAATAACATTTTTATTATTTAATTTAATCAAAAAAGGTAGATTTTGCCTCCACAAAGCCGAAAGATTTCTGCCTAGACGCATTTAAAAACAATTACTCCGCGCAATTTAATTTCAAATTCTTTGATGAAAATAAAAAAAAAACGTTATGCAACCCCCACGCTATCCATGTCAAGCGAGTTGCCTACACATCTCACCTGCAAGAATTCCTGCAAACAAATACACATGCGTCACGGCGAAGTTTCAGCTTTGCGAGGCCACTTTGGTATGCGTGCAGCAAATATTTGCACGGTGTCCACCTACGCGACCATATCACTTTCCGTGATATGCGAGGCTGCAATAATATTCTATTGTGCTATTAAGGGTTGTTTGCAAACCTGATTGGCAGGTGATATGCGTTTTGCAGCGTCCTAATTGCGTAAATATTCATCGGACACCCAATAAATATACTGAGGAAAGGAAGATTTTGATAGAGGAAAGTCAACACCGGAGAATACTCTGGGTGCAAAATTGGATACTCTTGCTCAGGCATATCCATGTTGATCGAAGCTGCAAAATTTACAAATTATTGGGTAAGATGTTTAACAAAAATGTTTTAACAATAATTTACTTCAATTAATTAGATAAAAATGAATTCAATTAAAGCCTCTTACCTTTTGACCTAGATAAACCAGAACCTAATTAATTGGCGCCTCTATTAAATGTTCAGTCGGAATGCTTGAAGAGATCACATCTCTTGTCATCGAACAACAATCCGAGCCAACTCTTCGAAAGACTGCCAACCAGCTGACTGTCAGACTGACCAGTTAGGCCGGAACCAAAAGCGGGGGTATCAAAAACTGGTGGACCACGCACACTCGAAAAGATATTTGGCCGAAATGCGGGCTGTGAATTGGAGCGAGCCCCTTGCAGCACATTTCATCTGTGTTACTTGGTTGGGTGTCGTGTCGGGGTTCCCCTCTGCTCATCCTGTTTGCTCCCATAATAGATCAAGAACACAAAGGGACGACTATAATTAGGATTTTTATCAAGCCCGCGCTCGCTGTCATTACGCGCAGCGGCTCCTCAAGTGCTGTATGGGGTGTTTATTTTGCCGGTGATTTATATCCTCAAACCTTGTCAAACAAAAAGTAATAATTTTCACGTGCACCATATCCACACACCATTATTTTATCAATCGACTTTGGAATTGCTCCTCATCAGCCTGCTAAATGAACAGATCTCGCCGTCTGCTCGCCGTCAAAACAAAGTCTACTAGATCTAGGCCGGGCAGTGAATTTTGTTATTTACTGAATCATATTATTTAAATAAAAAGAAAGATTTCAAACAGCTACAAATGAAAAATTATAGTGTGTTGAACTTTTAAGACTATGTATTATTTTTACAATACATATATTTTTTATTTCATAAAATTATCTTTGCGGTTAAAAATATAAAAATGAAAGTTCAGCGACATCAGTCAATTTCCAGCTGGCGCAAATTCTTTTCACTAAATAATTTCGTGCGTCCAAATTGAAAAAAGATGAGTGGGACTGCAATTCCTGAGTGAAAATCCAATATTAAGGCAGCAAACAGAAATGCATTGATTGGCATCACAGGCTTTAGCTCCATCAAATCAAGTTGGGTTACCCAATGAGGGGTGAAGAATATAATCTGAAAATAATAATTAATTAAAAAATTTTCAGATTTAAATTCTTCTAAATTGAAACTTTTAAATAAATTTAATTAACCAATCGTTAATACATATAATAATATAATGTTTGAGAAAAACATTAAAAAGTATTAAAAAAAAATTTATTGCATATTTAAGAAGGATAAAAAAAGCAAATACAAAATAAAAAAATAAAATTTATATTCCTTTTTTTGCATTTTAAATTTTGAAAAATTTTAAAATTACCAAATAAAAGTATTTATAATGTATTATTACTTTTACTACTTTGTATTTTCATACTAGAGTAAAAAAAGAGTCCGCATCTCCAAAAAGAGGTAAAAAAAAAAAAATAAATAAATAAACACAATTGATATTAAATCCTCTGCATTTTTGATTATTTGAATGATTTAAAATCTTCTTCTAAAAGTATTTATAATTTATTATAACTTTTTACTATTTTATATTTAAATTACCAAAGTTAAAACGAGACCAGCAACGCATCTCCGACCGTTGATTTGTGGCTTATGCGTGGCCACAATAAGAAGGCAGGCGGCTGTGGCTGCGGGCGTGAAAAATGAGGATAAGAAAAGCGCCAATGTGGTCCACACAATGTCCTGCGTCCCTAGTGGAAGGAAGCACCTGCTCGAATCCTCAGTCTCCAAATGAGCCGTGGTGCAAAAAACAAGCACCATTGGCAAGGCCAAGAGAATGGTGCAGAGGCCGACGGCCACTTTGTGCAGGGGGCGGCTTCTCAAGATCAACATTAGCGAGGCAAAGGCCGTGAGCCAGGGTGACGTCCACTGCTGTAAAATTGCTACAGACATATAGGTGCGACAAAGAAAATCTCCGGCCGGCCAGTGGCCGCCGTGCATGGTGGCCACCAGGAGAGGTGTTTTCAGCAGGGCGAGCAGGTTGCATACTCCCCAGGCTTGGATTAGGCGACGATGGTTTTTTGGGTTGAGGCGAATAAGAGCGACGTTCAGGATTGCACCTGTGATCATGTTGACCACCAAAAAGACTTCAATCACCAAAACAAAGCTTGAGGGTGCATATCCTACTGCTGCCATTTCAAATGACCTGCAGAAAAATTAAAATATTCCATAGTTATTAAACTATTTTTTTTCTAATTAGTTAAAATTAAAAAATTAAACATTACAATATGGTCATAAATATGTTGTATTATTTTTTAATATTTTCTTTGAAAATCAGCATCCTGACCGTTAATTATCCAATAATATTTGAAAGTTATTTATTGTAATTTAAAGCAATTAAATACATATTATTTATATTGTTTAGAACTCAGTTTCAACGTATCAGTAAAAAAAGTCTTAATAGTATTCACGAGTGTACTGCGAAGCTCAATATATTCTACAGAACTAATATGCTAAGAGGCTATTTAACTAACCCTGGCTACTTCTCCAGCACACATAGTCTGGCGGTCTGGCTTGTTATTCAACCAAGCCTCTTGAATTTCCAGCTACCTGACCCCAGGGCATATAATAAAAAGCACGTTTAATTAAATTACTATATATTATATTAAAAGTTGTCCGCACCTGTCACTGCCGTATGGCTCGTCTTGCAGAATGAATTAGAGTTTGAATCTGACTGCTGGGTGGTCCGCTCTGCTTGTGCCTTTATAAACTCTATGACCATCTCTCCATTCATCCCAGGCAGAGGAGAGTGCTGGCCGGCGAGGTCATCCGCTAGCTCTCATCGCCTCGATTAAACCCTTTGAAGTCCCGGCGCTTTGTGGCTACACCCACTTTAAACGTGGCACCCACACACGGCACAAACACGCCGAATCTATGCGTGTCCCTATCGCCGGAGCCGATCAGCCCTCGGTGCTAATTACTTTTTCGACACCTGCGGCGTTCTGCTTCACCCAATCTGCAACCGTCGCAGGCGCTAAATATTATTCAGGTTTAGTTCCAATTGCGCTTCGCTACAAATTTGAATTTCAATTCAATGACTAAATAGCTTTGGTTTGATTCAGTGGCAGAATGTTAATTTATCATTTATAACCGATGGAGCGAAATTCTGCTTGATTATTTGTAAGTATATATTTAGTTTTCTAAAGATTGGAAAACGTCAGCAAGACGAGTTTGTGAAGAATATATATGGAGCTGCGGTACATTTTTATTTTGATGATATACTGTCTTTTCTTTTTAACAATAAATATTTCAAGATCTTCTATATTTTCTAATAAAAAGAAATACGTTGCTTGTAAAATGGCATTTCAATCAATTTCTCGTACTGATAATTTGCATGATTTGCACAATAATGATTCATACCCTTAATAGAAAATTACATCGCAATGTGCGCATCGCTAATAAAATAAATTATTTGCTCTCACACGATGAGAGCAAGGCCGCGCAATTCTTCAATCAACAAAGTGCTCCAAGCACCCATTAAAGTGTAAACTAGAAAATATAGTTAAGTGCGCAACTTTGAGCCCTCAACCCCTGTAGGGAAAGCTTCCAAGTTTGATTTAACTAGATAAGGGAAATTAAAAAGTAATCTGAAGAGAAAAGAAACATAGATTTTGAATTTAAACTTTTCAGAGACACGTCACAGTTTAAAACAGGCGCTCAGTGTGAAAATAAAGCATTTATTATCTTAAATCCGTTTTCAACACTACCAAATCAACAATGCGTCAGTCTAGTTGTTTCCAAACGATTAATCAGCACAGGTGCACAACTGTTAATTCTGTGTATGCTCAAACTGTGGAAGCGAAAGGTGACACGATGTTTATTCAATTTGGCGAGAGGGTTGTTTGCGATCGTGCCATTTGCACTGATTGGTGGACTAAGCACGCTTGCATAAATATAGAGGATGGTCGTAGTCTGCATGGGGCAGACAGAGAGCAAACACATAATTCTCTGTTATTCCACTTTATTTTTTCCTTACACATATTACATTAATAAATATGATGGAGTACATCAAAGTAAACAGTCATCTTTTTTTTAACATGTAGCCTCTTTAATTGAACACAAACCTCGCCGAGAACCTTCTCAGGCTGGTTAGCCACACTAAATTTTGCGTAAGCACATTTCTGATGAGGTTTGTGTTTTTAAACTATTTGGTTGACTATACTGCTGCATTTGAACGTGTCAAAATTTGGAAACGTATATATAGTTTTGAAAAAATAAATTATGGCATGGGTAGTACTTCTCTATTTTAGCTTGTTTGCGAGTTACAAAATATGGGTTTTGCGCCGATTTCCTCTTTTATGGGGTTTGAGCTCTGCAAGTTATCATTTAAAACGGTCTCTTTTTATGGCTGAGTGAATAATGTAACATGATTAATGTGTATGCAGACCAATTGTGTGGTTAAATATCATGTGACTGCAGCGTAATCACCGCAAGTACAAAAATAGAGAGGTATTGTTGATAAAATTGATTACAGCTTCTGCTTTCCTCTTTTTTCATAAGTTGATTTTTTTCAATAAAAGACTAGAGATATATGTATTTTGTTAAATATATGTATGCATACAATTTTTGAATGTTTCCCAATTAAAACTTGATCTTTTTTTAAATTTACTCTCATGTCCAAATATTTTTTTAAGACATAATACAAATACGTGATTTTATTTATCTACAAAGCTAAAAAGCCAAAACGGAGGGCGATATACATGGTTAGCGTACTAACATGATTTTTTTTCTGCTGCTGAACTAACGACGTTAAAATCTTTTGAATTCAACAGTTACAGCAAATAGGAAAGATATGTTTGATAGACAATTTAATGTGCTAACTCCTATATTATACAAGAAATTCGACTCTTTAATTTTTGGCACCAAGGATTTTAGTGATGAAAATTGATGTTAGGAAAATAATCGTGAGAAAGTCTGATTAGACCAGGGGAATGTTGTAAGTGTATTATACGATTTAAGTGACTTTAAATTCTAGTAAGTGATTTAAGTATTTATGACACAAATAGACAATTAGTTTTTTTCCTGTATATTCCTTTGAACCTCTCTTATACCAACAAAAGAGAGTTGTGTAAGCAATTGAAAATTAAGCCGCTTTTATTACATTCAGACGACAAGAGACGATTATTCCGTAGCGACATTAATAATTATTTGACCTCTGGCTAAAGAAAAAATTCCAGTTGTCCTCCAAAAACGTTCCTGGAAAATCTGCTGTTTGAGCGAATTCCATAAAAAATTTATATGTAATTTAATTTACAGACAGCATTCCTCTAAAAGATGTTTCTCCATTCACAAGTAATGTACAATATTGAGCATGCCAAGCGCCACCCACTCACACTAGAATCACATCAAATGACAAATAACGTCCTTTCAAAACAAGTATGCCAGCTTTCAGATAATTTATGACATTTATGTGTTGCGTTTGACAAGTAAACAAAAAGCGACATTTCACCTTTCCACCAAAGGAAGAAACGGTTTCTTGAGATAGCACACAGAAATATATCTTTTTTTTAAATGGATATGGAATTTTTATCTTACTTTCTGAGGAAGTAAAATTTTAGTTGTACATAGATTTATTGAGGACAATAAAACAGAAGCCGATCTGCGTAAATGAAAACATATTACACTTTTATGAACAAAACTGAAAATGAAATTTTCACTTTGCTATAAAATAAATTGTGTCTACGCTGGAGCACAATTCATTCCTATTCATTTTTCATGCAATCGCTTTTCATGCAAAATAAAGAGCGTGAGACAGTTTATATGCTTATCTAAATAAACAAAATCAACACAAAATTTAGAAGAACCTATGCATAAGGGAGTAGTTTTTAATTATTCAAGTTTATCCAAGCATTCCACACTTACAAATTATAAACAAAATCTTGTAGTATTTTCCTGGCATCTCTTATGAATATTATTTACATTTAAGTATATTATATTTTACAATTTTTCACAGTCTTTTCATCGATCATTGGTGGTTGTAATTTGTAATGCTTCAATTATACTTCTACATTGTCACGAGACAGCAATTAAACTCTAAAGATAAAATCGCAAATACCCTCAAGAACCTAATGATCATACCCTGCTTCAAAATTACTCATCATAACATAAGAAATAGAATATTATACAATTTATTTAACCATCTACAAATACATAAGTGTATTTAAACATTTTTGGCCAACATTTATTACACTTGATCTGGTTTATGGTTCGTGAAACAATATTTCTCCGTTGGACTCGTAAAAATTCAATATTTGCACGGCTCAAAAAATATGGGAAAAATTTCACATGGTACATACAGTGCACAAAGAGAATCTGGATTTTTGCCCGAGCTATGATTTTTGCAGATAAAATGCCGGAAACTCAATTACCGTGGGAGCCATAGGACACAAACGAGATCAATAAAAGTGCGCCTGAACAGCAGTGAAATCAGACTTTCAATAAAAAATTATTACACTTTATTACAGCAGTGAGAGAGAAGCGCGTGTTTGGTTATGGAAAAAGCATCCAGGCTCAACGATGGCTCTTTCAAAATCCAAACAACGAAGGGAATGAGAGAGTTGCTATAGAGATAAAGAGAGACAGATTGAGGGAAAGAGCCCTGGCCATTTGGGGCGAACTGGGAAGCAGCGACGGACACGCAGCTTAAACCTCAGTGGCCGGGATTAAAGCTCCGTTACCATTGGTGGCGGCGCCGTTGTTCTCGATGACAGGAGTGTTGATCTGAGTTGGTTCGCTGGCGTTGGACCTGGAGGTCATGGTCAGAGCCGTGGTTGAGGTCTCGCGGATGGGTCCGGCGCTTGTGGCGCCCTCGATTGCGGTGGTCGTTGGTGGCCCGAGATTGAACTGGTGCGCATTGTTGCGATTTCGCTCAGCATTGGCCTTGTTCCTGCGCGGGAACACGCTGTTCTCCATGTGCAGAGTGGCGTTGACGTCCCTACCAGTTGCGCAGGTGCAGGCCTTGAGAAAACTTTTCTTGAAGTTGTCTGAGAGGAAAGCGTAGAGAATAGGATTCATGGCCGAGTTGGAGTAGCTGAGGCAGCCGGCCAGCAGGAAGATGGTGATGGTCACCTTCGACTGGCACTGGTGCGGCGGCGTGAAAATGAGCGCCATCTGAGTGATCCAGTAGGGCAGCCAGCAGAAGACGTAGACCGTGATCACGGTCAGCACCAACTTGGTCACCTTGCGGTGCGACTTCTTCTTTTCGCGGCTCTTGTGCTTCGGACCTACCGTCTGCAGTTTCCGGATGACCAAGAAGTAGAAGCAAAAAATCAGCACCAGCGGAATGGCGAAGCCTAGAATGAAACTGTAGAGGGTGAAAGCCGTCTGTCCGCCCAAGGTCTCTGTTTCTGGCCACAAAATGTTGCAGCTCGTCGAGTTCTTCTCCACGGTGTTGGCGTACATGAAAATGGGTACCATGAGAAGGGCGCTGGCCGACCAAGCCGTCAGGGAAACCACCTTTGAGACAAAGGGGGTGCGTATTTTTGGAGACGAAATGGGGTGGCAGACGGCCACATAGCGGTCAGCACTCATGATGGTAAGAAAGATGCTGCTGGTGAACTGGTTGATGCTGGTCGAGGTCATGTACAATTTGCACATGGTCATGCCAAAGGGCCACGACTCGAGCGAGATGGTCGCGATTAGAAAGGGGATGCCGATCAAGAAGCACTCGTCGGCCACCGCCAGGTTAACGATGTACATGTTGGTCACTGTCTGCATTTTGCTGAAGCGCACCACCACGTAAATGACCAGCGTGTTGCCCAGCAGACCGACGACGCAGACCAGGGCAAAGATGATTTGTGTCATCAGGGTGAGCAGCGGCTGATCGAGGCTGGCGCACATCATGCCGGTCTCGTTGTCCATGAAGTGCATGCGGTCGGACATGTTGTAGCAGTTGCTGTCATTGGTGTCCAGGCACACCGGCCCACCTCCTGCGTCCACGTCCATGGCTCAAGAATTTGTCCGATAAGGGTCAGTGATGAGAGATGGCTGTAGTTGCCATGGTCGCACCAGGCGCTCTGGAACAAATAATTAAAAATATTTTAATTAGAAATTAGTATTAAAACATGGACGATTAGTGTTTTCATTAATAAAAACGTTTGAACATAATTTTATTTAAATCTAGATTTAAAAAATGTTAATTTTGTATTTTAACAAATAAATTTAATCTTTCCTATATTAACCCAATGTTAATACTCTTTGGTATGCAAAATGGAAATTTGCATATTGATTATTTACACTGAGTTATGGTGCAAACAATCTGCTGCAATTCAAAATATTTTGAAATCTAAATGGCAGAGATAGAGAGCGGGGTGCCAGGAATGTGACCAACGTTATCATCGCTAATTGTGCGTGAAACTGATGGACGTTATTTCAATATGTTCAGCAGTTAGCAATCTGTCTCTCCGTAATTAATTCTGACAGTGCATAAATGGTTGCAAAACGCTTTTACAATTAGTGGCAACAACTGAATTGCGCGTCTGTTGCATATTATCTATTTGCAAAGCGGGGTGGAAGGTATTTCCGTTAATTAGTTTTATAGCCGATTGCAAGACAGTCTGCTAAAATAACAAATTCCTTCTTTCCGCAGTCTTTATTTTATCACGTTAACGAGGTATTTCAGAGAGACGCCCAAAACGTGAAAACCGATAATTATTGTTTTATTAGCACAAAGATTTATGCCGACGGCTAAAAAACTAGATTTCCAAGAAGCAGGTAATTAATATATGAATTTTCTCTTAAATAATACACCGCTTGCAAAGGTGGCGCTTGCACACGGGAGGCTTACAAAATAAGCTGGTTCAGAAATAATATAATAACCTTGTCTTCTCCCTCGTCAGCGTGCAAAAATTACATCACTTGCCGCCGTATAATTAATAAGCAGAAGCTTTTTTGTTGAGGAAACAATGCGTGCCGACTGAATAAATGACACTGACAGCTGCGTTTACGTAGTTTAATTAACGTATATCTCCGCCCTTGGATTCACTCTTATTTTACCCTGCAAAAGAGACTCTCACTCTCGTTGTTTTCAGTCAGTCACGAAAACTGATCTAAACATAATTATCGATAACAAAAGCGATTAATTAATTTGCCCCGTTGAGCGGTAATTCTGACGTGAATTGAAAATACTCGCTAGTTTAAAAATCACGTGTTTTTCTGACCTAATAACATCCGTGGTAATTTGCGTACCCATTAACTTTGCATTTGTAGGAAACTGCGTTTCACATTTTGGCGAAAAAGATGTTTACAAAGATAAAAAAGTTTCAAAACTGTTCTATTATTCAGACTAATAGGATTGCTATATTTATTATTTCACATACAGGTTTTTAAGATACCCACATGCACGACAATAATTGAGCCTAAGTAAATGGGTTCGCGTGAAGCATGAACAGACCGCAGCGACAAGTCCTGAATGGCGAAACGAGCTGCTAGGAAATAATTACGAACGTGTTGCAAGAGTGTAGCATGTTGAGCTCCGGGTTTTTTATTGCTACTGGAATGTATTTTTGGAATTATTCTTGATTGTTAATTACAACGTGATAACGATTGATAAGATTTAAAGTAAGAATGTTGAAATGCTTACATAGTAACGGTTCCGCCAAAAATGATTATTATGAAAAATGATTTATGTTCCGAGATGATTTAAGAATAAAATAAAATTGTAACTAGATGAAAAGAAATTATGCAGCCTTCTGGACACCAGCGTCGGGCAGGTTGCATAACGCTTTTAAAACGTCATTCAAAGATTGCAAGCATCGCATCTAGGTTCTGATCGTTGCACTTCGCTCCCATTGAAATGAATGGCAATAAATGTCAAAGACGTTAAATAAAAAATCTGTAAGAGTCAGACCTGCCCAAGTGCTCTATCAGTAAAGAGCTGTTTGCTCCTCCTTGCTTCTCGCTGATGGCTCAGTTGATTTATAAACGACAATGCTGCGGTCGAGCTGTGCGCACCTCAGTGGACCGCACGAGACTGGATCTGGCCCAACAATGAATGATAGCATCCCTACCTAGCCATCTACACCCCAAATTAGTGCGCACACTCAAGGTAGCAGCGGCTGCCAGCGAGAGGAGGTAGGCTCTGACCGTTTTTCCCTCTTTCGTGACGTGAAATCCAAGTAAAACTTTGCCCCTCCAATGGGAATTAGCCGTTTCCACACAAAAATGTTTTAAATATTGCTCACTCAATTTGCTTATTTAGTATGCACAAAAATAGAAAAATTTAATGTCATTTTTCTGTGGTACATATTTTTAATCTCCTTTGTTGTGTACACGGGTTTATCTGTTTTAAATTATTAATTCGTCATAAAAATTGAGAGCTTATAGGCTGAACAACAATTATAAATTGGCAAGTAACGTGATTTTACTTTCGTCATTATATCATTATTTAGTATTGCAAATATTTTTCTCTGCATAGGCGCATCCAAAAACGATTTTCATGCTGGGTTGGCGAGATTGTTACTCAACATCTAAAATTCCTGCGACGGAATAATAAAAAAAGAACACTCGGGGGTGTTTTCTGCGAGATACGAATGCTGAATCTGTTCGTGATTCCGGCCCGGCTCTTATATCGCATTCGGACAGCGCTCGGCGGCGAAAGTCAGTTTGCGAACAGACACAGCCTCTCAAGCGACGTCGCCCCGAGAATAATGATGTTGGAGTGATCCGACATCAAAATTCATTATTCATGCGGACCCAGTCGAGAATAAATGTGACACCGGTCGGTCGTGTGCTCGGTGCCGGCTGCTGCCAGGACGCGCGCACACATTTAAGGGTGCTCGCTCTCTCGGACCAGATTTAGGCACCTCCTTTTCCCTGTCGGACAGCCTCGTAAAACGCACCCGCCCGCCATTAGCGTTAATTTAGTGTGAAAACAACACGCACTCGAGTAACAATGATTACTGTTTTAATTACGCTTCACTGCGCCGAAGGGTCTCTTACCCCTTCATTGAATTTCGTCATTTCTTCACTTATCGCTAAAATATTAATTTTTGGCTTATCTGAACAGTTTTAATTATATTTATTTTTATATTTTCATGCCTGTGTTTCATGCGAATGCGTAATATATAAATATACAAACAAATAAATATTGCTTCATAGATAAATTAATTAATAAATACATTTATAAAAACTGACAGTACTTTAAAAAGACTAATTTTAAAATGAGGAGTTCTTGCAGAGGATGGCAAATTAAATATAATATGGAATGTTCTCTAATTTCCATTGATCAATGAAAACGACTAATCAAGCTACAACAGTACTTGGCGCCAGGCGGGTCAGGGTTCAAGGTCTCCGTTGGGAGTAACAAGGGCGGAGGCTATTTGATCGTTAATTATACGGCGCCCCTTTGACTGCGCCCCTCATGCAAATGAATGCCAACACGCAGAGACGTCAAGTGATTTTTGGTGCTGGTGTTTTGTTGCACGGTGTTTGCTTTGACGCTCTTTTCCAGGCAGACTGGCGGGCTCGTTGTTGACTTTGAGGCGAAAATTAATCAAGTCGGATATCAATTAGCGCCGCCGCTGGCTAATCAGAATGTTAATTACGAGCTGACGTGCGTGTTGGCGCAATCAACAGATCAAATTTATTGCTGTACGAAGGCGCCCTTCTAAATTTAATTAGCGAAAACTGAATCAGAGTTGTTTGCGCCAGTGTGCGTTGGGTTTGGGAAAACCATAGGAAGCTCAGCAACATTTTTCCATTGTCGCGTGTTGATTTGGTTCAATTGTGACTAGAATACCAACATAGAAAGTATTGATTGGAACAGATATATCAAGAGAAGCCAGGTCAATTGCAGACTTGAAAGTTACATAATGAATCACTTTTGTGGCTTTTGAATCAATGTTATGCGATTGTAATTAATTCATTAAGAAATAATTTCATATAAACCTAACATTAACCCTTTGACCTTATTGATCATTAATAAAATAATGCAATTTATTGCTCGTTTTTTAGTAATATAAATTAATTTCAAAATTTGGCCATTTTGCTATTTTTTAGTTAGTATAATTTAATATTTTCTAAATATATAATAATTAAGTGCCATGAGGCCCATGAAATATTGACGGTGAAACTGTAAAAGATTTTTTTTTTAATTTTAACAGCAAAAATTATCCAAAGATCAAATATTATATATTTTTTTAATCTAAAAATTAATTTTTTTCTTCAAAAATTTCAAACGATTCCTAATATCATCCATTTTTTAACTATGACATAATAAAATTGAAACTTTAATACGCAATAGTTGAAACTGATTCTTAAAGTTATAACACAAACACAAAAAAGGATTGAGAAAGTTCAATGTTTTCTGTTTTTGCATCAAGGAACTCACTTTCAATTTTTCTTCAGATCCACCTCAAGTGATAACTTTCAATTTTCTGTTTGTTTATCTTAGCTAATGGAAAGCTAAAATTTGAGATCAACAATATTTCCTTTACAGCTTCAGCTTTCTGATCAACTTATCTTAGATTTATTCTGCAAATACTGAAGGGCGAAGAAATATTCAAAGAAACCTTTGAACTTCAGCATCTGTTGGAAAAGTTGATTTTTCACAACAGACAAAACCCTTGAGCGCGTTTCTTATCCGCGATCAAGAAGCCGTAAGCAGAGAAAAGGCAATGAGACTATTTTCCGGGGGGAAGAAAAATTGATCTTGACTTGAAAAGACACTTTTATTTTTACATATTCAGAAGCTAAACAGAAATCGCATCAAAAAGGCAAGAGTATCTAAACGGTTGATCTCTTGAAACGCGCCGAAGGAGGAGCAAGGTCTTTTCTTCTCCGAGTTCTTTGCCCAACGTAATCTCTTTTCCCAAGTTTTGTGCATGTTTCCCATTTTCCACGGCAACTTCTCCGGAATCCGTTCCCGCGGCGCGCAGCTTTACGATGTGCAGAATGCGCTTTTTTTGCAAGAGTTCGCAACAGCGGCTCATATTTCCCGACCAACCTCAGTCGTTTTTATCATGCAAATGAGCAAAGTAATCCAGTTAGCAAGAATAAAGAGCAGAGTGCGGTAAAT